TTGCAGAGTGCCAGAAGGTATTGGATTATGATCGCTGATTATTATTATCCTGAAGAGGCGGAAAAGGAGAAAGAGCAAATCAAATTGTTGTTTATTTAATCAATATTGTTATTTTATGTGTTGACAATGTTTCATTGTTATTGACCTATTGTAAATAAGTTTTATACTTTTAAACAATCGTGAAAATCTTGTATCAGTAATCAAGAATTTACCTAAATATGACTTATAAATAAATTTTTCATTTACAAGTAAAAAATATCTCATGTCTTATTGCTCTTGTTAAACATAGTTTTTTTAACGCTGCTTGTAGGATAAATATAAAATTTCGTTCTCCCGGCTCATGAAAGACGTTTAATGATGACATGGGACTAAATGCTTGTTATATCGAAAATTTTTAAGTGTCTAGATTTGTGTATTGGAAATATGAATAAACATTTCTGCTCACATAAAATCGATTACGTCTGATTCACTAAAAATTCAAATCATATATGTAATGTCTTTATTTGTTAATTATCATTATTATTGTCTGGCTATTTGTGAAATTAAATTGAGTTAATCCAGTCATTGGTGAGAAAGAAGTTTATTAATAATTATGAAAATATAATGAGCTTATGGTCAATTCATCGAAAAAATTATTCTCCTAATTACGGTTCTTGTTAAAAATTACAGTTGTCTCTCTATAGAGTTACAATTTTCATAAAAATTATGTTTATTCATAAATTAATTATTCCATTGAACTTTGCCTTCAGAGTTTAATTGAACCCGACCAGTTGCTAGATACTCTAGAGCTAACGGGAATATTTTATGCTCTGATTGTTTAACTCTTTCTTGTAAAATATCTGGAGTATCGCCTGGAAGAACTGGAACTGCCTCTTGAAGCACAATCGCTCCTGTATCGACATCTGGCTCAACAAAATGAACTGTACATCCATGAACTCTAACACCAGCTTCCAAAGCTCTAGCATGAGTGTCCATGCCCTTAAAAGAGGGTAACAGAGAAGGATGAACGTTTAGCATTTTACCCTTCCAAAGGTGGACAAACTCTTCGGATAGTATCCTCATGAAACCAGCAAGGCAGACAATTTCAATGGAAGCTTTTTTCAAAGCTTCATTAACGACCATATCATAATCAACTCGATTTTTAAAACCTTTACTTGGAATGACCAAAGTTTTGATTCCGGCATTTTCAGCCCTGGTAAGTCCAGCAACATTGGGTTTTGCTAGAAAACAACTAATACAATATTTATAGATTTTGACTGCTTTGAAATGATCTATCAGAGCTTGTAAATTAGTCCCAGACCCCAGAAAATCAAATACAGCAACTCTTTTTGGCAGTTTCTGAACCAACACCGTTTGAAGGTGAATCCATCAAGCTTTCAAAGTTGTTTACAATTACCGGCAAATCTGAACGTTTAACAATTTTACCAACAATCTTCGCACCAGGTTCACCATTTATCTTGAGTAAATTAAGAGTTGAGTTTACATTATCTTGCTTGACAACAAGAATCATTCCTAAACCACAATTAAAAGTTAGTAACATTTCGCTATCAAGAAGAGATCCAGCTTCTTTGAGCCATTTAAATACGGGCGGCATTACCCATTGATTAGCGTCCAATTCAGCAGCTAAATGGGAGGGTAAAACTCGAGGAATGTTTTCAGTTAAGCCTCCTCCTGTTATATGAGAAGCAGCGACAATATAACCCAATTTAACTGCAGGAAGGACACTTCTCACATAAATTCGAGTAGGAGCTAAAAGTATCTGACCCAATGTCTGAGATCGATCAAAAGGAGCTTTATCATTAAACGACAATCCTTTCTTTTCGATAATTTTGCGAACCAAACTGAATCCATTGGAGTGAACACCAGAAGATGGTAGACCAATCAAGACATCACCTTCACTGATTTCCTTCAATCTTGGTAAAACAGATTTTCTATCAACGGCACCAACAGAGAAACCCGCTAGATCAAAGTCTTTACCATGATACATTCCAGGCATTTCAGCTGTTTCTCCACCTAAATGAGAAGAATCATGAACATTAGCAAGATAATTAAGTAATCTATTTTAGCGGTAATACTAACCAATTAATGCGCAATTGGCAAGTTTGCATCCTTGAACAATACCAGAAATAACTTGGGAGGCAGAGTCAACATCAAGTTTACCACAAGCAAAGTAATCGAGGAAAAACAAAGGCTCAGCTCCTTGGACTAAAATATCATTAACACACATTGCAACCAAATCGATTCCAACGGTATTCAAGATATTACACTCAATTGCTATACGCAGTTTAGTTCCAACTCCATCAGTACCTGCGACCAATAATGGTCCATCTGGATAGGCATCAAATAAACCACCAAAGCCACCAATTGAACCAACAACTCCAGGTCGATGCGTTGCACCGACCATTGATTTAATTCGATCCACCAATTGATTACCAGCATCAATATCGACTCCACTTGATCGATAGCTCAAATGATGATCAGCCTTATTTAATCTGAAAAAAACAAGAGTAAATAATGAATATTGATAAAAAGACTAATACTAAACAAATAATTTTTATTATTTAAACCAATTATAAATACGACGGAATATTTTCCTGTATTACAAACAAATTAGTGAACTAGCTATCAATATATTGAATATTTCAATGATATACTAATTTTTACAGACTAGTATTAACAGATTTTAAACTTAGATTGAAATTAATCGAAATATTAACACAGCTGATAACTTAATTTGCATTCTAATTATATTAAGGATTGATAAATTCAGACATTTTAAGCAAACAAAGTTATCAGTTATGTCAGCAATGTTGACTTGTTTGATTTAAGGCAAATAAATGTACAATACATTCAATAAAATTTTTGTGAAACGTACTTTTTCAATGCTCGTACACCGATATCATGACGATAAAAGGAGCCTTCAATTTTGATTGATGAAGCAGCTTGTTGAGATTTATTGATTGCTTTCTGTGGATCATTATCAGACGCAACAACCGTTAAAACTCGGCCACCAGAAGAGGTTAATCTATCATCGATCCATTTAGTTCCTCCATGGAAGATGATACAATCAGATAATTTATCAAGGCCATTAATTTGTTTGCCAGTTATGGGTTTATCAGGATAACCAGAGGAAGCAATAACCGTACCACAGGAATAAAAGTTATCTCTCCAATCAATGGTAATGGTAGACAATTTACCAGAAATACAAGCCAAACAGATATCAAATAGATCACTGTTGAGCAAAGGAAGAACTGATTGAGTCTCTGGATCACCAAAACGAGCATTAAACTCCAATACTTTGGGACCATCTGAAGTTAACATGAAACCAGTGAATAAAACACCAATAAATTTTCGTCCATCAGCTTTCATTCCATTGATTGTTTTTTGTATGATTGCACTAATTTCCTGCATCTCTTGAGATGAACACGGATAAGGACAAAAGGCACCCATTCCTCCAGTATTAGGTCCTGCGTCATTATCAAACGCTCTCTTATGGTCCTGAGCCGGAGGCATGACACTTATATTGACTCCATCTGAAAAGGCCATAACTGAAACTTCATCTCCTTCTAAGAAATCTTCAACAACAATAGAGTTTCCAGCGTCACCAAATATTTTATCGTCTAATATTTGCTCAATATAACGACAAGTTTCTTCTGTACTTGTACCAATAAGGACACCTTTACCAGCAGCAAGACCTGAAGCTTTGACAACCCATGGTTTGAGGTTAGGTGGACAGTTGGTTACCCATTTTTTTCCTTCAGAAGAGGAAACAAAAACTTTATGTCTAGCAGTTGGTATCTCATGTCTAACCATGAACTCTTTAGCATATGATTTATCACATTCAATTTGGGCAGCTGATTGTGAAGGACCGAAACAAGGAATTCCATGGTTTGACAAAATATCAGATAAACCACGATTTAAAGGATCTTCAGGTCCAATCACTACAAGAGATGGTTTCTCTTTTAAGCACCATTCTTCAACCTTTGATAAATCCTTTAGATCTAAAGCTGTTAACAGTTGAGAAGAAATAAAATAAGTTAAACAATCAAGTAAATCACCAAGATCATTTTGGTACTTACAGAGATTTGAAATTTTTCTATCCTCTTTCAGGGTTCCTGCGTTTCCTGGACACACAAAAATTTTATGGACTTTTGAAGATTTGGCCAGCTTCCAGGCCAAAACATGTTCTCGCGAACCATTTCCAATCACCAAAACTGTCTCTGACATTTTTATGGAAAGGCTAAATATTAAGGTTAAAAAGTACAATAAATGACAATTAAGAGCTAAATCTGGACTGATTTTGGTTGAAATGAAATCGATTCAAGCAGATTATGATTTTGAAGTGGACATATTAAAATAATCCAATAGAAGATAAGATTATTTCCTTGGTGAGTGATGAAGATAATTGATTAAATGAAAAAAACAAAGATTTCGATTGCGATACAATCAATCTATTATGATAAAATCAATTGCTTTAATGATATTTCCCTAGTTTTTGCTAGATAATACTTTGATTACAAAGTATGGCCCAAGTGTCTGGCTTTGATTAAACAATATCTTAATTTGTTTTCTGAGGAGGAGTTCTCACCATAAACTATCATTATGATTAACTGATGGAGATGGAAAATCAAGGATCATTTAATTTCTTCCATTTAATGTTTCAAATGTGATTCTCAAATCCTTTAATTGGTAGACATAATGTTAATGTCTAACTATTTACCTTAAATGGTTTGTAAGTAATGTGGCTAAATCGTCAGGACTCAAAAGACTATTTAATATTTGGAAAGTATCTTTCTGGGAACTTACAATTCACCAGTTTTGATTGCTGAACCATTAATCATTTTAACAAGAGATTTTAATGATTAGATGATTGTGATTATGGTGTTAGATATTATGGATAATTATGATTAGATAAACAAATAAACCCTTATGAGGTAACAGCACAGGTAATTGTCAATGACAAACGATCATTTAGATTAGAATCAAGACAATACCAAAGTAATAATTTATTACTTTGGTATTTTATTACTAATCAAATAAGACCACAAAAGCAATTCTTATTGATATTGATTTTGATTGACCTAAAATTTTCTATTTAACTTATCATTATAAAATATTCATGCAGCTAAAGTCTTGCTAACAAATTGTGTTCAAGGGCTTGAATGTAGTTGATTATCATGACAATGCGACAATCAGAGTCAGTGGTCTTTGGGGAGGGTTAGCTCGAATGGGTATTGTATCAATGGGAACCTGATTCATAGCGTCTGGATTCCATCTCTTGCAACAAGGTGGTAGTCTCACATTTCTTGGTTCCTCGGTTGTTAGTGAATCTGTTACTGCTGAAGAAATACAAAAAATTACAATTAGCAATTATTTATATCATGTAAAGAGAAAAAATTCAAAATTATTTCTCATCTCTAAACACTAAGCATTTACTGTACTATCGTACTGTCGTTACTTACCTTGAACTTGGTTTGCAGGTCCACCAGTTATTTTAGCTCCATTTTTAGGTCTATCAGTTGCGGCTTCGTTATTGATTTGGAGCGTTGATTTACTTTCAGTTTGGGCATCAGTTGTAAAATTTTGCTTCGCTTCACTAGGAACTCGCCTGCAAAATTGACAAAATAGAAACGTAAGTTCACGAATGATATTGTTCAACATGAAGTTTATCGGCATTAACGTAGGGTTTAAAAGAATGATGATATTGATAAAATTCAGGCTTAAATATAGCATCGATTAAGGGTAGATGAGATAAAGTATAAATATAAATGCATCGCAGTAATCCATAATCCATAGAAGAAACAAAAATTATCAATAATGCGAAATTTTATCGTGAAATGATTTATCAGAAAATTACTAGAAGAAAAACTGTGGCAAATAATTGTTAATCATTTCCAAACTATGAATAAACTTTCACTGTTCAATTAATCAAATAACAATTGATGTTTTGACTGTAGCTATGGCTATTAAACCATTATCAATCATTACATAAGTTGATATAATTTTAGCTTTTAAAAATTGAATTTCAATCCAAGCCAAAAATATTCGAGAGAACAAACTTGAAATATAATAAAAGGAATCATTCATTGAGCAATTTGTTGACTTACATTGAATGGGCAGAATTTCCAATAGATTTTCCTGTGAAAATGAAAAAGCAAAACTTTAAGAATCAAATAGGTTAAATGGCAATTGACGAGGTGATTAGTTGAAACATTAATTGATGATACTGGCCAGAATCAAAGTAAATTATGGACACTCACCTTTAATTGGTTCGAGGGTACTAAAAATAAAACAAAAAATAACAAGACTTTTCATAGTAAGCAATTTAGGTAGATTTGATTGAGTGTAAATATCAACCTAACGAAGTGATGTTAAGATATTATAATGCAAGAGAAGACTTTGTGATAACTTAAAGGATAAATGGCTCTAAAAACACAAATCTGTACAAATAAGTCAAAGGCACTATGAGATAAATTGACAATTGAGTAGTTCCAATAATCATTTGGCTACACTTTATACCAGATCAAAAGGAGGAGTTGTTTATGTGCATCAAAAGTACACTGTATTTGTGATTAACACCTGAGGCTGAAAGTTGAGTATCTTATAGAATTTATTTGAGTAAATCATTGGATATATGACCATAACTATTATACATAATTATAAATTAATTATAATACATTCCTGTTGAGCATGTACTATTCAAGGTTTTAGCGATGTGTAAATTTCATTGAAAATAAGCAACATTGAAAAACAGTTGATCAGCTATTGAAATTGTGATCAAATGTAACTTTTGAGCTGTTTCTTCAATAATAAATAATTTGAAATAATTTATTATTTTTATAATGACCACAATGATGATAATGATGACGAGGAAGAGATCCATGTTTTCATCAAAATTATCATTTGTGTTAATGAAGAGTATCAAACATTTTTATATCAATTTCTGTCGTTAAAACTTTCAGAATAGTCAAAAAATTTCTCAGTCAATGAAACTTTGTCGCTTTTTCTTATTGAAAATCTCATTCAATCCATTTTAACCTGAATCTAGTCATTGTTTTATGTTATCTGACCCATTAGAATATTTTAAGCCTCAAAAAAGCTCTAAATTTTCGTAACATCTACAGACCATCTCTTATAAGCTGAATTGCCGGGAAACATCTAAATGACGTAAATAATTACAACAATTTCATTAAAACAAAAAATATTTGATATTTTCAGAAGCTAAATATGTAATGTTTGATTGTAATAGAGAGCCAAAGATTCATTATGCTGGATTACATGATAGATATCTTGACGAGTTAATCATTTATAAACTAGAAAGTATAGTTTTATCAATAATTTGGGTTAAGGTGTGATTAGAAGAGGATTAGTCGAGAGACATGAGCTAAATTGGTGTAGATTTGATTCAACGAACGTCATTGAGTAGGTCTTACAATTTTTGTAACTTCAAGATATTAACAAGCTGACCTTTCGATTGTAAAGTGATTATTGCAAGGCTACCACACATCGTTAGTACAACAATAGCGTAATTTCAGTTAATTTTCTTTATCTTGATGAAATTTCTTTCGACAGCTCCTGCAAAGTCTTAAGCCATAGGAAATCTGTAATTAGATAGTGATGGAAAAAAGATCAGAACTGGGATTACATGGAGAAAGTTAATGAGAAATAATTACCGTAAAAACAAAGCATTTGTCAATTTGACTAATTACTGTTGAGATTGAAACCCCTTTGCTTGTGCCTTAAAATTTTCACCAATTTTGATCACCACTTTGTAGCAAAGGGCGATTAAAATGTCTGGTTCACGTCGCAGTTTGCCTCGCCATAGTATTGCTTCAATAAAATCAGCTATTCAAAATGTTGCCCGTTTCCGTTGGCTGATATTTTTCACTGGACAATTCGCAAACTTTGCCAACAATCTTGTTGGATCAAGTTTGAGTTTAACAATTGTTGCCATGATTGAAAAGGATAAAATCATTAATACAACTCTGGACAGTAATAATTCAACTATTGTAATGAAACCAACATCAGGTAAAATCCATGTAGACTGGAGTCATGTGGACAAGGATCACATGCTTCAAGCCGCTTTTTGGGGAACTCTTGTCATGTCACTATTTGGTGGTCGTATATGTGAATTGTTTGGTCCAAGGAAAGTTGTATCTCTAGCTCTTGCAACTACTGGATCAGTTAATCTTTTGTTTCCAGTAATTTCAATTCACAGTTTCTATGGAGCCTATTTTGTACGAGTTGTCCAGGGCTTGTGCGCGGGGCTTATCCAACCTTCGACATATGTCGTTGTCTCTCGTTGGTCTACTGCATACGAACGAACACTTTCGAATGGTGTTGTCTCATCTGGTGGTTCATTAGGTAATCTCATTTCTCTTCCCCTTTCTGGTCTTTTGGTCAGCTCTAGTCTATTTGGAGGTTGGCCAGCCGTCTTTTACATATTTGGTGGTTTTAATCTTGTTATGGCTGTCGTTTGGTTCATTATTATTTATGATACTCCTGAAGAACATCCTTATTTAGGCGAAGAAGAACTCGAAGAAATATTAACTAGACGATTGCTCAAGTCAGGTGCTCCGGTAAGTATTAATAGGCTTTTGTTATCAATTTCAAGATCAATTAACATTTTGTTATTTGTTTTAAGGCGAAAATCTCGTGGGGGAAAATATTTACGTCCATTCCAGTTTACGCTTATCTTTTACCAGCTTTCACTTATAGTTGGGTCGTTGCTATTGTTATTAACCAGATTCCTTCATTTTACGAAGAGATTCTTGGCTTTTCACACGAAGCCGTGAGTACATTTCTTGTATTTGATTGTAAAATTGAACCAAAAACTGATTTCAGTTCGATGATTTTGAAAGGAGAACTAAAAATCGCTTTATTTTGTTGTAACAGAATGGTTTCGTGGCCAGTCTTCCTTGGATTGTGTCAATGTTTAGTGCACTGGTTGGTAGTACCATTGCGGATAAAATTCGAAGGAAAAATATTGTCTCATTATCATTAATTCGAAAATCTTTCACTGCAGTGGGTAAGTTGTAAGGTATATCTTGAGGTGTTGAAAACTAAAGATTTTTTTGTATTTAATAATGTTACAGGGCTTGGCTGCGTTTCGTTGGGATTAGTTGCGATTACCTTATTGAAAGATAAACGAATTGCTGTTGTGTTAACGCTGGGTGTTTGCAAAGGATTGGGAACTCTGTCGACTGCTGGTTATGCGGCGAATCATCTGGATATAGCTCCATCTTTTGCCGGAACTTTGGCTGGTTTTGCAGGTGCTATTGCCAGTATAGCATCATTAGCGGCCAATGAAGGAGCAGCTTTAATCGTTGGCAATAAACCAACTCAAAAAAATTGGTACAAACTATTTTACATCTCATCAGCAATCAATTTTTGTGGTGTCGTCTTTTATTGTATCTTTGGTTCTGGGGAGACGCAAAGTTGGGATCCTTCTTGTGTTCGAAGACAAAGTGTTAAATCGATAATGAGTAACAAATCACGGAAATTTAGCATGAAGTCAATAAACGATGACAATAACAATCATCAAAATGAACCACAGCAAGTACAGGCTGATCAACAAAACCATCCTCATGGAAGTGTCCATCACGTAACAATATCAACTGACGAAACTGTTGAGTTCCAATAGGTTTTGATTGACAATGCAGGAATAATTAGTCACAATTGCATTGGATTCAGACCATCATTCTGGAGATCATAATGTTCAAGTTTTATAACTACAATCATGTTTTTACCCAAGAATCGATCAAATTGATGTCAAGATGCCGACGTCAAATCAATTTCGACCAAATGAACAGTTTTTCAAATCATGTAACTTGATTGTAATTTTTTATCAGATGTATCATCCCTCGCATCGTTCCTTGTTTGCATTTGATTTCGATATTCAATTCTTCCAAACTCTGAAAATGTGAAAGAAAATAAGATATATTAATCAATAAACTTGGTATAAATTATATTGAAGAATGGTAATCGTTTGATACAAAGAAATATAATACATACCTCAAGTGTAGAGTATCCTTGATGCAGAAATTCAATAGTAAATTAATCCATTAAATTAAAATAAATTATATAAAATATTTTAGAAAAATTATAAACTTTGACATTAAAAATTATAATTACCTTGCTTATTAATTAGCGCTTAATCGTGAACAAACTCATGAAAACAAAACAGGTGTAATTTCTTGGCGAGTTGAAAATAGAAAAAAAAGATGGCGTTAATTACGTTTCTCTGTATCTCTGAATATTGATTAATTACTGCAATAGAGATAATGATAATGAACTGAATAAGAAGTGATCAAAAATGATGTTTGACAATGAAAGAAGAAAAATTTGCTCTAAAAAGACATTTGAAGAACCCGTAGATGAACTTCATATTAGATTTAATTAGTGTCAGTCGGAAACACTGAAAAGGATAATCATTGAGAAGGTAGTGATTGACAGACTAATTTAAATCGATAATTATACCTTTGGACAGCCAATCAATCAAAAAATATAACTTGATACTTATTCAAGTATCCATATTTTGATAGGTTTATCATCAACTTGATGGAAGTATCAACGGCAATGAAAAAAGATGAAATCGACAGTTGTCATCATGCATGATGAACACCATCTTGATAATGATAATCATGTTGATAGTTCACAGGGCGAACAACAAAGAGTGAAGAAAGAAACACTTACAATCACAGTTAGCTGTTAGCAATGAAATGATGAAAATTTTTCATGTAAGCAAAAATGGAGAAGAAAGGGAAAGACACAAAGCATATAAAGAGCAACAGAATGAACGGATATGTCCTTCATCGCCAATCGTCTCTTGTTTACTGATAAAACTTGGAGATTCAAAAGTTCAGCTTTTTTGTTTGCTATAACGTAGATAGTTAAAAATTAATTTCCTGGTGAATCAAGAGATTCAGTTTTGTTGAAAATAAGACGACAGGATGATAAAGATGTTAGAGATGACAACAAAGAAAGTAAAATAGCTCGAAAGAGAAAGTGAAAACAAAATGTGAGACAATGAATGGAAAAGTAAAAAAGAGTGAGACCAAAGTTGAACTCTTAAGTAATGCTAGTCTGTTTGGTCGGTGAATCAAGTTGCAACGGTTTTTTTGTTTTCACATTAACTGCTTTAAGATTTTTATTAACGTTTATTGTTATTGTTTGTTGAACAATATTTTACATTTTTATTTACATATTATCAACCAGGTCATTTATTAATCATCATCTTTGACCTTTTTCTTGTTTTATAAAAAACGGTTTTCAACATTTTTCAACTTATGATTTCCCGGGTTACATAGGTTGTAGTTTTTTGATTTTGCTATAATTTTCCCACTGCTTTTATTTTAACATTGTGCTTACTGTTTTGTTTTTAGACTACTCAGTGCCTTAATTATTGGAAAGTGTTTACAAAGAATCGACATTTTATTCACCATTTTGTAGTGCATTTTATCAACCGTCACGTTAGCCACTGTTTTTGGTTAGCCAAAATTTAAAAACATGTTTAATTTTAATCATCAGTTTTTTTATCATCGAAACAACAAACAACCTGTTGCTAGTATAAATTCAATATACTGTTTCATTTTAATTGTACTTTTCAACTGTTTATTATGTGAATCCGCTCAAACCAAGGGTAAATTTATCAACAAATTGACCCGTAAGTAATCACAACCTAGACATTTTGTCAAAGCCTAATGCCTGAGCTCTTCTTTCTTGCTGTGTTTACAACCATATTGACAGGCCTTGCTCTATCATTGTTTTACATAAAATCTGAAATTCTTTCCAAAAATTCTTTTTGTAAAAATCAATTTTAATATAAAATTATTTTTCTCCTGTTTTTAACGTTTCTTCATCTCTCTTACAGCAGTCAACAAGATTGTCGTTGTCGAGGCTACATTGGACTTGCCACCTGGTCCAAGCAAATTGTTGAACATCACTCACAACGAGATCAAATTACCGAATAGCACGAGTATCCGTGAGACCAGAATAATAAGCAAAAATGTTACAAAAACATCAGTGAATAAATCTCAAAAGTCAAAGGGTAAACCAAATCAAGTGAAAACCAATGTTACCCACGTAGATGAGGAAGTACACTTGATCAGTTGGAGGTGGGAAGAGCTAGGCAATTACTTTTTAATCGGAGCGTTTTTATTGATAGCTGCTGGGGTCAAAATTTGCTACCATCACAGTCACACACTGAGCACTCATATTCCAGAATCATGGTATGACTTTATTTTCATTCTAATATTTTAAAGCATTTCTCATTGTAACCCTTTTCTTCTATTTTTCTCCAGTGTTCTCATTCTTTTAGGTACCATAGTTGGGACCATTTTCTTGTAAGACATTTTCAACATGACTTTTAATATTGTTGATAGAAAATGTGACGAAAGTTAATTTAAATATCATGAGGCACAGTTTTGCTTAAATTGAAGAGATTCATGGTAATCGGAACTTATGCAATGATTTACAACAACTTATAATTTAATATATTAACTAGAGACTAGTCATTTATTTTACTTTTGTTTAAAGAAGCAACAAACCTAAAAGTGACATTTCCGATCATCATTTACATTACTTAATTCCGACGATTTGATGCTCATTAAATTTTCCACAGTTTTACAGGCGTCCTTGAAAGTGAATATGTTCCTAAATTTAATTCGCCACTTTTCTTCTACGTTCTTCTTCCACCGTAAGTTTAATTTGTCGATTAATTCATTCAAATTCATTCATTTCTTGCTTGTTAAAACTCATCTCGCTTTTGTTTTCTTTACACCAACAGAATCATTTTGGAGTCAGCCTATAGTTTATACGATAAAAGTTTTTTCAACAATATTGGAACAATATTATTATACGCTGTTGTGGTTTGTTCAATTTTTATTAACACTATTATATACTATTACTTTAATATTATCATATCTATGCTTTTCAATTTAAGTTCATAAATTTAATCTTGCAAAACATTTAAATTTGAATGTATTTCCCCTCAATTTAATATTAATAATGATATCATTATTCCGCTTCCATAAAATTTAGGGTACGATCATCAATATTGCCACCATAGGGCCCAGTTTGTATTATTGCAGTGAATGGGGAATCTTCGGAGATGATAAGATACCCTTAATAGAGTGTCTCATTTTTGCGACTTTAATCAGTGCAGTTGACCCTGTTGCAGTAAGTCTGCTTTTTAACTTGTTGATTTTAAGATAATGTAAATGATCAAATTTTTACCTATTTTATTCCAGGTTTTGGCAATTTTTGCTGAAGTCAATGTGAACAAAGCTTTGTACTTTTTGGTTTTTGGAGAATCACTTCTTAATGGTTGAGTATGATTATAATCGAATCTACTTTCCCATCTTCTCTTAATTACTTGTTTTTTCTCCTCTCATTAACTTATACTATATGCAATCATTACCAGATGCCGTTGTTATTACCATGTACAATACTGTCTCAGCCTTAGCAGGCAGAGAAAACATTCGAGTAACGGAAATTATCAGAGGTATTCTAAGTTTTCTTATCACTTCTGGTGGAGGTGTTTCCACAGGAATATTTCTTGGTGCTTTAAGTTCGATTGTCACACGGTTTACTGCTGATGTTAGAGGTACAAGTTTGATGCATAAACTTATTTCTCTTCCTAAACATTAACTGTTCTCTTTTCAATCTCTCTTTACAGTTGTCGAACCATTGATTGTCATTGTTTTAGCATATATTTCTTACATTGGCGCTGAATTATTTCACTTTTCTGGAATCATCAGTCTTATTTGCTGTGGACTTATGCAAGCTGAATACACCCGACACAATATATCAAAAAAATCGTACACAACTATAAAATATTTGACCAAAACCGTCTCCTCTATAGCTGATGTGATAATTTTTCTATTTCTTGGAATGGTTTTAGTGCGAGATGACCATAAATGGAACACTGAATTCGTTTTCCTAACAACATTTTTCTGCATCATCTATCGTTTTTTCAGTAATATTTTTATTAGATAACCTGTCAGCAAATTAACTAACGTGAATCTTTATGCTATCTTATTAGGTGTTTTCAGTCTAACATATGTTGCGAACAATTTTTTTCAAAGATTGAGAATTGTTAACTTTGCTGAACAATTGCTAATGGCCTATGGTGGATTGAGAGGAGCAATCGCTTTCTGCTTGGCAATTATGTTAGATACAAGTAAAATTAGCCAAGCAAATCTGTTTGTAACTGCAACTTTATTTGTTATCCTTTTCACTGTTTTTGTTCTGGTAAGAACAAAGATTCATTTGATTTATTTTCTTTTCAGAGTTATTAAAAATGCTCAAACAAGGTATTAGGCTTATTCAAACGCGTAATTAAGTTTAACGGCTATTATGCCTCATAAATTATTACAGAATGAAATGATTTGTTCTGTTTAATTTCAAATCAATCAAATAATGTTGATTCTCTAAACAATTGAAATTTGTTATGGTAAACTACTTATTGATTACCTATTGACAAAACATTTGATTTTGCTTACCTTGACTTCTTTCATTGCCTTTTTTATTGGTTTTTTACTCTTAATTATGGTTAATAATTCAATGATTTTCATCTTAAATTTCTTTACAGGGATCCACAACAAAACCAATTGTCCACTTTTTAGAGGTTAAAATTCATATCAAGCATGAAGCTAAACTATTTATTGAAATAAATAATAAAGTTGTGGAGACATTTATGGCTGGAATGGAAGAAATCGCTGGAAATCGATCGGCCAACTACTGGGCTGTGAGTATTTCTTATTGTATTTTTATTTTAAAAGTAATCTGACCTCATTTAAACATATTTTTTTCTTTGTTTCAGCAAAAATTCGCTCGATTTAATGATAATTATGTTAAAGCGATATTAATACGAGGAGGAGCTGAAAGAGCAGCTTCAATCAGAACAGCTTATGAAAAGGTAAATTGATTGGAATAATTTCTATATAATTTAATAATACTACTTTTCGTTTCTCAAAAATTTATAGTTCTACCAAGGCAAAGAGGATGGACGCATTCTTTTAATTCAAGAAGCTAAAACAACTGTTAAAGAGGAACAAGAAACAATAGCTGAACCAACTCATTCCAAATTAATAAGAGCATGTTCGGATGGAGCAAATGTTCAACGCAGCAATGATCCACAAGCAAATACTTGGAAACTTTCAAAATCATCTTGGTATAACCGACGACATCGTACTCTTCCTGCTCGTCCTGGGCCTGAACCTTACCGAGAGCTACGATCGCCCAAAAAACCAGATAAAAGTGAGGATGTTAGCCGTGTTTTGGCTGAAGCTTTCTCCAAATCAGCTTATTACCAATACACTGGAGGTATTCACAGTGTGGAAGATCGTGAAGATAAAATTACTAAAGAAAATGCTCGTAAAAGTAAATGGTTAATGGCAAAATCAAAGATACAATTGGCTGCAATTGCATCTAAAAGTACAGAACAAGGAAGTGACCCATTACCATTGCATTCAGTTGTTAAGGCTGCTAAGGCATTGGCAGCTATGAAAGAAAGACAGCAAAATGAATCAGTTAATTTGGACAATCTAAATGAACGAGTTTAAAAAAATGTTCAATATTTTCCTTTTTCTAATTGTTGAATGATTCTTAACATGTTTTACCTAGCTTTATGATCCATTCTTGTTAAGTATATATTGATATAATTGACAATATTTTTAAAAGATTATTATTCTAACTGACATTTTTGAACATTTTGTTATTAATTCTAACGTATTAAACAGAAAAGCAAATTAAACACGGAAAGCTAACAATCAAGTTCAGGTTCATTCTCCTTTTATTGTTGGTTGTACTTTCATTGTTGAAATCATTGATTCAAAATCAGTAAAAATATCACCACTTTGCTTTACTTAACTTGATTTATGATCTTTAAATTAACTTCAGACGATTAAACTAATTGTGATTAATTTAATGAAAATGGATTGATTCAAGACGAGAAGAGGATATATTCGGATCCAAAATGATACAAAAAGATACTGATATCAGCTGAGGATCTATATAAAAGCATGTTTATCATTTATAAATATTATAAGTTTCAATTTTTTGGTTTGTTAATAAAAATCTAACAATTTTTTGTACATATTAATGAACTAAATTGGGAATCAGGATTATTGGTGTCTTTCGTAAAGTCAAAAGTTAATCTAATGAATAAATGTTAATCAATTGAGCTGTAAACATATAACCTTATATAACACAATGATACGATCAACATTTTGTGCTTTACGTAAAACCGTGAGTTTTGTTAACCATTCTTCTCCTCGGATTATACCTGCTTTCAATTATCAGGCTAAACAATTCAGTTTGATCAATGGTCGATGGTTCAGTGGTCAACCTAGCCAAACAAAGGGAGAATTGTATTTAATCAATAAGTTAAAGGAACGAATCCCTGACTCATCTGCTGTAGAGGTAAAAGATGTTTCTGGTGGATGTGGAGAAATGTACGAAGTTTACGTTGTTAGTCCATCTTTCAAAGGAAAATCAATTTTACAACAACATAAGATGGTTACGGAAGCTTTAAAAGAAGATATTCCTCAATTCCATGGAATTCGAGTTGAAACATCGTCGAGTTAATTTTTAGTTGATTTCGTTTTGCTCGAATATTTAGATTGTACAAATAACGTCTTACTACTGCTTACTAGCTGTTTCTAAATTATTAGAACAACATTTATTGTTAATATTTAGACACCTGAAATGTATCTCGAAATTGGCCTTTTATAATTCTCGATCCAGTTCAGAAATGCCATATTCCAAATGCTACCTTTAAAATAAATCTTCAATGCTGACTTTTATTCATTTTTTATTTTTCATAAACTCTTGCACATTCATCAGAAAATAGGAGTTCAGGATCTTATTCTTGAATGTAAGAAATTAAAGTGAGAAATCTTTATATTTAATATTAACAATACTGGACAGCTTTATTTGTTTAATCAGTTTACATTCAGTTGGGTTTTGAGAATATCATTGTAAAAGAAAACAAAATCTTGACTTGAATTTTTGGTTTAAAAGGAGAAATAAATTAAAATTGAGGTTCTTAGAATTTTTCAGGCTAATTATGATGAATGGGCAGATATTTACAATGATCACCAGTAAAATAGCTTGAACCAAGGCTTCGTGTGTAAGTTTGGTACATTAAACATAATAATGTGGAAACATATGAGTAAATATTTTTCACAAATAAGTGTGAACCATGCAATATTGCTCAATCTAATTATAGTCAACCGGGTGAAAATTGTCAATCATCAAAGTTCCTTTTAGTTCCTCGATGTGTTGGCCAAAAACGCTTCCAAATTCAGCATCGATCCAATCGAGGTTTGGTTGATCTTCGACTTGATAGTTTATCACAAATTAAATTATGCATACAAACCATTTCGGCAATTTAGTGTACAGGGGATTATTATTTATAACTAACAGCCATCAGAGTCAACAAACAGAAACAAGGACAAATTGACTGATTTGAAATTGATAACAGGAAGCTGAGATAATCCGAGCTTAGGAAAAATAAACTTTTTTCGAACTGAGAGTGATGTCTACAATTAATTGCTCTAACAATCTAATCACTGCAGAATAACTCTTTCATCAGTCCGTCTTTCTCTTCTTCTTCAAATTTCTTCCAAGCTTTGAGGACGCTTTCATTGTTCAATCCATTTATGTAAAATCCTTCATTGCCACCACGCCATTTTTTGTGACCAACAGGATATTTAATTGAGAAAATGTAACAATCTAAAGCATTAGTAAGGTCCCAACAAGAATATGTGAAATAACGAGCAAAGTCCATAATTGAGTAGACTAGAGCGCAAAGTAACGCAGTGTACGGGTGAATCAAACCAATAAATGATTGGTTAATCGTCAAGAGAAGAGGAGCTACTAAGCTTGAGTCCCACTTGTCCATTTCTCCTCGAGAAACGTTGACCATAACAAGAGAATTGACAAGTTTAGCGAAAGCAAATCCATAGACCATGATGAACGCGGCTGGATTTAGTACAAATAGACCAGACATGTAGTTAACCCAAGAAAGGAATAGCAAGAGAGCCAGAGGATAGAGTGGGTTGTAAATTGCTTGACTTTTTCGGCGTGGAATTTTTATACCACATTCTTCTAATGGAGTTTGCTTTCCAAAGACAGACATGTTGAAATTGTCATAAATAACATTGATGAGAGACGCGATAGTTAAAACTGCTATAACATGAGTAAGTGTGATATCAAGACCGAGTAAAGATAAAATGTGGTATCGCCATATTTTTTGACCTCCATAAGCAGTTAGTCCGTGAGTAATTATCATAGCCCATTGAGCTTCACTTACGTCAATCCTGTGGAGAGAAGAAAAAATGAGTGTAAAAGGTTTGATTCTTTGGTAAATAGATTGAAAAGTCTAATCGATAAACCTTAATGGATCAAGTCTCGTCACTTTTTTATCATTAACAATTGATCCTTTAACTCATTAGATAACAGTGTTAGAGCTAAAATTGTTACAGAAAAACCATTAAAATAAGTCGAACAACTTGACATCATCAAAAACTTACTTTTTAAATATCATACAATGCGTGGTATGAGCAAGCCAATGGGTAGAAAAGAAAGCTACAAGAGTTATCATGGAAAATAAGTACAATAAGTAAGGATGATATCCTAGTTGAAAGGCAGCAGCAGTCCCGATGGTTACAAATATAGTTGATACGGCATCACATCCATGATCAGTTAACTCTTCAATTTGGGAATTCTGAACTTTGGCAGATTGTTTACCGTCAAGAGCATCCAAAGTTTGATAAAGGAAAGTTCCGATGGCACATAAAACAAATGTCCAAGATGAAATTTCTTCTTTAAGCTGAGGAGCGAGGTAAAGTGCATTAAGGGAAACAATAACATTGATAGCCAGACCAATGAATGTTATTAAAGATGGAGCAACAAATTTTGGAATAAAGCGAGCAAGACTGGTCCAAAACCTGGAATAGATAAATAAAATTTCTTAGAGACTGTGAGAAAAAACGTTTTATGAAAAATGGAAAACAATAACAGCTGAAGAATGATGATGTTTCAAGCAGAACGGAGTTTTTTAATTTTCTAACTAATAAACTATCTCTATATCATGAACGAGATAATGCGAAAATAAGGTAACTTAAAAATCAGATGTATTGATTTTTCGCCGAGATTGTCGTGGAAGAAATACTTTTTAACGTCGACTAAGGTTTGGAAGGGATAATTATCACATATTCAGGATACCTTTGGAGACAGAACAACTCAAGAACAGATCCAGCAGCAGCACAGTAAATGTATGGATATTTGGAAATGAATTGCATTTGGTGACTAGATAACACCCATCCTCCGTTCATTTGTTTTGATTTTTCATAGATAAATTCGTCATTACAATGGATATTGGATTTATTTTTTTTACTGTTTATTTCGATTTGTTTCACTTCAGTTTTCACTTTTTCTTGAAACTCTTTTAGACGAGCAATACTCTTCTTTCGGAAGCTGTTTGATTCACCACTAGTAATCGATTTATTTTGCCAAAGATATTTCTCTGATGAATCTAAAAGAATGGGTGGAAGAAAAAATGAAACAGTCAGCAACCAGGTGAAAAAGTTTCAAAACAAGAATGGCAATGGAACATTGTAACCATTGACAGAAATAGGCAAATAGATAAAAAGGTAGAAAATGATGAAAATAAGCAATATACAAACCTTTGTCGGTTATCATCGTGATGGTATGTTTCAGGCTGGTTATGTAATTCAGACAGGGTGATTTTATTTGAATGTCTGTTGAAGTAAAACAGTTAAATAGAGTCAAACTTAGACTTGTAGATAAGTGAATAGGCTCAACTAAAATATAAAGAACTTACCTAGAACCAGAAAGAATTAGAAGGACAAGTAAATTCAATTTAAAAGCAAACTTGAATATAGAGGTTTGACCATCAATGGAAGAAATGAAATGAAGATTGTTTGTGCAAGAAGAAGTCGTCCTTAAGAGAGTTAACTGGTTATTGGTTGAAGTTTTCGCAGGAATAACACCACAAAAAATCACAAAAGCAACTGGAAAATCGAAAAGAAAATGAGATGAGGAAAAGTTGATTTATTTATATATAATAATAAGATTGATTCAAGAGTAATCTTGAATTTGTCAACAAAGAAAAACAGACTTGTGATCGCTTTTCACTAAACAGAATCCGGGATCACAACAATAAGGTGTTAACACTTTTCCCCTCATCACTCACGAATGTAAAAACTGGTGATAAGGGCTATAAATCACAATACGCATATAATCATCATCACTAGTCACAATTAAGATCATAAGATGTTTATCATTATTACCTGCGAAAATAATATAGAAAGAAGGAGATCAGAAAATCATGTGGATCTTTGCTGTGTTAGCCTTCCATCAATCGATTGTTTACTAAATGATTACTAGACAAAACTGTGGGAAAAAACCTTGATTAATATTGTAAACAAATGATTACTTGATCTAGTTATTTAAAAATTGTAATAGGCCTGAAACAATCTTGACTGAAAGATGTTTACAGTTGAAATGAGTGAATGAAGCCTGTTCTAGATTGTTCTTCCATCTCTCGTTGAACAAAAAGACCACTCCTTTCAACTTGCCACTAAAATGTGTATTTCATTTCATTAATTCAAGGAAACCTTTAATCTCTGAGCAATCTCCCATGACATGTTATGCCTACGAGTAAACAACATGAGCAACCTGAAACTCGTGAGTTTGAAATATGAAAGCCAAAAAAAAAGTCAAACTGGGTAAACAAGTATCTTTAATGGAGATGAAAATTGAACTTTATGGTTTTGTTTTGATTGTTGTTGTTCACTTTGTTGATTGCAATGAGTCTATATTTGAACACCACTTAACCCTGGTTTATCTGGTTTATCATGGTGAATGGAATTGTACCTTTCAATGTGAATACAAGTAAATTAGTTAATAAACCGTTAAACATGATTGAAATTATTGATAATCAAAACACTGATCAACTTCGTGTTTTCCTAATATAAATACTAATAGTATCCAATCAGTAATAGCAATAATTTTTTCTAGTATCTTTAAATGAGCTCAATTCAAACCAGTTTCCTAATCGAGCAGTTCTGTGGTCTATTGATAATTGGGATTCTGTAACTGCTTGTTCAATATATAACTGATGTCACATTGATTAGCAATATATAAACATTGTTTTGACGTAATCTGATTCCTGTAACTCTCTCCTTGCATTACATGTGAATTTAAGTCAGATCAAGGTTGAAGCCTTGTGATTACAGTAATGAATATTTCATGATAACTATCCTACCATGATTAAATTAAATGATAGCTACTAAAAGCTACTTTAAACAGTGTGTCTTTTATGGATGGTAAGCGTTCCTTTCACACATTGAGTCAGGTTTTCAGGTTTGCCATAATGTCTCAACACCGTCATAACGAGTTGAGCTCACAATTGACAAGATAATTATTATCCTGGACTACTGAATAGCCTTGATATTTGTTTGCTATTCAATGCTTCTTGACTCAATAGCTTTTGTGCGTTATTATAATGTGGCCTACAACAATGACATTTACAGAGATAATTTATTCTTAACTCATTTCTTACAGTTGATGGAAATATTTGTCTATTCAGATGAAACAAACATTCAGTGATAAAAATAAGTCGACTCAGTTGATACGCAAAACTCGTGGAGGATTGAAAGGATAATAGAGAGGATCGATTACTAAATAATTAAATCGATTTACTTCATTAATCAATACCAGTCCTATTGATCCAGACTTATTTTGAAATTGATTTGAAAATGTTGTCAATTTTAGGCAATCTCAAAGAGACACTTTGATTTATTGATTCAACTTCCAATGGCAAAATACAAGACAATTTCCGGGTGATTTAGAGATTCATGATGAACATTTTCAAATGAGTTGCATTGATGAGCCTATTTTTCAGTAAAGAAAGCAGACAATGAAAAAATTGCAGTCATACAATGTAAGTAATTCAATGAACTTTATGGTCGAGATTAACAATAATTGCGAACATCGAATCGGACAATTTTTTGACTTTGAGCGTTTGCGTGGCCTTGATTTTCAGAATAATCAAAGTAACGCCAAACATTTTTTTCCGTTGAATGGCGCAAATTTTTTTTGCTATCCGCTTCTTTCACTGAAAAATAAGCATTGAAGTCTCAGGAACAAAAAATGAGCTTACAATTGTAATACTCTTGAGGTTATGGGAATAGAGTGAGGTGGTGAAAGCGAGTTAAACTTAGCAGTTTGATTAAGCAAAAAAGCTAATTGTTACAAGATTGGTTTGAACGCACTATTGTCACCTTTTGGTATTTAAGTGTTCCGATTTTGAAGTTTGATTGGACATAATTTTTTCAGTCTCTTACTCTTATTGTTATTTCTTTTGGTTTTAATCACAATTTCATTTTATTCGCTAGGTTTAACTTTAAGTGCTAGAAGGGAAGAGTGGATTATTGATGATCCTGTCAATAGCGTCTATTTCACCATAAACGTTGAGTGAGGTTCCAATTTTGCCAAATTTAAATCAACATAACAAATATTGTAAAAACCAACCAGACAATGTTTGTGAGGTTCATTCAGATTGAGCACAGGAAGCTTGTGTCAACCCTGAATATGAGTTGGAAAAGGAAAAGTCGGATGATTAGTAAATTATCAAATTCATCAATGTATCTTTGATTATCTCTGGCAAATCTTGTTAGTTTTATCTACTTTTATTGTTATGCTACGGCTATTTATTATTTGGTGCTGAACATTTGATCGTTGAACCTATCTGTAAAAGATTTTTGGACCAATTACTCGTTCAATCAGTTTTCATAAATATTATAATATATTCGAATGGCTGTATTCATCACTATCATTGTTTTATTTATTTTACGAGCAATCAGTCTTTCTCGGACTGACAATTGGCGATATAATTGTTGCCTTCCTCAGACTTACTGATGAAGACTCTAAATTTGTTTTCGTGAGCCTCATGAATGGTGTTTTTGGGGTTGAAAGTATTTTTGCATTCAAAAGTGAGTATTTAAAATCATTTGATTGACTGTTTCATTTTATCTTTCAATTTACCACCAATTACCAATCATATCTTTCAGATTCACCGTTTCGGCTCTTAATTATTACTGAATCATGCGAATCATGTTGATTGAATTTGGTTAGTTGCTTCAAATTACTGTTGGGTCAACTGCCGACAATTTCTTGTAGCGACTGGAAACATGTGGGGCTACATTTTTCAATCTTATTGGTTTTGGCCAATGTGATCAAACTAATTTTAACCATTTTTGACAATCTTTCGTAGAGTAAATCTTTCAATCGACTATCATTCGAAGTTATGAAACGAAACCCTCGGGCATAACCTTAAGGTTTAATCCTCAGTGTTTAATGTTGATGAGCGCTTATTAATCAACTTGATGACTATCCAGAAAATGGGTTAAGGTTGTTTTAACTTGTTCCGATTGAAAATTTCTTTTTTTGACCGAAAATTATTAATCTAGTAATCGACATTACTTCCTGTACTACTATTCAATTGAAGCTCGAAAATTGCCTCAAGAAATTCATCTTAATGAGTCTTTAAAAGTGTACCTGTTTTCAATAAAAAATGGCAAATACGATTATGGTGTAGTGGAATGATGCTAGTGGTGATCACGAGGTATTAACGGTCAGATTTTAAATCACCGTACTTCCTGAATAATCGTATGATGGCAATATTACTAATGAAAGTAAATGGCCAATTCTTACGAGCTAGTCACATCTTGGTTGACTTCAGTCCTTAAAGTTGTTTGTAGTAAATATTGAACATCCGATTTTTCAGGTAATTCAGCTTGAGAAAATCAGAACATGGTCAACAAGTACTTCAAGAGGTACCAAGACTTCATCCTTAATACTCTCCCTTTGATTGATCCATGTTCAGCAGCTGTGAAACTGTTAGCCGCTCAAAATCGTTTTAGGCTCCTATCAGCTTGAAGATAATTTAACCCTGAAAATCAATCAACTCCGGATGACAAGTATTTAGGATATACCAATGATTTGAAAAACATGCAAAGTACAGTTGACAGACACAAATCAAAAGGTATTGAAAAGTGGACTTAAAAAGTAATCCATTTATGGAGATTAAATTAAAAGGAACAGCAGGAATATTGAAATATACAAGTTCACCATTTCTGAACAATTGGTCAAAATAATAACCAAAATTTACTTTCATCTCTTGATATGTTGGAACTTAATTTTAGTCAAAGAACTTCTTCTCTCTTTGAAGAAACTAATCAATACAAAATGAATTTCGTTAACAAAAGATTTAAAACAATTTGACTCAAATTATTTGAGTCTGGTTCAAAACGTTGGTTTATTTGGACGGCACAATTGGATAGTTTCAGACAGTAGTTCCATCTGAGAAATGAAAAACCAACTAAGATTACATGGCAAGAAATTTAATAAAATCAGATTTCTTTAATCTGATTGTTAATTGATTGATTTGAGATATTTGCCTCTTTTCATCCTCATTAATAGCTTCAATTTTTTCAAAATTTCTCGGTTCTTTTCCATGACTCTGTTCAGGTCGATGTTTAAAATAAACCGGGAGTTCAGTTTCTATAGTAACTTTGCAAACATTTTGACTTTTACAAATAACATGTTTTTATGAAATTGAAAGAATCAACCGGGCAATGATGAATCCCGGTGAATTTTTGAGACAGTTTTGTATTTTAAAAGCCGAACCTTCTAGTACCAACTCATCTACACCAGCAACTTTCTCTTCGACTGATTTATCGTCATCTACATCTATTAATGATTCTTCACTTTCGCATCCATCGTCAACATCAATAGCCAATCCAACCTCTTCTAATGAAACGAATATTGTCGTACCTGTGTCAATCAATGATAAATATATTTTTGTCAATAAATGGAGCGGTAATTTTTTAGCAATTGTTGGCAACCTTAAATCCGAGTCACTTATTGCCGGTGTTACCGGTGGTGTATTATCAACCCTAGTCCTTCATCCTCTAGATCTCCTCAAAATAAGATTTGCTGGTGAGTTTATCTTTATTCGATCACTATATCTATCTATCTATATCTTTTAATTATTATCAATTTAATGTATTTCAATGTTTTTTTCGATTATTATCAACAGTTAATGATGGCCGTTCATCCTTTCGACCACAGTATCGAAACCTTCGCGAAGGAATCAAAACAATTTTCAAACAAGAAGGCATCAGAGGTTTTTACAGAGGAACTGTTCCTAATCTTATGGGTGCTGGTGTATCTTGGGGACTTTATTTCCTTTTGTGAGTTTTTGTACTCACAAGCTTACCTTTTGTTGTTAATTTTTAATATTTTTTACACAGCTACAACTGTATTAAAGATTACTTGATGATGGAAAGAAAAGAATTGACGCCATGGTATCATTTGATGGCAGCCGGGGAAGCTGGTGTTCTTACAGTAATTTTAACAAATCCAATATGGGTTGTTAAAACGCGATTATGTCTTCAATATAGTAGTCAAGGGCAATTATTAAATTCTTTACCAAGCCATAAAGTTTATTCTGGTACACGCGATGCATTCTATAAAATTATTAAACATGAAGGAATCAAAGGAATGTACAAAGGAGTAGTTCCTGGTTTATTTGGTATTACACATGGTTCCTTGCAATTTATGGTTTATGAAGAGCTTAAAAAGAATATTAACAAACGACGCAATGTTCCAAACGAGACTAAATTGGGCAATCACGAGTATATTATGTGTGCAGCATTAAGCAAATTGGTTGCTGCTTCGCTAACGTTCCCATATCAAGTAGTAAGAGCTCGACTCCAGGATCAACATACTGTATTCAAAGGAGTCGGAGATGTGATAGTCAGAACTTGGAGGTCAGTATTTTCAGAAAAAAATTCTTTATAATTCGGTCAATGTCTTAAAAATTAAATCTAACATCTATTTTTTTACCAGGAATGAAGGAGCAAGAGGATTTTACAAAGGTTTGACTCCGAGCTTATTAAGAGTCGTCCCCCAAACTTCAATAACATTATTAGCTTACGAGAACACAATTCGTTTTTTGAAAGCACAAAAAAGTGAAGCTCATCAACAAAAAAACTCCTTGGATTAATCAATAATGGACTCAACGCTTATTGATTTTCAAGTTATGCCAAAATTGTTCAACCTTCGTCCCACACATTTCATAACTGCTCAAAATTGAATCAACAATGCGTTTAAATATTATGCAATTCACTTAATAACCAAAGAAAAATTTGGAAACAAACTCAATTGCATTGATTTTGGCAGCAATAGTTAAATTTTATTATTTGTAAACCATTTATAGCTTTGTTAATCTATTAAATTTTCTTAGACTTCTGCTTCACTGTTGCAAGTTTTTAGCAATTTAAAAGAGACACTTCTGATTTATTGATTCAACACAACTTTCGATGGCTAACGCAAGATAATTTCCAGGTGACTTGAAGATCCGTGCTGAACATTTTATCTTTTAAAATGAGTTTTGATCACATTGACAAGCTCATTTTTCAGTAATTCAATTAACTTTATGACGGTTGAAAAAAGTTGAAAATAATTGAGATTTTTACTATTTTAGGCAGTAGCTCCATCTGAGAAATCAAAAATAAACTAGGATTTACATGGCAAGAAATTTGCTGAAATCAGATTTCTTTAATCTGATAGTTAATTGGTTCATTTGAAATTTTTACCTGTTTACATTCTCATTGTTAACCTCAATTTTTTCAAAACTTCTCGATTCGGTTCCAAGACTCAATTTATTATTTATTACCTTACGATCTCATTATTTTAAGAGCAAATACTCTTGGAATAGATGTGATTCGCTCAAGCAACTCTTGGCTCTAAGCATTTTGTTTTCTTTTTCACATTTAGATTGTGTTTAACCCACGTGTTTTCATATTCCTATCTTTGTTGTTCAATCAAGTGATTTATTAATTATTTTTGTTTATAAGACTAAAAAAATGTCAGTTAAACCACGAAGAGCTAACAAATCCAATCCCATCAACAATAAAATCATAGAACCTCTAAAGGATGATGCTTTTGTGGCTGGACCCGGCCAGATGGCTACTCCGTAAGTTTTATTTAAATTTATCGTTATTATCAGCTCTCTTTGATGTTGTCGGTTGAATTAGTGACCTTTGTTGATCCTTGTTAGTGGTTGATTGTGTCAATCAATCTTTACTCGTTGAAGTTGGTTTGGTTATTAGATGATAGTGAGCATGAAGAAAGTACTCGTGGATTTTTTTATATTTGCTTGTTTCTAATTTATTTATCTAATCTTTTTTTCCAGGCTAACCCGACCGATTGCCAATGGCGTTAGAATGAGCAATCGTAAGAAGCGAAAACATGCAGACAGTCAATCAGATTATCAAAGTCTTGATGAAATGCTTGTCGATCCCAACGTGAGCCTTGAAATAAATTATGGAACCTCTCTAGGACCAATAAATGGCTCAAATATTCCATCCACTGGAAATTTGGTCAACGTTTTAGTTCAAGGTCTTCAAAGCCAGAATGAAGGAATGATTAGTACTGTATTGGATCGATGTGATTCAAATCTAATCAGAGAAACTATCCACAGTTTACCTAATGAAATGGTTGAAGAACTTTTAAAAAGACTCCATAAACTATTTTACCAGAAGGGCGATAGATTAATTCACTATTATAATTGGTTAAGAACTTTATTACAAGAAAAGCTTAGTGTTATTCTATTGGTATGTTTATATGATATAAAGCATTTATGCTTCTACAATTTCATTATATTAATGATATTTTTTTCTCTTTAGTCTAAAAGTGCACAACAAGAATTAACTTCTTTAAAACAGCTGTTTGCCACGAGATGTGATATTTTTGACCGAATGTGTGCTCTCAGAGGTAGACTAAGTTTAATTTCCAGCTTGGTAAGTCTTATCAATTACTTTTACAATATCAATATTCGTTGTTATTATCAAAATTACTGAAATATCATTTTTTCAACATTTAAAGATGGAACCAACTTCAAAAGATGGCCATAAGTCTGGAAAGAGCGCAACAATTAACTATCAAGAATCATCTTCTGAAGATGAAGACAACGAAGACGATGATGACGATGGAAATGCTTCAGATGAAGATTCAGAAGATAAAGACTTGGAACGAATTGTTGTCATGGACTTGTCTGATACTAACAATTCTGAAGAAGACGAAGACGATGATGATGATGACGAAGATGATGACGACGACGATGATGTTGATGATGGAGATATTGCTGATGAAGAGGATGAGGATGAAGATGAAAACAAAATTAGCATAGGGAAAAGGAAAAACATTTCGTACGAGGAAGAAATGACAGATGGGGAAGATAATGATGAAGATTTTGAATCAGCTTGATTTGAAAGAAAAATTATCAATGACATTTTTTTGTATTTATGTATTATATAGTTTTCGGTCCATCATAATGTCGCTTTTTGACAATATTAAATCATGGCTATTCTATAAACTGAATTGCTCTAACGCTAATTAGCTTTATTTACTATCTATGACCTATGCTATTGAAAAGCATAAAGCGAAAGTATGATAAACTAAGCGTGAATCGCTTGGTAAAACCAAAAAAAACTATCCACTCAATCGTTTCTAAAGATATCGATAGCTATTTTTTTAATCGATATTAATCGATAAAATATCGGAACCGCCCGACTCTCCTAATAGTATCCTTTAACGGAAAACAAAAGATCTAGGAAATAGCTCAATTTTGATAACTGATAGCTTTTTTATTGCAGTTTGCAATCTTTTATTAAGAAAGCAATTAATTTAGTAAGATTTTAATTAAATTTGCAAGTTTCTTTTCAAGTTCATTAATCTTGAAGTTACAGATTATTTTAAAATTGTGAAATTTTAAGCTTTTGTTTTTAATTCTTTTTAAGTTTCTAATTTTGGTGTGAAGAGACCAAAATGGACGGTTTTTACGATCTATGGTCAACTCGTCGAATCTTTCAACATGATCAGCATGATAAGTCTTTATGTTTGGATCATTTAACCAAGGATTTGGAAGAGTCATTTGTTAAAAAGAACGAAATTCGAAATCCTGGAGTTTCAGAAATCGATTTGGTGCAACAACCATCATTGAACAAACTACCTGTTGACTGTTTTCCCTCTCAAACTACCTCAAAACCAACTCGAGCTATTCGAGGAGCAAAGTATAATGACAATAAATTATATGACCAGGTTTGGCAAGAGTGTATTTCCATGAAACCAGATTATCTCAAAGATATCGTTAAAGCGATTCGTGAGTTAAAATTTGATCCAGCTAATAATGTATCCAATGGGTCAGTGACGACTGACAACATAGGAAATCGTTTTTCTCATCGTCTTCCTGGGAAATATTCTCAACATGGACATAAAAAACAATCTAATTTCGGTGATCAAAGATCTAAAATAAGACATACAAATTATTCATTAGGATCAATGCAAGGTAACAATACAAATTTCTGTACTCGCCCAAACTGATTCTACTTTTACGTCTATTAAAGGTCGGAATATTTCAATAATTTGCTTTCTATTTGATTTATAGTCTCGAACCGAAAATACTGAATTTTTTGGCATTTTGCAAAAGATCCTTCATTACCGCTCAATCTCGATGCAATGGGATGGCAATTTTTAATTTCCAGTGGAACCAAAAGTTTTAATGTATCAATTTGGGAGGATCAAAATAAAGAAATCATTGGTTTTTAATGTTTTAATCAAGAGTTTTAAAGATACGAATCACACATAATTTGGTTGACTTTAATTTTTTCGACTAAATATGTTCACTATACAATGCAAAAGATTTATCATTATGATACATAAATAATTGACTAAAATCTAATTTTTGATAGATTAGAAAAAAAGAAAGACTTGATTTGTTGTAATTCAACAAAAATTGTACAATAAATTAAAGTTATAAATAAGTTTGACTTGTACAGCGCTCATAAGACTGTATATCAGTTAAACTCTGGTTCCACAATAAAGTTTCTCCGTTAATTATGATAGATTGAAGGCAACCATTAAATCCAGAGTAATATTGTAAAGGAAGACCTATGGGAAGATCAGGAGATCCACCTAAAATGAGAAAAAGAGGAAAGAAGGTCAAAATATGAGCAATTATTTCAGCCGCTTTTTTAACAAAGCAAACTCACCAAACCAAAGAATACCATTCGTATTTAATTCAATTGCACCTCGAGATGAATGATAACTTAATGGAGATTGACTATCAACTTGCAGAATACCAAGTCTTTTGCTCCTGAATAAGAGAAACAAGATTAATTGTAAATATCATGATAAGACTAATTTAATGTTTACTTTTTCAAATGATATTTTGTCATACCTTATAATGGTTACATGGTGCCAACGGCCATCGGATACTTTCACTGGACTGCGAAGAGCAAAAGGAATCTGTTGACGACCAAGATTATAGCTCAACTCTAAAGACCCGGAAACGATCGCTAAGGACAGATAATCATTACGTAAAGAATATTTGGCTCCTTTACTTGTCCAGACTAGAAGTCCATTAGAGGCAGCAGTTTTAAATGTTATCTCGAGGAAAGTGTCCTTTGAACTAGTTGAACTGTTTAGTTGTTTTTAACAATTGGAAAACCTCGATTAATTTATTTATTTTAACTATAATCGCTTATTGTTAGCTGATTTGAAGCTGTCGATATGGACGGAAAGATATTTAAGACTCAAGTTTTGTGCGTTAGTTGGCTCAATTTGGTTAGTATAGAAAATTGATGTTGACTGAAAGACTTGACTGAAAAACATTGGTTAAGTGACGGTTAATATAATTGTTTTTCAAGGCGTAACAGTTTTAACAGCACTGTTGATTTTGGGATGAACTTTTAGTAGTGATTGATTGTTAGTGATGATGAGGTTGAACTCACATAGAATTTATTTGATTTTTAATGCTGAAAGGATTCGATCCATTTAATTTGATTGCTGATGAATCGTCTGACACACCAGGAAGCCGTTTTTCACATCGCCTTCCTGTGAAACCTTCTGAACAGGAACATAAAAAGCTATTTAATTTAGGCGAACAAAGACCAAAATTAAGGCAAACAGGCTGGCCGTTAGAGTTAATGCAAGGTGGACCATGAAATTGATGAATATTATGTCGACGAGAGGCACGCTCAACCAGAGAATCCCATTTATGACCATTGAGATGAAGATATTGAATTGAACCATTTAATCCAGGATAACGTGATTGAAACCAAGTTGTTGTTGTTTCATTAGGGACACCTCCAAGATGCAAAGAACCACGAAGATTAAGTTCATTAAAATTACCCTGAAATTAGAATGAAGTTGCAATTTAGTTTAAAGTACAATGTATGATTGGTTCAATCATCTTACCTTTGATTCGCCTGAGATTATTGGACCGGAATCAATTTGAAGAGTACCTTTACGACGATGTCTGATTGCTTTAACTTTGTACCATTTATTCAAGCTGATTTGATTGGGATATCTAATGATTAAAAACAAAACATTTCAGTGATGACACGAAATAGTTGATCAAAATAAAGATGTAAAATTACCTGATATAAGCAGGACCAGATCCTAGATTGAACACAAATTCAAGATAACCAGAAACTAGGGTTATCCAAAGATAATCTCCTTTGGTATATTTATTTGGACCACTGAATAAAATTAGGCCATTTAAGGCACGACTGTAAAAAACTAATTCAATTTGACAGACATGAGCCAAATTTGGATGATCATCGATAATTAGAAATGATGTTAATCTGAAATCAGGAACAAAATTCAGATCCATTTCTTTTTGAATAATATTATCTGTACTTGATTGATGCTCTGACAAATAATTAACTGACTGATGGTGATGATTGGTATGAGAAAAATGTTGATGATGTTGATGATCATGTCGATGAAATCCACCATCAACACTATTATCATCGTCTGGAGGCGAGGGTTCATCAGCTGGTGATTGACAAGATAAAGAATGACACAAAGAATCACAATTGCGGATACCATTTTGAGCCACAATTTTCTTGGAAGATGGGAAAGCTATATTTATTAACTCATGATTAATTGTCAATTTAATTAAACATCCAACCAACCCAGAAGAAACTCCTAAATTGTGGAGAGTACGATTGTTTGAACGGTCAGACGGGAGACTACCAATAAACAAGTAGTCGGCAAGATTGAGAGCCTTCATTAATCCTAAAGAGCGGCCAGTAACCGGATCCTGACCTGATACTGATAATAAACCTTCCTTGTGATATATTTTAGCAGTAATTCGAATCTTGCGCCGCAGTGGAATCTTATCTGGAGAGCGAAGAATCACCAAACCAGAACCTAAATTATAACGGAACTCAACTCGCCCATCCTTAATAGTTAAAGCGATAAAATCTCCAAAATCATTTGGCCTTTGACTATTATATAAAATAATTGCATCGTGTCTTGATGTTGTCATTTCAAGATCAATATCAAGTCGACTTTTGCTCTTAAGATGATCAAGTACTAAATAAGATCTCCCAAAAAATCGAGGAACATCAAACCATTTGGGTGGATCAAGATCACTTGATAAAACCAAGTTACGAGTCAATGAGATTAGTGGACTAGCAACTGGATCATTTGATAACATTTGATCATCTAATGAAATTGTAGGAGGTGAAATAGTTGTGGAAGTTGTTGTGATTGTTGAAGTAATTGAAACAGAGGTTGGTGAAGTTGTAGATGAAGTTGTGCGTATCGATGGAACATAAAGTGAATCTGGTGATGATTCGGATTGAGATTCTTCACTGGAAGATGGCAAAGAAGACGTTGTTGATGTTGACGAGGGCGATTCATTGCATGAACCTATTTTAATGACTGTTAATATCTTTTGATTTCGACATGCAACAAAATTCAGTTGACATGTACTTCCATAAGTATTATTGTCTGAGCCACAAACAGGAAGCAAATCACTTGAATCACAATTATACTGACAGGAACAGACAGGTGAGCGAGTTGGATCACTTTGAATACAGATTGATCCAAATGAACAATTCATCTGATCACATGTTATAATTTCATTCAACTTTGTCATTTTATCTTTATCGTAATCATAAATATCTTTTTCATCAGCCTTTTTCGATTCTCCATCAACGATAATGCATCCAAACTGAGTAAGCGTTTGTCCAGGAACACATACATCGCATTTCATACCAATGGCGTTATCTTTGCAAACACACCGACCAGTTGTTTGCTCACAATCATCCCGAACTGAGCCATATTCATTACAGGAACAAGCTAAATTAAATATAACCAAAATCAATAAGTTTCACAATTTTCTTACTAATAATAATTTTATAACTTACGTATACAACCTGCATTTCCATCTGATATCTTGTGTAGGCCCCAATAGCCGGGTTCGCAGCGTTCACATTTCAGTCCACCTGCAAGAATGATTCAAATTCATTAAAATTTAAAAAAAAATTAAACGTCAAACGTTCAAAAATTAAGATAAAAAGGCAAAAGTCAATAAAAGCTATCCAATTGATATAAAGCAAAAAACTAACCAACTCCAGGTTTACATGAGCATTGTCGAGAAACTGGATCACAAGTGGTTCCAATAGATCCAAGCCTATTGCATGCACAAATATCGGGACATCCAGCATAATTTGGACCTCGACTGGGAGTCTCTCCATCAGAACAGCATCCATATCTTGTATCCTTGCAATCATTTGAGTTGTCATCTGTTTCGCGACTCAAAATGTCTGCTTCTTTACAGATTTCTGGAGAAACAATTGTTAATGGCTTTCGATTATGACAAGATTTCTCCATCATTGAACACTCATTTGGATAAAAATAAGTATCATTGGCACAAATAATTTCAGATGAGTTGGTTTCGTCACAGTTAAATAAGCATAAACATTCCCAATTCCCATCAGAAGATTGACTGCAAGTGGATCCAAATTGGCATGACATTTTACCTCCACATAAAGATTCTACAGGGGATTCCGTTGTACTCGATGATACTATAATATTTAGTACCGATTCTGTTGTATTTTGCTCAAACTGTATTTGAGATATGTTAAACGAACTAGCTGTAGTTGACTCTATAATATCAACAGCAGTAGGTAGATTTAATTGGTTGATTATGTTATTTTCAGAAGGTCGAGATTCGTCTGAGCATTTACCGTAAAATCTTACAGATAATTCGATATTAGTTTGGCATGAAATTTTTTCCATTTCACATTGATTACGATAGGTGACTCCATCAGAAGCACAAACAGACTCATTTTCTTCTGGACAATCTTCACGACAATTACATTCACCATCATCACAACGAGATTCACTGTTGTTGCTACATTTAGTTTTTTTACATACATTACATGCACCTAAACGAAAAGTAATATAAAAATTTTTATTAATAAAAACATTACATCAGTAAATCAAAGACTACCAGATTAACATACCTTTAGATTCTACCGCAATATATGTTTGCTGTTTACAAGAAGTAACTCGTAGTGAACACTCGTTTGGATATGTTTTACCGTCAGTACCACAAACTGGTTCATCAACAGGTACACATGACTCAGAACACGAACATTTTGATCGACCAAGGCTATCAGTTTCACAAATAGAGTAATGATCACATAAAACATTTTGACACCCTCCTGTTAATTAAGAAGCAAACCATGAGTCAATTAGTATCCATGATCCATTATCAGGATCAAGATCAAACAATACTTTGAGTATTTTATCTTAAGATTCATAACAAATCAAAAAATACATAACCAAAGATTATTAATTGTGCTTAACTCTAATATAAATTCAACTCTTTTGTTTATGAAATTATCCATTTTAAAACATAAAAATCTATGCTAATTAAGTTCTTCAGAATCTTTATGTTACTCGAGAGATAAGTTTCATGTTGGTTTAAGTTAATAAATCAATACTTACCACAAAGGCCTTTGTAAGCAACTTCAATGGATCTTCTTTTCTCACAAGACTCTCTTGCTAATTTACATGGATTAACATATGAGATGCCATCAGTTCCACAAACTGGATTGTAATCTTCAGTACACGATGTTGGACATCGACATCGAGATGTTTTACTGGACTTATCAACATCACATATTGCCCCGAAAGAGCAAACAGTTTTTTCACATTGGTTATTCATTGAACAGGAACCGTAATGTTTAACTTTAACCGGTTGATTGAGTAAACATGATTTACGTTGTAAATCACACACAGATTCATAAGTAACTCCATCGTTGCCACAGATTGGCTTTAATATTGGTGGACATTCAGACGGACAAAGGCATGATGCTGTACCTGACTGACTCAAGTCACACATTGCATAATTGGAACAATTAAGAGATATACATTTATCGTTAATTTTTGATGAATTGCAGTCACCTTGGTGAATAATATATAAATTATGTCTACTTCGACAAGATTCAACTCGAAGGAAACATTCATTGGCATATGTTTTACCATCAGAGGCACAAACAGGTTTAAAGTTATCATTGCAAAGTGAACTACATCGACATATTGGATTACGATGTTCATCTAATTGGCATATTTGATTAACTGGACAATCAATTCCATCACACGGATCTGTCAAAATATACAACAAAAATGCATTAAGTAACGATACTTGATGGTGATACATTTTGCCAAACATTGACTGAAAATTACCGCATTTTCCGTGATATTTAATTGTTACATCAGCTGAATGTATGCAAGACCATCTTTTAAGTTCACATGAATTGGGATAATTCATCCCATTTGAACCACAAACTGATCCTGATGATTTAGTATCACCATAAATTAAACATTTCTCTGGACAAACACATTCACTTGATCGACCATCGATTGACGATTTACATATTCCTCCAAATGGACAAATTTTATCCTCGCAAGGATCTTTAACCTCTGTAGATGAGATGTTTAAAAAAAAGAAGTAAACCATCAGAAGAAAATCGATCAAAATTACTTTGGTCATTAAAACTGTTGGACCAGATATGTAATCATCTTAATCGATAATTTCATCGATTGCTAGCTGATGTAAAATTGGGTATCAAATGGTAGGATAAAAGTAATTCAAGAATCATCAACACAAAATTGATCTTTTCATTAATGAAACTCGCTGAAATGAACACTTTATCACCATTCAACTCAAGTTTAACCTTAAACGATCTCAATTCAACTTTGATTCCCTTGTGAATGTAAATTAATTTTAATCGCCCAGATTAAATAACCTGATACAAATAAGCCACCAGATTAAAACGTATATCAATGTTAATTAAGAGATGAGAAGGAGAAAAAAATATGGATTACAAGTAATTGTTAGCTGTTAAAGGATTAACATGAGAGGATGAACAAAAAAGGATACATTGCTGTTTTGAGCTTGGCTGTTTTGACTTTGGCTGTTTTGGACCCAAACCGATTAAAATGGATGGATTGGTGGAAATAGAGAAATGCGAATTTCATTCATTAATCTCAACCTGTTCATTGATTTCTATTGAAAATGTACAGTCTGTTGGCACAAGATTATGTGGAAACAATTTTTTCAAGATTATAAATGGTATGAAGAGCCAGATGAAAATCAATGAAGGTTTTAATACAATCTTTTACACCTAACGACTATTAGTTTCAATTGATGTAAAAATCCCTGTAAATGGTGAGTTGATTAATGGTTTGAGGATGAAGATGATGATGATCATCATCATCATCTAAAAATCATTTTGTCAAAAGAGAAATAGTTTCATAACAAATTGAATTTGTATGGAAGTGAAAGAAGAGAGTTTATATCTAATTAGTTTCCTTTTCCTCGAGAAAAAGGTTCAATCTTTCATGTTATTTGATTAAATGAAATCAAAAAATTTACTTTCTTCTCAGTGTCAATCCTGTTATAATCCAACACCTTAAGATTTACTCAACTATAATCAAAGGATAAGAAGACCCATTGTTACGACAAAATTGGATAAACAAATTTCTATATTGGGTGGATTGATGTTTAAAATGAACCCAAATCCAACTGCTGTTTGACCATCAAAGACAATCAAGATTAACCCTTCCATTATTGACATGATTAATTCACAATTTACTTACGACATTCACCAGGATGTTTAACAAAAAGGGTGGTTCGTTGGTTACATGAAGCCAATTTCAATTGACATTCACTTGAATAAGTAATATTATCACTGCCACAAACTGGAGCAAAAACATCAACTGTACAGGTAGATAAACATTTACAGAAAGGTTTGCCCGTTTTTTTATCAACAACACAAGCAGCTCCAAAAGGACAAAAAAATTTATCACATGGACCTGTAATTAAAATCAAAAATGAGTGTTTAATCGGTGTAATCAATCACAACTTGAATGAACAAAAAGATGCAAAAATGCCTATCAAAATGTTAACATTGAACGCCTTCCAGACTTTCAAAAATCTCAACAAAATGTACATTATTTGTATAAAAATATATTAACAGAACCACCGCAAAATTAATATCAAACATGATTAAATGGTTAGTTAATGAAAAAAATTAGATGATTTCATCTGTAAATTGAAAGCGATATGTAAATAGGAAAAGCTACATGTTTAATGTATTTTAAGGTTGTTGATTTGATTAGCATTAAAAAACGCCTAAGCTGTTAAAATCGCCTACTTAATTTAATTTGCAACACTTAACCTTACAAAATTTAATCACTGAAAGGTAAAATTATTTCTATAAATTATATTATCAAATTTATTTTGAAACATTACAAGTCTAAATGACCATTAAAAAGGCCATTCAGATATGGTTAAAATGTATTAGACTTAAGTTAATCATTGGCTATAAGAAGGTTAATTTTCACCTTTTTGTTTTTCCCATTCAATTGAACCCAAAAATTCAATTTATAGTCAATTTGATGACCATTTAATTGTCAATCTTGAACCTTCAATTGAGACTTTCAAAGGCCTAAGAGACAAATTTACTGTCAATCTATTTTTAGTGTTGATACTTGGATTGAAATGAAATTGTGATTAACATTTACCTCACACAGTGTTAATCATCAAGGTGCGTTTCAACAATTTGTACAATTGATATTGTAAAGAAAGTTAAATTGAAAATCAAATTACTTGGTTTGACAAAATTAACATTTTTCAAGTTCATCTTGTATCCATTAACCAAGCGTAATCTGACAAAATGATATTTAGTTACATTTAATTTAGTTTCAATTTTTAAGGATTAACTCGAGTAGCAATTTGATTGACGTTTCAAGTATCAGCTCGATTAAAAGATTGATTTACAATGAAAAACGATGATGAGCCTGAATCTTGCAAAGGTTACCAAAGGATTGATTGTTTTCACCCATTATTTCAAGCATTATTCAGACTCAATTTTGTCCATTAATTATGAATAATAATTAGATTGGCATTTTTAATCATAAATGTTGGCCATAATTAATAGTGAACAATGAAGGGAAAAATGTGATTAAGATTTGGTTTCTTAAGATAATCAAATGAAGACAAACCTTGAACAGTCTTTGATTGACATTTACATTTAATTTTGATTGTGATTTAATGCTATTATTTTACGACCTTTTCCCTCTAGTAATTAAAGTTGTTTTAATAATTGCAATGATGAAAGTAATTAAAAAAGGTTGCAATTTAATGAATCAATTTGTATCAAAATTGCTTTAATCGTTGACTCGACATCAATGATTTTGATTTGTAATTTTGATTTTGAATGGGTTGACAATTGGTTGATTATTTTAGGATAAATGGCGAGTTTAAATTGAATAATTTAATACAATTTAACCTGAATAATTGAGTTTCTCTGTGATTAATGTTGATATTGATTAACTTGCTGACAAAAAAAGATTGTCATGATTTATTGTCTTCAATGGTTTTCCTTATGATTAAGATGATTGCTGTAAACATGATAACAAGCATGATTGATGAATTAAGACTGATTTGTGATATGATGAACTGAAAATTAATACCAATAGTTAAATGTTTCGTGATTAAATTGAAGGTATTTTTTAATGATGTAAAGTTTCTAATTTTTACCAATCAAACAGAGTCACGCAACAATTGAAGTTTCTGTAACATTTTTTTCAGGTAAACAATGATTTTAAGCAGCAATTTTAATATTACATTTACATTAAATTGCAATCAATTGTTACATTTAACTAGGAAAAATGAAAAGTTCCGATAATGATGAGAAGTTAATGATTAACTGTCATTACAACTGTTGTAGGTTGAAACGGTGTTCCATACCACAACATTGCTCATTTGTTTGTATTCAATATAACGTAGGTTTTGATTGCAGATTTACTTGATTGCTTTTGTGATTTGTTGATTTATTTAATTTACCTTTCACACCTTCATTATGTCAATCAAGTAGATTATTGTCAATTTAATTTAACGTTAATTTGGTCAAAGTTGAAAGCATCAAGTGAAGAAAAAGGTAAACATTTGTATTCATTGAGATGCAAACCCGAGAAATGAATTTAATTTTGACAAGTAAATTTATTGTCTAATGGAAACCATTTAAACTAATCAAAGGGCCAATTTAAGTAGTTGATGTAATATTTTATTGTATTGTACATTAGCTTTTGCAGTAGGTTTCTTGTTATACAGAAAGATTAACGTTGCAAGGTAAATCTCAGGCCTAACCTAAGGGAATAGCCTAATAGACCTTTTTATTTACCTTTTTTTCTTGCTTGTATCTATTGATTGATTGCTTGACTTGGCCAGGTAAACATCATTAATTGAAAATGAATCAGAAATTGTTTCATGACATATCAGAATAGGACGGAATCAAGGACGGAACAATTTAATTGCAATCTGTTGATAAAGAAGACACAGAAAACACTTTAAAAGACATCAGATGTTTTTATATTTTACAAATTAAATCCATTAGACTGGATATTTTGATTTATTGGATAAATTACATTATAAAGTCAACTATTAGGGTGTTATATTATCTTTCAATATCACATTTTTAATCACAATTTTGTTAATTCATCAACATTAACCCGGAACTTGAAGGTCTACCTTAAAGATTGAGAGTTAATTTTGAAACACACAAACTTTGCGCCTAAACAAAGTGAAGGAGCAGGAAAAGCATATAAGCATAAAAAGCATTGAACAAGCGTTTCTCTTAGCGCCTACATTTTTCAAAGATCTCCTAACGATAACGTTCATCTTGAAGCTTTTTTTTTAAATGTATCACTCCCTCTCACTCTCATCTTTTTTTTACCATCATCTCTATCATCAACTACAATCATTAACTATAAACATCAACTATAATCATCAACTAATCTTCTGGTGTTCCTTAAAGTGAAATAAGCAACCAATATTGATCTTTCTTACCTTGAATCAACTTTAAGGCAAATTATCATCTTCATGTTTCTCAAGTTTTTTTACCTTTTGCCTTGAGCTTATTTTCACAGCATGATAATATTATCATATTGTTCAGTTATTATATGCTGTGTGGTTATTATTTGCATGGTACGGGACTCTTGTAATAATTGTAATTTGCTGTTGTAGAGACACCAAGCAGGAGAGGGTTTAACTATGGGTGGTAAGTAACCATTGTACATGCTTTTTTACGCGCTTAATATGAATTGGCTTTTTTTAACCGTTTTTTTTACTTCTCTCTAATTGTCTATTCACAGTGTGATTTTGGATCCATTTTTGGTTTTCAACTCAAATTGGCTGATTTTATAATTGGTTTAACAACAACCACAATTAGCATTAACATTCAAGTTGCCTCCTTTTGTTTCAATGTATTGTTTTTTTCCTGGATTCACCAACAAGGCAAAGCAAAAGGATGGTTTAATTGTGCGATTATAATCTTGACTTTCTCTTCTTTGGCCGCGAGTTTCCTTTGTAGTTAACTTTTCAAACAATACCAGCTAAATCACCTTCTTCGATCACAGTTATACTGATCTATTTTGATCTCAAAGTCAATTTCATTTGAATGGAAAGGTAAAATGGTTTTGACAAAGGGAAACCTCATTTTGTGATGTAAAGACCTACTTGTGTGTTTATCTACATCTTTTTTTGCCATCCCTTTCTTTTTTGAGTGTTCAGATGTTGTTGATGTTGATTATTAAGTTTATGATTTAGAGACATTTAATAGCCGTAAGGCATTTGCTTTAACAAGTAGAGGATGGCAAAAAATATGATGAAGATGATGAAGGAGATGAAAGAGAAGCAAGAAAACAACTTTGACCTTAAACTCCTCCTTGTTGATAGTTCCTTTGAGTTTCTTGAACAATCCGCAAAAAAAGTGAACAGAAAAAGCTTAGAAGCAAAATAAATATCTAAAATACAAGGTAAAATATTTACTTATTTAAGGGTCAAATCATTTTGAAGCTACTTTTTTGTTTCCAATTTGACTTGAAATCATCAAAATTGATCCAGAAGCAGCAAAAAGTCCAGTAAAAAACAAATCTAATTGTAACCATTTTGCCAACTAATTAAGCTTTTGTTAATCAAGTATGAATGAGAAAGCTCAGCATGAGATGGCGAAAAATTGAAAGTGAAGATGATAAAATGATGTTGGAGCAAAGATGATAACTAGAGAGATGGAAACGCAAGCTTAATAATGATACAAGAGATGAAAGTTGGGAGTGCTGAGATATCATCAATTTAACATCATCTTTGGTCAATTTTAATAATTTTTTTAATTGCATTTTAACTAACAGACAAATGATGATCCTAATCAAGACAGAGTCCAAGTAAAAGTACCATTTAACTGATAATGTTTTAAAGGTAAGATGAAGGTTAATCCAGCTATTATGGCCAATAATTATAATTCCCATTTAAATTGGGTTACAATTGCAAGACAATTTACTAATTTCACTTTTAAATTTGCCTCTTAATTGCAACGTTAAATTACACTGTTGGTGAAACAAATTTAAGCTTAACATATCAATAATAACTTCTCGGAGCATTTAGTTGAGCAAAAAAATGTTTCAAGCTTCTGCACTTAATTAACTAATGATAATGAGCATGTTTAATCTAATTAACAGGTTATCTGGTAATGAATCAGGTAAGACAACAATCAATAAATTAGAATGAATGAGAATCGTGTAAATAAGGCGTTTCATCGCCATTAATTAATCAAATTGCCAATTGACAGTTTCGATTGTTACACTGAACAAGTTAACATTCAACTTTGAAACTTTCAAGATTAATTGATTACAAAGATTTACTGCGGTTAATCAAGCGAATTGGTTGCATTTAATTGTTTACCTGATAAATTAAATAATTTGATTTACATTCACCAAAAATGTTTAACCTTTGTGTTAATAATATAAATGCAATTAAAGTAAATAATAGTAAATAACTCGACTCATTGAGCGTAAACAAAGTTTTCATTGTTAAACCGTTCAACTAATTTCAATTACAATTCAAAGATTGTTTCCAAATTGAAATTACACAAAAGGTATTTCATGTTGTTTCATACTTTCATTCAAGTTTCAGTCAACTGATCAAGTTATATTGAATTTATTCAGATTCATCTTTTTCTCGTTTTTAAATGAACATATTTTTTATTGTAAATTGCCAATCAAATGGTCAACAATTAACTGTTTTCATTTTCATAACCTTTCAACTTAAACCGGTTTAGTCAACCTACGCTTGATACCTAATATGGTGTTTAACAAATAGTTTAATGATCAACTTTGATTATCATTTGACTTACAATTTACAATGAAATTAAAAAACAATTGAAACTATTAATGCTAACGGATTTCAATTTTAAAATCTGATATCTTAATCTTGATTAACTCTAATTGATTCTAATTAAGATTCAATCTTGATTGATGATTTTATAATCACTCAACGACATTAATCAAATCGACTTTCAATATTTCCATATTTTTGCAAACCTTTTACTCACTTGATAAATGATTATCGACTTAATAATGAATTTTTGTTTTTGATGGAAAATTTGATTATGATTATTTGCTTATTGATTGCTGTTTAATTTTGCAAAAATATTTAAATTTGTTGAACAAATTGGTGAAAAATTGAAACATAATTTGGTTGTGTTGCCTGGTTTACCCGAGTTAACATTGGCAAAGTTGAATTGCTTTTTGTTGGTTAACCATTTTAGTCAATCTGAATTTTTAATTAAAAATTTGATTAACTTGCTGATTGACTTTCATTGTGTAATTAGTGTCAATTGAAAGAGGAAAAGTAAAATGATTGGTTTAATGAAAGAGTGAAGAAGAAGAGGAAAAAAGTTAATCAATAATCAAGTCTAAAAATGGTTGAAACTGAATTGGATGAACAATGTAAAGGCCAAGTCAATAGGGAGTTGAACAAGGAAAGGTTAACCGGTAAAGTCAAGGGAATCCAGTATCTCTTTACATTCAACTCAGGCCTAAAGTCAAATTACAGTTTCAACTGGTTTAACTAGATACTAGATGAATCATAATCAAGTGTCAACCAGAATAATTAACTTTCACTTTTTGCAGAAACCTGTGAATGCAAAGCACAACAACAACAAAAAGACTGTCATGATTAAATTTCATTAGGTAAATCTATAAAGCAAAGTGGCACTGAGTGCATGGTAAGAGTATAAATTGAATGGGAAAACATTTTGAGAATCGATTGGTTTTTATAAACCAATATTTAGGAGGATGAAAAAGTTTGCCAGGATGAAGGTGAAGGAATGAAGAGGGAGGAAGATGAAGATAAGGATGAAGTAGATGATGAAACTGGAATGTTTAGCTTGAAGGTAAAGAAAAATTGTTGCGATTATTTTACCATGTGAGTTCAATTTATAAAATATGTCAGGTTAAGGAAGATGAAAGGAAGAGAATAGTCTTTCTGAATATATTTTTTCATCTTCTTTTACTCTCTTAGTTTGATATTTATTTTGATATTCTGTGAGCTTTTTTTTACCATGTTTACTGATTTTTTTTCAGTCTGTTCAAGTTTGCAATTTTTTAAACAGTCAAACATGTTTTTTGAATCATTTCAAGATTTTCAAGGAACGAAAAGTTGGAGGAAAAAAAGTTGCCAAAGTGTGACAATAATTTTGTGTCCAAACTGTAGACAATGAAAAGATGAAAAAATATAAACTCACACAATAATGTAAAAGCAAGAGATGCAAATAAAAAGATGAAATGAGACTATTTTTTCCTTCTGTCCACTTTTGTCCATTGTGACACTTGAGTTTTTACACATTCATGAGTCCATTGATAAGTTCTGTGAATGAACATTGGAAAGGGCTGAGAAGCTCTTGGAAGCAAATGCTAAGAAGCTTGATTAGTTGTAAATTGATGTAACTTGTAACTCAAATAATTACAGTTTGCTTGATAATGTCAAGGTGTGTTGGCCATTGTTACTGAAGAGGAGGATGTCAAGAAGATAATGATAAGATGCGGATAAAGACAATGTTAATGCATCCTGAATGGTTAAAGCCCTTAAAGGGCGAACTCAATTGTTTGGGTTTGTTCAAGTTTAACCCAATAGACCAAATATTGTATGATAATCACTGAAAACTGTTTAAATTCAAACATGATTTAAACATTTATAACTCAGCATAATCAAAGCGTAAAGTTGAGGAATGGAAATGCTTTCTGAGGTGAAAAAAAAGAAGATACTGAATAATTTGAATTCATTTTGAAACCTTTTCCTCAATCGATCGATAAACTTGAACAAGCTTTACCTTAATGTTATTTCACTTAAAGTCAATATCTTTAGTCAATGAACATTAAATTTGAAGCATTTAATTTTTCACAATTTCATGGAAAAACCTTTCAATTCTAATTTGAGATTTTCATCGTACAATTGATTTGCTTTTTTCTCGATAAATTCACAAGTCTGTAAGTCTATCATTCAGAATTTAATGAATTCTCGGAATCTTTTTTTCTCCAGCAATGATCAGCAATTTGTTTCAACAGCATGCTCTAATCAAACGAGTCAAGATTGCAGTTAATCTTGCAATGTATTAATAATAATCTTACTTAATCTGTTAATCCAAATGTATACAAATATTATTTGAAAGTAAAACAATTATTCAATGTTAACATGAGTATGAAACTCGTGAAACAAAAGATAAGGCAAAGCAAATAATAATACAATAATAATAGTAATAAGATGACTTACGTTCATCCAAATCTGTATAAACCTTGGCTGGTGAAATATCTGTAATGAATGGAGAAGAAGAAAAATTGATCAGAATTGAGTGAATCAAGTGAATCAAGTTTCCAACATTGTGCTCATCATTGTGTAAGCTTAAAATATGATCATCATCATCATCTAAGGAGATAATAAATGTTTTCAGGATTAAATTTGTTTCACATGCTTTGTTACATTGAAAAATGATTAACTTTCATCAACAAAATAACATGAAAACTCATCACCATTCCCATCAACTTGAAGTGATAAACAAAAGGTTGACGATCAGATTGGTTAAAATGATTGCCTCTTAACTTTTTTTTTGCTTCAAAATAAAAATCAAAATTGTTCATTGACATCAATCATGAACCTTTCTTTCAGCTAATGCAAATAAAAAATGATAAAATGATCTTTTTTCTGCATCTTAATTTATCGCCTTCCATGAAACATGAGATGAAACTGTAAATATTATTTTGACACAAGTGCAAATAATATCAACTTTAATTGGTAACATTTCATGAATTGAGAGAACAGAAAAAAGAAGTTCATTTTTATTAAAAAATATGGAATCTTTAAAGTTGAAAAGTTTATCAAAACTATTATCATTGTCATTATTATCATTATTTTTATCAACATTATTGTTATCGTTATCGTTATTGTTATTCATTTTCACTCCCAACGTCAACTCCCTGTATTGTGCTAAATTAAAAACTAAAGGTTGACTCAAACATACTTGACTGATTTGAAATGTGAGATGATAATTAAGATAATATGATACTGAGAAAGTGAAGAATCATGATAATGACAATAATTTGGGTTCCAACAAATAAGCTTCCAATGAATTTTTGATAACCAATTTTTCCTCAAAATCCTTTTAATGTAAATTCAACATTTTGTCACACAATAGTAGCACAGAAACATACGCTTTTGGCTCACAGAACGAAACACAAATGGAGGAAAAAAGTTCAATATAAAATCCATCGAGTTGGAGAGTAGCCATTGTTGCTTTCAAAAGGATGGACATTAACGCATTATGATTGCCTCCGATGCGTTTGATTTACTTTATCTTGGAATTGCTAACTTAAAAATTGAACTTTGAAGGAACTTTTGAAGTTGGTTTAAAGCTTCGTTAGCTTGCGAAGGAAATTAATCAGTTCTGTCAATAATTCTGAAAGAATGGCACAAAATTGAATAGAAATGACTATTCATTGTGCAATCAACTATTACAATGGTTTTAAATTACAAATGGAAGGGAAAATATTTCCCAGGGAAAGAAATATTAGCAACGAAAGGAAAGAAATCGAAATTAAACTATTTTTTCGATTCCTGGATATCTTTTGATTATTATGGTTCTACAGCTGGTTAATCAATCGGCTCTTTCAAATTTTTAATCTTTAAATATGAACATACATTCACAGAAAATATCAGCATTGTCTAATCATATAACTGTTGATGAATGACTCGCTTTATCCTGATTAATCTTCTGGTTGGAATGAAAACTTTTCAATTTCTTATGCATCATTGTCTAGTCTTACCTTCGGTGATTTGATTTTCGTCCTTAAATATGTTTGAATGAAGATCGAAGTTTAGTTTGCTTCATTTTCTGATAACTATTGACAGAATTTCTTCAATTATTTTGATTATTAAATTTTTTCATTTGCTTATCAAATTTCAATTGAAAAGTTGATTGAAGGAGAAAAAAGTTCAATAATATTTCAGAGATTGACAGTGAAAAAATTGAATTATTTTCACCTTTTTAAAGCTTATTTGAAGCGAGAAAAAAAGTGTTCAGTAATTTATTAATTTTTAAACTCATTGAGTTATAACTGATTGTTATTACATAATGAAATAGTTGAAAGTGTTTTTAAAATTGATTTATTATTTCAGCTTTTGTTGTTGTTGGCCAAAAGCTACAAGAAGCTGACCTACATTATAATGACCATTATTTTGACCAACTAATAAATGATAATTGTGATGAAAAATGATCTTCATTATTTTCCTTTATTATGATTAACTGAGCAACTTTTTGCCTTTTCGCAAAATAATATTATTCATGAGAGCAATTAAGACTGATTTACTTGATGATCAATGGTTGATGGATGAAGCTTTGGTTTCAGTTGAATTGAACCACAAAATTTATTATCATTTTGGGTCATTTTCATTGAAACATTTTCCAATCTCTTTTTTGTTCAATTTCAAAGTCAATTGATTTTGTTATTTCTGAATACAATTCTTATTACAGTTTGCATTATCTTTACTTAAACCTTTTCAACTTGTAACATTACCATGAAAGGTGCAATAACAAAAGGTAGCCAAGCAACTCATGATGATTATGAGCGGATAAAAATGAATATATTTTTGGTGCAAAATTTGAGCAAAAAAAGTGTTTCACTTTTTGGTTGCCTTTCACCTCAGATTGGATAAGCTTGAAGAAGATGATATTCAATGTAAATTATATGTTACAGGATAACAAGTTGTCATCATTTTGTTGCTCAGATGAGTTAATGAAGATGCTTAAAAAGAGGAAAGTTAATGATGAACAAAAGTGACTCCTTAATCAACGATATAAATCACAATTAGACAATCATTTGACTGCCTTCAACTTATCATATTTTTAACCAGTTAAGCTGAATAATCACTTGGAATCGGTGGGAAATATTTTCAAATGATTTTGCCTTTTGTTTTGTTCAATCTAACAATTGATTAAATTTAAAACATTTCAAGGGATTTGTCATGATTTGAAAATGATAATTTATTGATAATGTAAAATAAATTGTTTAGAGATTCAATTTGTCAGAGTTTTCGTAATTGTTACCGAATCCATGAAGTGGCAATTTACAGTCATAAACATGTTATCCTCATCTTCATCCTTCTAACTGCAACTGGAAAAGTTGTCACATTTAACGCTTTCCTTGTTACAATCAGTTCAATCATCGAATCTGATTTTTTCTTCCCTTTTTTTCGTCTGTTTCATGACAAGAGCAAAAACAGTTGAACACATAAAATGGAGGGAATGTTGAATCAATCAAGGAACCATAATATATGATGCTTTAGTGTTTTTTTTGGATCTCCTTTTTTTGCCATTGGCAGTCATATTGTATCAAATGTTTTGCTTGTTTATTTCATGGAAACAACAGAAAAAAGGGAAAAAAGAAACAAAAACAGAAACAAGGAAAAGAAGGGAAGAAAATGAGAGAAAGAAATGTCAGAAAATATCATCATTTTGATCCTCATCATTTCCATCATCTTTCCTGGAAGAAAAATATGACAAAAGGTGATACACTGAGACACCAATTACATGAAACACTTGATAATAACATTTGAAAATGATGTGAATTAAGAGTGAAAATTGATCAATGATCAACATTAGTTTCTTTTGTTAGATGATGATGAAAATGGCGACTAAAATTGTTGATCCATCACTAAAAGACTAATATTATGGTTGATATTGATTCCATCGAATAATGGACTCAGTTTATCATGAAAGATGTTAGATTAATATTTGCTTCAAATGATAGAGCATTTGAAAAAGAGAAGCAAAAATTTCCTTCTCATTTCACTGATAGAATTTTAATTAAAAGTTGATAACAATTGATTAACCATTGCTGAGAAACTAATGAAATGAACAATTTTAATTGCTCCTAACAACGTAAAATCACAGTCAGAACCTGTCTTCACAATTTTCAAATGAAAAGCCAGGCGAAGTTAATCAAATTACAATTGACCAAATGTTGTAAATCACTTGAAATGCTCCTGATACAATTCATGATTATCGAAATCATTGATATAATAGATGGTGAAAGATTATGGTGAAAGATGAGTTAGATTAACATTTTTTATGGATTATTGATGACTGAATTGGCAAGACAATATTATGAGTCGTTGATGGCATCATCATCATCATTTATAACATTATTGTTGGAAAGTGATGAGAAAAGTTGAATTCCCTTCAATTCTGGGATCACAATCAGGAACAAATGAAAAGGTTCAGCTAAAGCTTATTATTACATTTAAACTTAATTTCAACCCACAGTTGACCCTTTGCAAATTGTAACAATTTTTATAGTTGCCAGCAAAGATGTTATTATTTCAACAAAAAGAAAGCTGAAAATTCAATCTTTTTTTCTTGTAATCAAAATCATTTCCAACATTAATCTTGTAATTTTTGTTGATTCAGAACTTTTTACCAATAAAGAAGGTTGAAACCTCATTGAAATAATGATGCTATTTTGATTCAATTAACCAATTTTCGGCTTCATTTTGCTGTTCAAATTGATTCTTGATTTATATTTCATCGTTTTAATGCGATTTACAAACAAAATTAAGTTTACTTTGTAATAATGTTGACAATAAATAATAAGATACATTAATCAGGTTAACCAGAAAATTTGTTACACAGAACCTTTTTTTAGGTTTTTGGTAATGATTGAGATTAAATTGTCCATTGTAATTGATGCTAATTAAAATGGTTAAATGGTGTTGGATGTGATTAGTTTCAATTAGGAAACAGTTAAGAAACATATTAAATGGTTAAACGAGTTATTATATGTTGAGTTTGCAATCAACGAAAAAAGGTCTCTTAATGGTTTCAACCAGTTTCTTTGGTTAATTTGAATAAAATGATGAGAAGTTGATTTAATGAATTGAGATGATGATGATGATTGTTACATGGGTTAAGGGCGACATTGGAAGACGATTTCAATGAAAATCTTAAACAAATGTAACTTAAATGACAATTTAACCAATTTGAATAACATCAATAAGGAGGTTAAAAGATAATGATAGAAGAAGATGAAAAGATTGAATTGCAATCATGATCATTATTTGAAATGATATCACAAAGTGTTTACTTTCAGTGAATAATTTTAGGTTGATTGTTGTATTCAAATGATAATACAAATCAAATAAGGTTCAACATTTTTTCATCATCAAAATACTTCAACATTTGCATGATAAGCATGGAAAACCTTTCAACATTAATATTGAATACTGACTGGGAATTAATTACAGATACAGAAAATAAACAATTTTTGGTGAACAAGAAAAAAAAGTGAAACCATTAAAACTGAATCAAAGGTAATTAGATTTTTGCAAGTTAACCATTTTAATTGACTAAATTTCCGGATGAAAATGTGAAAATTTATCATTTCAAAAGGTTGAAATGTAATTAACATGAGCAATTAAAGTGATCATTGGATGTGCAAATGATAATCACTTGATGAAATTGGAAATGATGAAAGTTATGCAAATAAGCTTAACATAAGTTGATCAATGAAATGTGAATAACAATTGGAAATATTGTTCTTAATTCTGAGTTAATCTGATCAATCCTTTTCACACATTGAATCTATTGATTAACAGTCCAATGGGTCAAGCCTGACAAGGTTTGAATGAAACAATGAAATGAGTTAATGAGTTTCGCTATGCAAGGTATTGACTAAGCTGATTATTAGCATGAGTTATGGAAGATGAAAGATGAAATTGCTGATGAATTTATCAATGAATTTGTTGGTTTGAAGGTTGGAGGAAAAAATTGAAACTTTTGGTGTTGTCTTTTCCTGATGCTATTAAAATCAATTGCTTTGCACAGTTGTTAATGTAATAAAAAGATACAACATTTCATTGTAACTTTATTTCACATCATTTGAGTCTCTAGTCAAGAGTAAATATCATTTTTATGAAGATAAATTTTCTTCCTCATCATGATCATCATGATGATGGACCAAAGAGTAAGTTAATCATTTGAAGCAAAAATGAAGCTTGAAATCGAGTAGAGATTTGATTTACGCTAGATTGCCTTTCATGATAAAAACTGCCTTCAAACATGACAACAACATAATAACAAAGATGCGAAATTAAGATGAGAATAAAAGTGATGCAAATAGTGATGAAAATGACCGGAACTTTTTCTTTCTTCCTTCTTCTAAGGGTAAAGCAGTTCTGAAGGTGAATGGACAATAATTTATCAACAACAAAAGCGATCATTTTTCTTGTTCATTTTTTTGGGAACTTTTTTTACACTGTGACTTAAAGGGTTGGCAAAGGTTAAATTGATCAACTTACATCCTATTTTGTGAAGAAGCAAGAAAGATGATAAGATGAGGATGAGAATGATTACTGTGAATGTAAGGGCCAAAAAGTAGGGAAAATATTGTGATGAAGTTAACAAGCTTTTCTCAGGTAAACATGTCCACTCCAACAGGACATCAATCAAGGTGCGATTAGTCTGTGAGTTTGGGTTTGGATTGTTGGCTCGTTCAGCCAATTGTTTACTGTAAGTTGGTTGGGTTGATATTAATTTGTGATTAGCATTGGTTGCTATTAAAACTGGTTGATTGGTTTGACTATGATAAAGTGAATCTTTGAGTGTCACTTTTTGTTGGGTTGCGTGTTGATGAGGTTGAAAGTGGTGTTGAATGTACATTTGATTTGAATTGTTGTTAATGTTGTTGGTAACAGTGATTGGGTTAACTTCATCGTAATGAATTGACTCGGACTTGAAGGGTACAATTAGGTTATCTCTTGGGATTTCATTTAAACCTGTAGTTGACTCGTAAATTGAATTGATGTTGTTATGGGTGTTGTTAACGGTTGTGTTAATGTTGTCCTCATATTGGCATGAACATAGATATTCATTTGAAGGTTGATTGTTACCGATTGTGCTGGACATTAGGTTGTATGCTTGAAGATCATTAACTAATGAACTATTTAAATGAAGGGTTGAAGGTGAGTAAAGGTGGGCTGCTGTTAATCTAGGTAAATGAGAGTAACTTGAATGGTGATTGGGTGAATGATGAATGTGTTGATAAGGATGAGATGAGGTCAAGTGTGATGAACTTGAACGATGGTGATTAGGTGAGTAATGTTGACGTTGACGGTAATACATTGGTGGGTCAACATTTTTGTTGGGGTAAAGGGTAACCTCTGAGAAAGTTACACTTCGATTGGGACGACCTCGTCTAAGAGGATAAAGTGAATCAACTGAATCACTTCTCATAAGGAATTTGGGATTGGAATCACATTAAATTGATACTTTGAAAGACGTTCAATTTTTAAGGTTACAAGCTTTGAAAGACTTAAGTTGAAAGACTGAGTTGAAAGACTTTGTTCACATTGGTTAGTTAAATCATTGATTATTAATTGTCGTTGATTTGGCGAAGATAATTTTGTAGGGTTTAACTGATTTCAATGGATAATTCATTGAAGATGAACTTTATTTGGTTCCACTTTTTTTTACCTTTTGGTCTAGTGATGTGGTTAATTGTTGAAAGACTTGGTTACGATTGGTTGAGTGATACATTGTGATGGGATGATGATAATGATGGTGATAATGGTTTGGAAGATGCAGATGAAGATAATGATGGAATCAGTTGAAAATGAAAAGAAAGTGGAAGACTGAGGAAAGTTACATAAGAGGTTTTTTCATGGTGATGAGGATTCTATTCTGCAATTGATCCTCCAGTTTACTGACAATTTTCTGTCACTGGGTTAGTCTTCTCATCTTTTCTCATCTTTTCTCGTCTTCCTTTTCTTCCACTTTTCATCTTGTTCTTCCTCTCATCAGGCAACATAATAATATATGGAAAAAAAGAGTCCAAAAAAGGGAATAACTTTTACTCAACTTTGGATGTTATTCACTTGAAACATTCTTATTGCAAATGATTGGAGGGAAAGGAATGATGATGCTTTGAACATCTAGCATGATGATGAAAAAGATGGAGAGTGAGTTGAGAGAGCAAAAGATGAGGATACATCTCAGTTGGTTGTAGTGGTTGAGGCATGTTTGTTAGTTGAAAAAAAGGGATAAAATTGCTCTTTTGGATCAATGAAAATAGAGATGATGATGTGAGGCAAGAAATGAAAGGATACAAAGAGGAGTGATGATGATGAAAGTGATGGTGAAGACATGAGGTAAAGTGTGACAAAATTTTGACGAAACACAAAAAAACACAAAAATTGAATGGACTTTTGTAAAGAAGATAAAAAATCGTGAAAAATGGGCTCATTTAAGCCCTTTTTTTGTGCTCACTTTAACAGATTTTTTTTTCTCAGCTTTACTTTTTTGCTTTCTTGTTCAATGCTCAATGTTATCATCAGTTTCAGTAATGATTCAGATTATATTGATTATAATGGTTATTGAACACTTTTTTTATTCACTTTGTCAGTTGAACATTTTCCTTCAATGAAATTTCATTTCAATGGTTTGCGTTTGTTTTCAAATTCAATTTATAAATTTGATCCACTGATCAGGTTGATTAGACAATTTGTACACATTAACCTGATCAGTTGATTAAACAAATTGAAGCTCAGCTCATATAGTTAATATAACAAAATATATTAACAGGTGATATTGGAAAGTGAATCTTATGTGAGGTTCAAGGTTTGCTTCAGTTAATCGGTAAATCATATGTTTGATAAAAGTTGAAATTGTCAAATTAAGTTGTTGAGTTGTTAACAATCAACTAATGAGCAGATTGAATTGCTAAACCAGATTTTTGTTGAGTTGCTTTTTTGCTTTGAAAATTGTGTAAAAGTTGGTTACTTTTATGAGGGGCAACTTTTTTTGCTGCTAACTAGATTGGACTCAGGCGAGTGAAACTTATTTTAAAGCTTGTTTAACCATTAACCTAGAGATCGAGTAACTTATGTTTTTGTTTTCATTCATATTGACACTAAACATGCAGGTCAGATGGTCAGTTTGGACTTGAATTGAAGATGGCAATGTAAATTTTATCATAGGCACAACAATTTTTGCATTTATCATTCAATTAACTCTCATTTTATAATCAATTGAAATGGACAAGAGGTTCAAACTTACCTTTATTGAATTTGTTGTAAACTGGATTCTTTGGCTTATCACGATAAATTGAATCTTTGGATATTTTTGCTGGACGATGAGAAACAATTGAAGGTAAAGATGGCGATGATGTTAACGAGTCTCTTTTATCGAGATGTATCTTTGAATGATCACCATTTTGATGTTCAGTTAGGGATTGATGTGAATAAATTGTTAATATTAGGAACACAATTAACACGGTAAATGGTTGAGTTGTCACCATAATTTTGTTTTCCGGATAGATTTTTTTCTTGTACTATTTCAATGTAAATTTGACAATGATATGAATAAACGCTAAGCTATCGCTTACAAATTTACTTGATTTTTGTAAAATTTTCATTGTTTTTGTTTGTTAAAATTGTTGATGAAAAAGCAATTCTTATGACTGTTGTGATCGGTGGTTTTGTTCACTATTGTTGGTTTCAACTTTGGCCAGATTTGTTTTCATTGATTTGTTACAGAGAAAAAAAACTTGAAGATTTTGGTTCAAAATTAATAATAAATTCTGACCAATCAAAGGTAAAAAATGATGTTTCTTTGAATATCACACTTGATCATTTTGCGGGTTCACTTTTTAATGGCAACTAATGGGAAGAAACGTTGAAAATAAATAAAATAAATAACATAACTGTTTCTAATAGGAACTGTTTAACTTTCGTTGATGAACTTGTATTAGCTATAGTTGACATTCAACTCCGAGTGAGAATCTTTATGTTGTGTCGATTAAGTGAGGGCAACTTTTAACGGGAACAATTTAAAAGTTTTGCGAAAAAAAAACCAAAAAAATTTTACCAAAAACCAGTTTCGTTTTTCCTTACAGTGTCGCCATCTAGTATAAGCAAATCCAACCATCGAATTCACTTAAGAAACTAGATTTAGATAATTTACTTGTTGGCCGGTAGATGGAGAAAAAATGAAGAGCAGAAGAGATGAAATCGAAACTGGTTTTTGTATCTTTTATAACTTTTTAAATGCGATGCTTTTAACTTTTGCGATCACTTAATCGACACAACATAAAGATTCTCACTCTTACGGAGTTGACTGTCAACTATAGCTAATACAAGTTCATCAACGAAAGTTAAACAGTTCCTATTAGAAACAGTTATGTTATTTATTTTATTTATTTTCAACGTTTCTTCCCATTAGTTGCCATTAAAAAGTGAACCCGCAAAATGATCAAGTGTGATATTCAAAGAAACATCATTTTTTACCTTTGATTGGTCCAAATTTATTATTAATTTTGAACCAAAATCTTCAAGTTTTTTTTCTCTGTAACAAATCAATGAAAACAAATCTGGCCAAAGTTGAAACCAACAATAGTGAACAAAACCACCGATCACAACAGTCATAAGAATTGCTTTTTTCATCAACAATTTTAACAAACAAAAACAATGACAATTTTACAAAAATCAAGCAAATTTCTGTCAACAATCTAGCAATAAGAGTAAATTAATATCTTACAATATAGCTTAATGTTTATTATTATAAAATTATTGTCAAATTTAGATTGAAATACAACTAGAAGACAAGAAAATATATGAAAAACAAAATTTGAAATCGTTTGAGATTTCGTTTTGTTTCATCAAAATTATGGTGACAACTCAACCATTTACCGTGTTAATTGTGTTCCTAATATTAACAATTTGTTCACATCAATCCCTAACTGAACATCAAAATGGTGAAAATCATTCAAAAATTTATCCCGATAAAAGAGACTCATTAACAGCTTCATCTTTAGCCCAACTTTCACCTTCAACATCTGTATCTTCATCATTGCAATCATTGTCACCTACACGTGGACGCAACTGTTCAAGTTGCATGTTACTAGACGATGCCAAACAACGTCGCATCCGAAGCATCAAATGGCAGATATTGAATAAACTTGGCTTTAAAAATGAACCCAACATTACACGCCGAGACAATCTGGAAGTACCACCATTAAAAGATATAATAGCCTCTTCACCAATCCCGTTATCACCACTTTCCTCACTATCAACTTTCTCTTCACCTTCATCCTATCACTCATCAGACCCAACAATTCAATATGATACTAAAAGATTACATGAAATGTATTCAAAGGATGAATTAATGTCCTCCGATCAAGCTTACCCCAATTCCGAGGATTATGATGACGATTCAGAAGATTTTTACGTAAACACAGATAAAGCAATTAGCTTTGCAATGAAACGTAAGTTGAACCCATTCACTCTTTAAATACTTAATTAGACCCTCAATCATTTACCCTTAATCATCACCCTTAATTAACCATCCAAAATGAGTTACTTGGTTCCATGAATAGTAAAGAAGCAACAACAAAAATATAATTTTCAATTTAATATTTTGGTTTCTTCTTCACCTCAATCATTCCTTAAACAGTCCTTTTCAGTTCAAATTTTAGCCAAAAATTTTGACAGGTTTGACCGACCAAGGCCATATTTTTGTTTGATTGTTACATTGAAAAGCAAATTGAAGGATGGGCCAACCAAATTTTACCAAATCTTATCAGAAAAAGAGAAGAAGAAGAGAAGAGAAGAAGAAAAGAAGCAAATGTAAAATAAAAGGCAGAAAAAAATGAAAACCAAAGGAAATTTCAAGAAAAAAAAGGTCAAGAAAAAAGGTGAACCAGAAGAAGAAAGTTCAGTGATAACCTTTAACCTCTGTCAACGGCTTGCCCAGGTCAAACGAAGCCTTAGCAACTGAGAAGATAAAAAGAAAAGAATGAAAAGAATATCCTTTTCTTTCTTTCCTCTTCTTCTCTTCTCTTCCTAAGAGGAAAAAAAACATTTTTTATTTCAATAATTTCTTAAGACTTGCAAACCTTTTCTTACACTGACCTGCGGTCGACAAGGTCAACCTTTTATCATATTTTTATTACAACCAAAAAGAAGAGGACAAAATATTGATAACTTTCTGTGTTGCTATGAAAATGCAACAAAATGTTAAACTGGAGAAACTGGTGAAAAGCGTGAAAATGTTGAACCAAAATTTTACCCAATTTACTGACACTATTTACAAAATTATCCTGAAAGGTTATCGATAATCAAACATTGGAAAAACGATAATAAACTAAATATTAGTCAATAATGATAATGATAAACCATAAAAGTTGCAATAATAATGCTAATAATAAAGTTAAAGGGAACAAAAATTCACCTTTTTGTCTTATTCACCTTTCATGATTATTAAAATTATTGCATTTCTCATCTGATTTAAAAATAATAATGATGATAATAATGGTAATAACGAGAGCAATGTTAAACTTTTTATATTTACATTTACATTTTGGGATATCAATGAAGAAGGGCAATAATGATAATTAAAGTGATAATAAAAAATTGGCAAACTTGTCTCATGTTTAGCAAATCAATTGCAATTGCAATTGGAGTATTAATCATTTGCAATCAATTATCATTCAATAAGCTTTTCTCCTTGGCTTTTCCAATAATAATACAATGATAATAATTTATAACATTTACCTTTTCTTTGTTTTTGACTCCATTGCAATTCAAGTGAAAGTCAATGATTTTAAACGGTCAATTATCATTATTATTGCCTTTCATTTCAACACACACACACACAGAAAAATGTTCAATTAAAAAGGTTTTTTCTTTGCCTTGAAGGTAAATTTGAAAACGCAAAGTCAATGAATGGATTTAACTAAATATGTTGAGGAAAAAGTTTCTTCATCAAATAATATTCACAAATGAATTATTGAATGCTGGTCAATATCTAGGTTAAGCCGAGAGATATTTATGGTTTTGATCATTGTAATTGCCTGCGGTTTATAGCAACAATTATTGTACTTTTTCTTTATTGTTAATTGTAATTAGAATTGTTAGCATTGTTGCGATTGTTGGGATTAACCAAAAAATGTACTTGACCTGAAAAACAAAGAGAGAGTAACCCAAAAACTGGTTCATTATTACCAGAGAGAGTTGAAAAGGTTAAACCATTATTATGTCTATCATTGTTTTACAGCATTTAATTTGATACCATTTAATAATTTTATATAATTATCATGATTTATCGATTGGGACATATTTAGATGATATTGTTGTTGTGGGTAAAAAAACTGGTTAATTTGAATTGTAATAAATCTTTACTTTTGAACAAATATAAAAACCTAACCCAAAAAACCCGAGTTTTTATGTATTTTTGCTTCCAATTTTTGACAATGTTTTAATGATAGTCAATAACAATGAATCATAAATATCATTATCAGGGAAACCCTTTGATATATTGAACAATTATAGTCAATAATTGAGGTCATCCATTGAGTCTTTTGATGGTCAAGAAGAGTTGAAGTTGAGTTTTTTTTCGGTTCATTTTTTTTCTCTGGTTTTTTTAACCGGAAAAGTAAAAAAAACAAAATTTTGAATTTATAATTTGATGACAATGTAATGTGATTCAAATGTTATTTAATACAATGATTAGTATTTAAATTAACTGTCCGCCTGCACACAGATAAAGTATAAAATGTATTTAAATATTATTTTTTATGTTAACCGGTAAACAATATTTTGATTGTAACCAAATTGGATTTGGGTGAAACAATTTTAGGTAACATTTTGTTACAATGTAATACATTTTTGCTATCATGTTTAACAGGATAAAACAATATCGTTCTGATTGTTACTATTAATATACACTGAATTAAATGTCATTGTCATTGTTTCATTGTAAATAATAATCAAAGTGAAGAGTTGAGTTTCACCAAGGATGCAATCACAAAATAAAGAGACGAGATTAGATGTGAGATTATGAAGTAATAGCAATGGGAAGATGAAGATGAGCAGGCAACAAATTAGTAAATTGAACTGCAAATTCATGATATTATTTTACAGCAACAAAAATGATTTGTTTCTGAGAAATGAATTTTTGTTTGTCAGTTTATAAAAAAAAGGACAAAAATATCATGAAATTACCGATATTATTATGTTAATATTATTGATAATGTTAATGAAATTTCTTGTTATCCACTTTTCTTTATTTATACTTGGCTTTCAAGCGACTGTTTATTCACAAGATAATGTTTCATGGTTTCATTTCAGGTTAAAGTATTTACAGATTTTCGAGTTTTTATCATTTTGATGAAATTGTATTTTCAAAATAGACTTTTTGATGAACAAAATTGTCCAAAATTTGTGGATAAGATTTGAATATTGACTTGGAAAGGTTGAGATTCAAGAGTCAAGACTGCATTGTAAGGTCAGATGAAGGGTCGACTTTTCACTGTGTTCAGACTTGTGTCTAAGGTTATGTGAAGGTTTCAAATGTGTGTTTTTCAGTCGTCTTGTTGTCGATTGAAATTTGGCTCAGTAACTTTAATCAACTCTAAGATTGTGATTTGTGTTTACTGTCTTTGATTGTATTTGCATTGTGACTTTTGTTGTATCAAATAACTAGCCTTGGTTTATGATGTTTCAATATCTTTCGAGATGTTTCGAAACAAACTGATGATGATAATATTAATAGCAGCAAGAGTAACAGTCTTGATTAAAACATGATAGACAATCACATGAGATAAGATGATCACTTTTTGTTCTAGATCCATCTCATCATCTCATCTGCATCATTTTGATAATCAGTTAACAGTAATCCAGTTTCGCAATTAAGACCTCTTTCTAACTCTTTCTCTCTCTTTACTTTTGCATCTTATCATTGAGTGGCTCCGGTTAAAATGTTGAAAGGTTGAACAAACCTTTTGCTGAAGAGGGAAGAGAAAAAGGTTTCAATTTGAAAGTTATCAAAGGATTATGAAGGTGAGAGATGCTAATGTATATAAATTAGATTATGGGATGATAAAGGGGAAGATGAAAGATGAAGTTTTTGGCTATCCTTTCATATCCAAGATGATAATATCTTTTAATAAAATCTGGTAACAAAATGAAAGAGAAGACCATTTTTAGCTTTATAAATGTATTGCAACCTCATTTTTAACCGGTGCTTTGGTCAGCTGATTTGGGTTTGTTTGTTTGTTCTGGTTGCTTGGTTTCACTTTGCCTTTTGATTATGTCTAACAATTAATTGATTGTTATTAATAGCCTTTAAATTGTGCTGTTCAATGGTATGTAAATCAATGATGTTACATGATAATTGTTCATCATTATCTTGGACTATTGATAACCTTGTACAAGAACTCTGAAAAGAGCCCAATTTTGACTGTTTAAGATGAATAATGATTATTAATGATGACTGTTAATCATCATTGAATCTAAATGTTGATACAAGAAACAATTAATCTTAAAGACGAGAGCAAACCAGATTTTGTTGGCTACATTTAGCAGAGTTTTGTGAAACCAAATTGTAATTGTCATTAGGATTCTAATGTTAATGTTTAACAGCAAAATTTGAATAGAGAAAAGTTTGATTTATTTTTCCGTCAACTATTTTTGGCAATTAAAGGTAAAAAGTTGAAAGGTAAAGAAGTAAAAATTTCAATTTTTACTCAAAATTCATCAACTCATTTCACTTTCAATCTTACTTTTTCACAAACTATCGTCAAACTGAAACTTTCATGAGCTACAAAAAACAAGAATAATTATGTTCATTGATCTTGATTTACGATCAACTTACAGCAGAGAAATACTTGTAAATGTTTCAAATTTTTATGGGATTTGAAGGAGAAAAGAGTTAAGAATAGGTTTTGTCTAACATTGATTATCAACTTGTTCAAAGGGAAACAAGCAAAAAGCATCTCAAAAGAGATGGAAATCTCATTTACTGTTCAATCAACTTGCATTTAACATTTTTTTGCTTCTTGTTAAGGTTTCCTTGCATCATCACTTTGAGCCTAACTTTGATCCCAACTTTTGATCATCACTTGAACAGTTAAATCCCAGGTAAAAAAAGTATAAATCAAAGGTTAAATTGGTTAAAAGATTAGGTATTTGCATTAATAAGGCGGAAGTAAATTAGTTTGTTCACGTAAATTTGATTATCAATGAAAATATATCTACAAAATAAGAGACAAAAAGCGGAAGCATTTACCCAATCATTGTAATTAACATTGTATTTTACTAGTCATTTAACGATTAACTTGTAACTCTTTCAATTAACCCAAAATTCAATTTCAACTCTTTCGTTACATTGTCACATAATTGAGCATTTCAACATTTACTTTCGTTGTAAATTGCTTCTTTCATTTTTCTCATTGATTGTTAACTAACAGTTAAATCACTGCAAGTTATAGTCGAGGGCGAAGACCGAGTGTTTTATCTCACTTCGAGATGTCGTTTAACTGATTTAGACCAATCTAATCTCAACACTTTTTTTAATTTTCAAAACAAAATTTCGTCTCGACTTTCCATTGCTTTCAATGGCTTTTCCTATTTTCATTTTAATTTTGATTCTTTCTTCAGGTTCTGTCTTTTGACTGGACTTGGTTAATTGTTGAGTTAACCAATTTAAACAGTTTCAGTTTGTATAACAATTTAAGCATGCGATGAAATGCTGGTTACCTTCAACATAGTGGTTTAACAAGTAGTTAGTTGATGAGTTATTTTTATTGATATTAAACTTGTAGACTCATACACTTGAATTATTATCAAGTTAATCCGATATAAGTATTCGTTGTGAATACAGTTTTGCTTGCAATCAACTGTTATCCAATACTTAATTAACCAGAATTGTTATTTTTTTTCTTGTTCCCCAAGACAGACTGATTGCTGATTCAGCACAATTGAACAAACCATTATGATTAAAAACAATGATTAAAGCGGAGGTTCAAATTATGATCAGAATGATGATAGATGAAGAAAGTGTTTCACCGTATCATTGAGAGAGAAAGTGATAAATTGAAGAGTTGTTGTTGAGTTTATGAAGATGAATCCAATTGAACCATAAAATTGTATTCATTTGGTTAGTAACTGATACAAATGAAATGATTAGATTAACCTTTTTTTACCAATAAAGTGTAACAATTGAAAGGGTTTTCAGGGTTTAAAGTTGATAGAAGCAAAAGGTTAATTGAAAGGTTAAACAAGTGTTCCCAACTTGACCATTTAAAACCATTGAAAAGCAAATCAATTCTTGAACAATTTCAAACTAATCATCAACTGAAAGTGCAAAAGCTAGAAAAATGAGCTTTTTCAAGCAAAGGTTACTTTAAGCAAATTCATCACAGGTACAAGTTTTGAAAAAAATACTTACTCTAAACACAATTTTCGTGTTTCTGACACATAAGCAAAGCGCTTTTCTCACTCGATAGCGCTATAAACTATGCGCTTAAACGCCACTAAAAAACCGATTTCTCGAAAAGTTTTTACTTAATATAAACGCGCTTGATCAATAATTTGAACTTCAAAGAAGTTCATGAAACCTTGTCTCAAAATGATGAAAAGTACATACAATCGGCATAAGCGTATTCGAGCATTATAAAGCTTACCTACATGGGTCTTGACAAATTATTTCAAAGCCTATGTGCGCTCGAAAAGATAAAATAGCGAAGTGAATAGTATTCGCTAATAAGCGCTAATATGTCAGGAACACGGTAATCAAACTTAACAGCACATTTAACAGCGACAGTTAACATCAAGAAACAAATCTAAGAAAAATAGATTTTGTAATTTCGCATTAATTTTTTCAGATTTGCTCAGTTTTTATCAGTCTTTCTGGTCACCAAACCAAAATTTTATGGTTTATAAAAACTGTGACTCGAAGTTAGTTAACTTGACTTGTTGATTTGTTGATTAATGTTGACTAAAGAAGCGTGAAACACGTATTAAACTTTAATTGTGATTAGTTTTACCATAATAAAAATATTATCCATGTTTTTATAGCATCAAATTGATTCAATGTATTACTTATTACCTTTTTTATTATTTGTTATAAATAATGATAACCTTGAATAGGACAATCATTGAACTTGATGTTCAATGTTAATCACAATTTTAGCTTGACTCGCTTTACCAAACTGCATCACTGATTAGCAATAAAAAAAAGATGTTTAATGATTACAAATGATAAACCAAGCCTTTTGAAAGTTAAATCAGCAGGAATTAAGCGCAAGAAATTAACTATTCATAATTGAACTGGTTAAGCGCAAACAAAAAGGACAAAAGTTATTGATGGCATTAACAATAACAACAACAAATTGATAGGACATTCAACCAATAAATTGCAACAAAATTGCAAAATTGTTTGATTGAAGGATAATGTTCGCTAATTCATTTACAACCCTTTCATCATCACTCTTTTCATCACATTTTCACTTTCCAAGGACAGCTCATCATCACCTCAATCCCCGTCATCATCCCAAGCCCAAAGAATCTGATCAAATTGAGAGAAAAAGAAATGTTTTTATTTGAATGAAAAAAGAGTTACAATAACTTTTCCATTTCAACATTTCATTCATAAATTTTCTCTCTTCACCAGCAAACCTTCATGGGTGAACAAAATGATTCAACACTCAACCCATCAATATTGATACATAGTTACACAAATTGATCTGGGAATTCCTTGTTATTCATCTTTCGCCATCGCTTGTTTCGTGTGTCAAAAAGTAAAAAAAGATGACGATCGCCATGTTCATTATTTCGTCCTTCAAGTGGGTTGGTTATACACCATGATATTCAGAGCATTATCATCTTCATCCTTATGATCTTCATCTTCTCCTAATCACATGAGCGTACCTTGAATTCCTTCAGTTGATTGATTGATTCATTGATTTACAAGTTGGTTTGCTTTTCAACTTACACTTGTTATTGATAGTATTGACCAGCTTCACTCCTATTCATCAATTACTTCATCATTACCTTAATCTTTACCTTTTCAATAACATTGTAACATTTTATCATTATTTTGCTTGTTTTTTTTATTCCAAACAAATCAAGAAAAAAAGTTGAATAAAAAAGAAAGATATGAATGAAGCTTTAACCTGTCAGTATCATTGAGATCAGATGATGTTGATCCTCTTCACCCTTTTCATGATTAACATAATGATTACTGAAACCATTAAAAATGTAACTTTGAATCTTTAACCAAAATCTATGACAGTTTCAAACTCATTGAATACCTTTACTCATTCATACCTTTACCAACTAAACTCTATTTTTGCTGTTCTCCGGTAATTTAAATAGTTGAAAGCAACCTTCAAACTCTATTAATAGATTACAATTTATTCATTTGATTCAATTTTCATTTCAATTCTCAAGCCCAAAATAATTTTGTATTAATTAAGATGCGAATGGCTGTTTCAAAAAAAGGGTTAATTGATTCAACATTAAGCAACAAAATACTTTTTAATTGTAATTTGTTTAAGCAATTAATTGTGTGTTTGAAAGTCAGGTAACAAATTTTGCAACCATTAATTCATTTACACCAAATCAAGCAAAACTAGTTGAACAGCGACAAAATTACAAGTTGAATTTTCAAGTTAATTATCATTTTAGGTGTAACCATTGATGTATTATCATCAATAATAGGAATTCACTCCCAGTCCGATTGAGTAATGATTGTAAAGTTAGCAGCAACTTAAACCTGACCAATGACCTTTACTGGCCACAGCTGAAGATGAACCATTATCTTGTAAAAATGGACACAAATTGATAATCATTTTAATGGGCAAAGAAAATGCAAAAAAAAATAAAATTTCATCGAAATTTTGGTTCCATTGAAATTGTAATTATCAATCCCATGATCAAGTTACATGAGTTTCATTTGTTAATCATTTACGTAGGCTTACAGATTGTAAATTAACTATAAATTGTAACAAACAAATGGTTATAAAAAGGATGAAATCATGAATAAGTTAAATAGTCAACTCTGTTTCCTGATTATCCTCACTCCATGATTCACCAAACATGATTAACCTCCCAAAAGGTTTTGTCTGATTAAATTGCAAATTTCAATATCTGTTAATGATGTTGCCGTTGAAATGAGTCCTAAAAAGGTCGCAACAAGAAGAAAAAAAAAGAAAAGGCAAAAATAAGAAAATGTGAAAATTTATCTTTTTTCCTCTCCTTTCATCATGTTCATCATGTTAATCATTATGATGATAATCATGTTTATCAATAGCAAAATCACCTTCCGTGTTGCTTCCTGGTAACTCTTCATTCCCTGTAAATAAACTCTGAATTTCATGTTTTGACTTTTCCCAAACCTTTCATTTCAATTTTGTTGTTTTGTTTCTTTTCCCTGGAAATGTTTCATTTTTTTCTTGAACCTTAATTAATGTGAATTTGTTTCTCTTTTTTTGTTATCATTGATAATCATTTCAGCTCCGGAGAATTGGAGTTTTCTTAAGGGCATTAAAAGCCAGTATTTCAAGTTTTCGCCCAACGTTGTTAATGCTCATCTTGCCAGTGCTCATCTTTGGGCTTTTATTCAACCCAAACGATCACCAGGAACCGGATCATCAGATTCATCTGGACATTATGACCTCTCTAGACCCATTAATGTAACTGTAGTTGTTTACGAGGTGCGAAAGTCTCGTGAACCAGTTTCACTTCTCAATGTAAGTAAATCACTCGACAATCGATTCAACTTTTCAAATCAATTAACCTAAAAGTCCTTAAAAAATATCGAACCCAATATTTCAAATGAACATCTCATTCAACTTTAAATCTTTTTCTCGGTCCAACTGATTAATGGTTAAGATTGAAATGTGACAAATGATTAGGATTTTGGTAAATGTTGAGAAAAGTCAAAATAACGAAGAAAAAAACAAATCTAATGATAAATTAACTAATAGTGATCATCAATTTAAGTATAAGTTATGATACAAATTAATGTCAAATGGTTAACAAAATGTTTCCCATTTCTCTTCTTCTTTTTGCTCATCAACATCATCATCATTATCATCAGAATGATCATCTTATTCTTTCATTCACCCCTTTTCACTCGTCTTCATGATAATCATCAATAAGATGAAGAAGTTGGAAAAAAGAGCAAAAAGAATGAGAAATGAAAATGAAAAAACAAAACAAGAAAAAAGATGAGTATTAATGGCAAGTGTATTGGGTATTGACCGTGAATCGATTACTTTTCATATGACCTTTAATTGCTGTTAAAGTTGTTTCATTGATAATGTAATTTGTCTCTAGATACGTTCAAAAAAATTGGTTCTCGATGGACGCAAAGGACGCTGGGTTACATTAGATATAAGACGCTTGGTTACGGAAAGGTTTAGAAACTCTAACGGTAATTTTGGCCTGGTTATCCATGCTTACGATGAAAGAGGACGCAGTCTTCATGTAACCAGTCCATATGATGGTGAAAATCATTCCCAGGTAATTGATTGCTAAAGGCTTTTTTCAATCATCATTAACATTCATCATTGACTTTGCTCTAGAAAAGGTTAAGATTCGGTTGAAACATTTCTTTGTTTTTTTATTTTCTTCAACTTTTCTTCTTTTTTTACTCATTCCATCATCATCATCATCTTTTCTTCTTCTTCTTCTTTCGGTCACTTACTTTTCTCATTATCTGTTCCATCAGGCATCTTGAAGATCCAGTTTGCTCTATCAGGTTTCACTAGATTTCCAATTTTGATTTTGTTCCAAATGTTTCTCGATTCCTTTTTCATGTTCATCTATTTTTTAACCTTACATTAAATTTACATTGCCAACAATATCAGTTTAATATTGTCTTCATTATCATTGCTTTGTTCATTCCTGAGCAACATTCCAACTTCAACTATTCCTTAACCCATTAAAATTATTGTTAACGTTTTATAGTTTGTTAATTATTTGATTTTGTAAATTGTTTTTTACTTTTTCCAGTTTCTTTTTTTTCCTATTTACAATCACTTGAAATGGTTTTTAGCTTTTGCTTTAATTTGTTTTGGTTCAACAGCAACATTTAAGAAAGCAAGTTTAATATACTAATGATGATTATGATAATTATGGTTAGGTTATTATCACCAAATTATTTATGTAATTTGGTGATAATTTCATGGTAACTGTAATGTAACATGATTAATTAATTGAAATACTTGGCTAACACCTTTGCTAATTTTATTGCGATCATTCACTATGCAATGGAAATGAAATATACACAACCCTTAAATTTCACACTCTATTATTATTATTTCATAGACTTTCATTTCTCTTCCTGATCAAGATTAAGGATCTGTGTATATAATTATCATTGGTGTAAATTTTTATCCACATTAATTTATCAATTCAAATATGCAAGTGTTTCAGGATGAAATGGAGGAGTTTGTCATATAAGAAGTCGAACAAGTTTCAACCTTTTCCATATCCACGAGCAGAAAACGCATTGTAATGTTAGCCAAGAAATGAGCTTCAGTTACTAATTTTTGTCATCAGCAGCAATTTGATTACCAGTTTGCATCCAATATCAATTGGTCTTTAACCCAATCTTTCATTTTCTTGTAGTTCTTTTATTAATGTTTGAATTTGTTTCTTGCTTTCAACAGCGGACTTTCATTGAATTATCGACCACAACTAGGAAAGCCAATAGGGTTCGTCGTGAAACTGGACTTCGATGTGAGGAAGGCTCGAAAGAGATCAATTGTTGTCTGCATCCATTGACTGTTGATTTTGAAGAGTTTGGTTGGGATTGGATTATAGCACCTAAACGATATGAGGCTAACTTTTGTTCCGGTGAATGTCCATACATGTTTCTCCAAGACAATAACCATGCTCATCTTGTCCAACAAGCCAACCCATCGATGTCAACCGGGCCATGTTGTACTCCACGAAAAATGAGCTCCATATCGATGCTCTACTATGATGATAACAATCAAATTATCCTTGGTACCTTAAAAGGGATGAAAGCTGAAAGGTGTGGATGTGCTTAGCCAAATGACCTGACGATTGTTCACATTACAAGGATAATGAGACTTGGATCAATGACAATTAATTAGAAACCAATTAACAAGAAATTTAACAAAGAAAGAAGAAATAAATAAAAAAATCACAAAAAACTAACATTACAAAAAATATTAACAAAAAAAAACTCATTCATCTCAGTATTTTGTTCAAAACAAACTGAGAAAAAAAATCACAGCCATAAACAACCAATCAATTCTAGATAAAATATTGAATATTGAATCACATTAAATAAAATTGGACTAGAAATGTACACAAGCCTGTGAATGAAATTCTGTAGCTTAGCAGCATGTTAATTGTCTTCTTAACCCCTTTTTCCTATGCTTTTGTTTCCTATCCTCGTTACTTTTGTTCACATCTTTCCATTAGGTGCTCAAACAGTGGTCCATTGCCTTTTAACAGTATCCTTATCCATCGTTTTTGTTTCTGTCCTTTCCTGGCTTTCCTATTTCTTGGCCTCAAAACAAGATTCACCAAAATCAATTCCGTTGATTGGATATAAAATCTCACGTCTAGTGGAACCAACTGCGCCAAGCCCAGTTTAAATAACTAGCGTTCAATTTTTTTTATTTCTTTTTCCATCTCTACCTAATTTGATTGCCCTCTTTCTTTCAATTAATAAATCAACTTCAGATAAAATGAAGCAAAAAATAAAAATTTAAGTTAAAAAATATTTGCAGTTTATTTGCCCATTTTGGTATGAAAAAGATATCCCTATTGAATCGGGTTAGACATTAAGTTTCACCTGATCTATAGTTTGACAATGTTATTTCTGGTTAATGGCCATTACGCTCACATAATGGTACATAATGACTAATAAGAAGAGACAGATTCCAAGAATGTTGGCGAAAAATGATAATTGAACATCCGTGATCATTTTGATTGTAAGTCTAGATTGCGACGTGTGTTATAAAATATAAAATGCTAGAAAGTAAGAAAGTAAGAAAGACGGCAAAAGAGAAGCTATAAGATTGAGTTAAATAATAGAAGTAATATTCAATATTCACTTACCTAGATAGATTGCTGTGGCAAGAGTTGGATTCAACTAACTATAGATTTTAATTATTTCAATTGACAACAATAATAAATGTTCATCAAATCAAACAATATTCAAAACACTACCAGATGAGATTTTTGACAAGCTTCAATTTACTTTTATTTTTCTTTACATTGCAGGATTGAAGATACCGATATTTTAACGGAAAATACTCGATAAAAGGAGCAAATCCTAACAGATACATTCAAGTGTATCCCGGAAACGGTATAACCGGCCTTATCTAAGTTGTCTTAATTTGAACAAAAATGGGTTGAAAGTGTACAAGAAGGAGATTTAATTGATAATTAAGTGTTAAATTACAATATTAGAGATAACAGTAAAAAAATTGAGCTGTACAGACTAAATCTCTACAACGTTAAAGTCGAAGAGAGTTGAAACTTAACTCTAATATTCTTGAAAATCACTAACACTTTAATACACCATATTTGTATTCAATTTGTCAAGATTTTTCATCACCCAAATCCACCAAGTTGTTGAAGACTTTTCGGATATGATAGATATGAAAATGATGGATAGTGAATGTGTTAGATTTGAGTGGTGAACAAGAGAAGAGACACAAACACAAACAAAAAAAGAGATTGAAAAGGTGATGGAAAAGAGCCGGTTCCCTAAAATTATATCAAAGATGCATGAATCTTATGGGTAATGAATAGTCTACTTTCCTTGTGATTGGAGAAATAATTCCAAGTTCTTAATTGTTTCCAAATTATTTTTGTTTCATAGCTTCCAGCTTATTGAGTTTTCAATATTCAACTTTTGCCTTGAATGCCGGATCTTTAGTCACAAAATGCAGATTTTGCTCAGAAGTTTTCAGCATAGTTTCAGCCGATATATCCAAGTCTACATGATGAAATTATAAGTTCAAGGAATATCAAAATGTGCTCCAAATCATAAACAAAGCAAAACTAGTTGATTTTAATTACATTTAAGTTAATCAAAAATGAGATAAACAAAGTGACTCTTCACATCGGTTATTAAGGCCATCTATTGGTTTTAATCAATATTATCATATATTAACTTAATGCAATTTACGTTACGTGAATAGTTTGCATTAAACTAGAATCTGATTGATGTTGTAACTTTTATGAGTTAAATTCACGGAATAAATCAATTGCTTAATTGATAATTAAAGTATTTCACAATCCAAGAACTAATTAGCTTTACTTTCTAACAATACCTTATTTGTTGAAACACCTGTTTACATTAGCACAGGGCAAACATTTGAATTATCATCAATGACTCGAATTGTTAATTGGCTAACTTATTTAAACAGATATCTTAATGAAGAGAATGTAATTTAGTTTATTAAACTAAAATTTTTAAACAATTGATGAAGTTTATTTAGCAGCCAAATACTGGGTTAAATTGTTCAAAAAGTAGAAGCTCAAAGCACCAAGAAGAAAGATGAAAAGTACCGTCCAATCTGAATCAGCTGGCATGAGATGCCGTTTCTTGATCACCCGAAGTAGTCGCTTTAAATTTGATTCAGTATAAGGTGGATAACGTTTACTGGAAACCCATTCAAGTAATGGATTGTAACCTCGAATCAGGACTGATTTGTAATGAGAGAATGTATCGAAAGTTGATTTACCATGATACACACCGAACCCACTGTCTCCAACACCACCAAAAGGCAAGGCATCAACACTGAGGTGAATTAGAGCATCGTTCGCACAAATGGACCCACTTGAAGTTTCCAGTGATATTTTGTCAATCACACTTTGATTCTGAGAGAAGACATAAAGTGTCAAAGGTTTGCTTTTCCTGTTAATCAATTGGATAGCCTCATCAACATTGGAGACGATTACAATAGGTAAAATAGGCCCAAATATTTCTTCTTTCATCAAGGGGTCATCAATTGAACAATTGAGTAAGATAGTTGGCTCAATGAAACGGTCATTTTTATCGGATGATCCACCAATTACAATTTCACCACTCGAGGATTCAAGTAAATTAACCAATCGATTGAAATGATTGTCATTAATTATCCGGGTTAAATCCTTAGACTTTTGCACATCATTTCCGTAAAATTGTTTCAAGATGAGTTTGGCAGACCGAATGAAACGCTGAGCGACTTTATCTGAGCATAAAACATAATCAGGAGCCACACACGTTTGACCAGCATTGATAAATTTAGCCCACAACAGCCTTTTATAACAAAAGTCTTGATCAATAACTGAATCATCGATATAAACTGGACTTTTTCCACCCAATTCCAATGTAACTGGTGTAAAATTATCGACAGCTGATGCATAAACTTTGCGACCAATGGGTTGACTTCCAGTGAAAAATATGTAATCAAATTTTTCTTTCAATAAATGCTGGTTAACAGTAGCATCGCCATTAATCACACGATAACAGTCCTGTTCAAAAAACACCATAAAATTAAATTAAAATAAAAAATAAGAAACAGTTAAGCATAAAAACTCACCTTGTCTACGTATTGTGGTAACAATTTTTCAAACAAATCAGCTGCATTGGGAGCGATCTCTGACGGTTTAACTATGGCAACATTACCGGCTGCAATTGCACCAATCAATGGACTTAAACAAACAATCAAAGGATAATTCCAGGTTCCAATGATTAAAACAAGTCCATAAGGTTCTGGTTGGATAAAAGCATCATCGAAAGCTAGAACCAAATCTTTGGCCACTTTGGTTGGCTTTACATAGGAATTCAAATTGTACAACATTTCTCGGACATTATTCAAAATATAATCCGTCTCAATCATAATCGCTTCAAATTTAGGCTTTTTCAAATCCTTGTGAAGAGATTCAACGAATAAAGATTCATTTTCCTCAACCATTCTCTTGATTCCTTCCAATTGTTTACGTCGATAATTTACATTTTTTGTCCTACCAGAGCGAAATACTCGTCGAAGGTGTTCAATCGTTTCACTTATTTTCTCTGGACTCGTTTGATTCATGATGAAAACACAGTAAACAATGAAAATCAGATTTTAAAACAAATTGTCAACGTTTAACTCTTAAAAATTTAGTATATGAATGAAGATTCAAGAAAAATTAAAGTTAAAAGTAGATTCAGGCTCATCATTGACCTCAATATTGCTGATTAAAATAGCATCAAAAGGTAACTTCCCATCATTATTACCGGTCATTTGATAGAAAAATAATAAGCCAAACCAGTTCTTTTCGACCACTAATATTGATAGAAATCAAATTTCTGTCATTTTTCCTTTTGCTACCGATTTAAACACAATCATGCTTCTTTTCAACTATTGGTAATGCATTTTCAAAATGATTGTTTGTATCATTTTTTAACCAAATTTAACTAACAGTTTATTTACTGACTTGATTAAATGGTCAGTGGAATCATAATTATAAAATGCTTTACATTTTAGTTCCATGCTTTGATCTTTTCAGCATATTAATAAATGATTATGATTTGGTAAGAAATGAACTTATTAGGTTACACAATGGACCAAATGTGTAATGGGCAATGAAGTCGAGCATTCAAAATATTTTGAATGTTATCTGTTAAAAGTAGAATTTTGTTTTTAAAGATTATTAAAACAAATATAAGACAAATTCTGTATTAAATAAGCAAATGTATTTCACGATTAAACGCTTTTAAATCATATGAGCTAATTAATAACAAATTGGTACACGCAAAGTCCATTCAATTTGACTCATTTTTAAGAGCCTTTTTCGACAATTTTATGATTTATTCGAATGGTACACGCATCCAATTTGTGATGATCGATTTGATTAATTGTTTTGTTATTTAGTCAATTTTTTTGTTCTTCATAATCTTTGCTTCCTCATTCAGTTCTCTTTACCATTAAATTATTTAAAGATTATCCAAAACATATGATTGTGGAGTTAATTTCTCTGCAGAGACAAAGGCCAAAAAAGTAATGAAGCGTAAAGATAAGTAACTTGCAGAGAAGGATTATCCTTTTAAAAAAAGAGATCTCAAAACAAAGATGAATTCAACGCTATATCAGGTTGGGTGCTTTTCCATATTTAAACGAATTTTTAGTTTTAAACAAAAGGGTCCTCTCCATTGATCGGATGACTTTTATCACGTTTAATGAACATAACAAAAAAATCACCATTCAGCATCACCAATAGCTTTTTGAAAAACATAGTCTTTTCCTTGGAGATTCATTATACCATCTTTCAAATGGAATTTCCATTTATTACGACTTCGAGTGATCTAAAAGACAAGATAATGGAAATATAGTTTCAAATAAATAGGATGGAAGAAGAAGAAGCAGAAAACAACTTACTTTGTCATATTGACAAACCACAACATTATCAGTATCAAATAGCTCATGAGGATCTTCATCACTGACGTCATCTTCAGAATTCAATGGTTCCTTGTTTTAAAAATAAGATGTGAGAAGAAAAAATTAGTTGGAAGGTCATTAAAAATAAAGTAATTTGAAAACTCACCTCTTCTTCGCCTGTGTATTCATTTTCATCATCATTTTGATCCTCGTCGTTGTCGTCATGATCATCATCATTATCACGGAACTCGTCATCATCGTCATCTTCGTCACTACTATTGTCATTAGGACCATCTAGCTGAACAATATTTGTTGTGGTTCCTGAAATTGAATTGAATTATGAATTACAAAATAGCGTAAATTAGCTTTAAATATGAGAAAGCATCTGATTAAGTTTTCGAAATAAGGCCAAGTTAATTTTTCCTCTGCCTGATATATTATGTAGACAAAAGAGCTTTAAAATATGATTAATGAAATAATCTATGAATGGAAGTTTTTTAATCCAAAATACAACTGTATTGAGTTGAATATTTGCAACATCATTGAAACGACAATGGACGAAACATTGATATTATGAGAGCTAAGAGCATCAACCTAACAATAAAAAAACTTCAATGCCAGAAACCTTTTGCACTTTTTTGATGTTGACCTAATGTTTGAGCATTCAATTGATATATAATAATTGAATAGTTTTGAAATTATAACACGAGAATAAAAGGTAAGGTTTTTTCAGTATGAAAGTAAATATAATGCATAGCACATTTGACATCGAAGACATGTTCAAACTGTTAGGTTATTGGCCAGTAATGAGTGGTAAATGATAATGAGTTCAACAGGCTATGAGGTTATAAAGAAAAAATAGCACAATTTAGCGTCAAATTTTTTGCTTCTCTACAGACTTTTTTGCAATGAGGTTGATGCACTTTTGCTTAGTAAACTTGGGTCATATGAAAAAATCTTATACCATTAACACAAACAGAAAAAAACAAGAATAAATATAAGAGAAATAACGTTTTACAATAAAAGATCAACAGAAATATCATTTCCTTTAAAGATTTTTCTGTTGATGTTCTTTTTCTGCAAAAGCGAATAAAAGGTGAGTATTGTTTAGAGAATGAAATTTTAAAGACTACAATTAGCTGTTAAACATTCGAAAAAAGCTTGGCTCGTTTTCAGTTCAAAATAATTTGGAATTGAATCGAGTATGCGATGATAACAATAAGATGTTCAAAAATACTCTGATAGTCAGCACATCTCAATAAACACAAAAGGGGTCCGATGAAAGGGTATTGAAGTAGAGCGAAAAGAGTGAATAGGCTTTAAGATAAGCAAGTTTACATTGTAACTAATGAAAATAGATAGCAAAAGTAACTTTGAAGATTAGCCAGAGGGTACGAAAAATATTGTTAAAAGTGATTGGAAAATTTTTTAAAGCTTATACTTAAGTCAATAAAGTAGGAATTTAAAAGCCACTAGTTATTACCTGAACTATTGGGTTGAGGAGGCCTTGTGGTTCGCTGATTAACGGAATTAGTTGCAGCAGGTTGAAATTGGATAGTTGTGGGACCATTAATAACAGAAGTAGGATCTATGAGTCGCAAAAAATAAAGAAAAAATGTTAAAGTGTGAGTCCGTAAAATTTCAAATTTTAAACTTACTGCTCGTATGTCGGACAACTGATTCTTGTGGCTGCGCTGATTGAATGTTAATGACAGTACCACTACCAAAGGTAGCTTGTTGAAGTATACTATTGGCCAATTCAGGAGGTAATGCTAAACTAGCTGTTGCAGCAGAAGAGCTCTGAAAAGATTGAAAAAAATTTGAAACATGATTTGATAAGACCATACTTGTAAACTAACCATTAATCCGGGAGTTTGTGTATTGAGAAAGAAAACTTTTTGAGGCACTGACTTAGAGCCATCAATCTGAAACGGAAAATAGCAACGAATCAATATTGGTTTGAATAAGATGCAGGCAAGTATATGGATTGAGATGAAGTTGAATTTCTTACACGATCTCCAGAAGGGAATTGAAGAACAGTTTGAGGAAAACTTAGCTGCTGCGGTAATGCAGAGCTGCCAGTGGTAATGTGACGAGTTGGATTCGTTGTAATTACTGGAGTAATCTGTGTTTGCTGACCTAAGGATGTGCCAGTGTTAAGTTGACGAGGTTGGGTGGAAGTAATTACTTGAGTGATTTGCGCTGGTTGGGACAGCGACGACCCTCCAGATGTAAGTGGACGAGGCTGATTTGAAGTAATTACTTGAGTAATTTGAGTCTGTGTAGATAATGCGGAGCTACCTGTTGTAATATGACGGCTTGGATTCGATGAAATTACGGTTGTAACATGAGGCTGTTGTGTAGTAACCGGACGAGTTGCTGGGGTGATAGTTGTAGTTGTGCTTAAGCTTGAATTGGAAGAGGCCCCGGTCGTTGAAGCTCCCTTATCTTTATTATTCTCATCGATTAGAGCTTTTGTTTCTTCTACTTTTTTGTACCAAGTTTGCTTCAAATCAATTAAAACTTGTTCATCAACTCCATCGTCTAAAAACATATCACGAACACTATTAATAACATCTTCAATTACAGAGCGATAGAGTTTCGGCTATAATAAATAGACAAAAGCCAAAAAGCATGACAAGAAAAAAGAGAAAGATAAAATTTAGTGAAAAATAAAACCAAGAAATACAAAAGAAAAAGCTCAGTGTTTAATACTTAAAACATTGGTCTACCCAATTGGAAAGAAAATTAACAAACCAAAGAAACATTAGAATTAAAATTAAATATCTTACCACTGTCGCTGCGGACATCATTTAGGTATAAATTAGGGATGATCTTCACTTAAAGATGCCACTATTTTATACAATTACTAATAAGAATCAAATAAATTAACTTAAACAAAATATTGAAGAAAGTCTAAAATACTAAATTTCACCCGATAAAAATCTTTAACCTACAGCTGGAGCTCTCACCATGGATACTAATCTTTAAAGATAAATCTTTATTTATAGCTCCATCTTGTGCTTTCATTAAATGTTACTCCTAGATTCAAATTTCAAACGAGTAAATCACTTGAAATGTCAATTGTTTGGCTTTGAATAAAAATGAGCAATTTACTGAGAAAAGTCACAATTTATAAATGAAACAATCTTGTTCAAACATTGCATACCAATCAAATAGAAATAATTCTGATAAAATTGTAAAATGATTTATATTTCAGATAAATGGATGCACAAAACAAATCAACAGTTGGATGTTTTTCCAAAGATAATAGACTGACGAAAGATGACAATTAATTTAAACCAAAGCACTAAAACAACGATAATGAAATGATGAAATTTAATGAGTTTATTTAACCCATTGAAAAAATACAAGTTGAACTACCAACCAGAAAAAACTCTTAACAGTGATTGGCTGATTATTGGCGGGAAGCTCATGCTTTTTTACCTCTTTACTTATATTTAAGCACGTTAGTGTTTCTACTGTTAGTTGGTTGTTCCTTCAAGTTAACCAGCGTTGGTCTTTTTAAGAGATTTCTTGTAAATTGATTAAGAAGATCAATGTAACCTAACCTACCTTGGTGAATTATTAAATCATTCACCAAACTTCAACATAAATAAGATGGTTATTCATCTTTTGATCCACTGGTTTTATGTCAATTACAGTGGTTTCAGTTTCTTCAATTGACATTATGGTTGACTTGAACCAACTCACTTAATCAAAGGTAATCTCTGGGATCTTCTACCTATTGGAAGTTTCAGCTCTTTGATTATACAAATTGAATTGGCTTATACTTGAATACCACAATTGAAATAATCAGTTGTTGGTAAACTTGTTCATAGCCTACAAACCCATTCTGAGATGATGAAATACTAACCTACCGAAAACCTTCAAGTAAGTTATTCCTTTGTTTATTTTTATTCTATGTCATGAATTTGATTCTAATGTACTGATTTCGTCTAATTATACTTCTATTACCACAGATTTATTGGCTCAGTTTATTGTGATCGAATTTCAATGCTTCAGTTCTTTTGATTTAAATGAAGCGTTAGAAAACACAAATTCTCATTGCTTCCCTCATCCTATTTACATTGAAATGTGAATATCAATATTTTATCGATTTCTTATTTTTGAGACCTTTCGCCAGCTCTTAATGTCCGGTTTCCTGATCAATCAGACGATGTTCTAGCATTTATTTATGGCAAAATCTTATCCGAGGATCTATCATCTTAGGACTGATTTGTTGAAGTCCAAATCAATGATAATTGGCTTTTAACGAGGCGTATAATATTCTTAGAAGGGTTGATAATTTAGATGAATTGAATATATCAAATCAATGATAAGAGGCGGGTTTATTCAGGTTGATTGACATTTTCATTAATTGATTTAAATTTCCAGTTTGATTACCGTGAATGTAACAAAATATTTGACGATAACAATGATTACAATTATTGATTTAGAAAGGAGTCAGAAAAGTGTGATTAGAGTAAGTAGTAAGCTATGATGGAACATCTTCATTTGATTCTAAAAATTGTGCGTATCTATCTCTTGTACATTCTCCTTTCGTATTAAAAATGAATTTGTAATAACTCCCATCAGAGCAAATGGCTGTAACGAAGAAGAATCAAAATTAGTAATTTATATCATCTATTTTTTTTATTAATAGTACCTATCACGGAGTTTGGATCAGCTCCGAAACCACATATACATTTTGATCCAACTGGCACAGAAAACTTAGAGAAACTCCAATTTGAGCTAAAATAATTGGATAAAAATGACGCTGATGATAATCTGTATAGAATAAAAGAGATAGTAATTAGAAAGGGTGTAATTTTCTTTGGATTGAATGTTTACCACTTGAAATTAATCAAATGTTGGTGAAAAAAATAAACTAGATAATAATACTAGCAGCCGCCATGATTCCAATGAAGCTGAAACATGGCACAATCTAATTGATTTATCATGGACATGAATAAACACTTCACTCAACTCGTTTTCAATCTTTTATCAGCGTGATATCATGAGCCTGACTTATTCTTTGAATATTTTTCTGGCATGATAGTTTCATCCCACACTGTCTAATCAATAAACAATAGAATGATTATAATACATATATAAATTACCCTGATTGTCTGTTTTTCTTGGGATCATCAACAGCAAAAATATGGACAGTACTGTGGTCACTCGAGACACACAAAAGAGTAGCATTGAAGTTGAAGTTAATGCTAAATAGAGAAGAAATAGAGAAAAGGGTTTTATCAATAAGTATTTCAATGAAATTATCAATGATATTTTACCAATAAATAGTTGCTTGATTGGCACCTCTTCTCAGCTCATTTAACATGGTTCCATTTGAAGTATCAAAAATTCTTATTAACGTTCCTTTTTCAGATGCTGTAGCGAGTCTTGTTCCTGGTAAATTTAATGCCATACAGTTTAATGGAGTTTTGTGAGCAGCTATGTCAATATGAGGTTTATCAATGTTTATAAAATCTACCAAACTAATGTGTCCAACTTTACGAGCTGGAAATGCTAATAATGAATTGTTATCTTGTGGACAGACGGCACATATACCTGAGGAAAGAAAAAAGAGAAGTTGGTTAGATGGATAAAAAAAGTTATCAAAGGATTTATATATATGCATACGTCAATAAAATAACAAACCTTTAGGATTGGAACAAGTTTCAAAGACATTTTTTTCTTGTGATCCAGGACTAAAAGTGTAAACCTTGATAAGAGTTTCAAGAACAACTATAATCCGATCTCGACGTAATTTAACAGCTTTTACATCACTTGAAAATTTGAGATGGCTGACTGATTTGTTCTTCAAATCATCCCAAATGACAACCTCATTACTTGGATACATGGGTTTACTTCCACCGCCAACAAGAGCAACATAGTTAGACCGAAGGAAAAGCTCAACAATACTGAAACCACCTTCTTTAGGTGTCAATTTTTTTTGTTCTTTAAGGGGATCGGTTGAGTAGACACGATAACCATTGGTCATCCCACATGCAAAGCATGTTTGATCTTGATTAAAGGCTAGATATAACAAACCATTGGCTGGTCCAGAATCACTGGCAGATCCACTTTTATCATTTCCACCACTGCTTAGTCCAACACTAGTGCTTGATGAGCTATTGACATGCATTGATTATGAAGGGCGATGTATTTTGAAGGAGTTGTCAATAAAGATAAAAAGGTTACCAGTGTTATAAACCGAAAAATTGAAACAAAGAGTAAAGAAGGAGAGGAAAAGTCAGATCTGACAGGTAATCCTCTGTTAGACACTGTTAGACAGCAAAGGTTAGTCTACCGAATTGATGCAATTTGATAATCCACTAGGAGCGCTGATGTAGACTTTTCCTGTCAACAATTTATTTTTTAAATTCAATTTACATTGCGAGTTAATTTTTGATGTATTTTAACGATTAAAAATTAAATCACTTGTAATATGTCACATTTGAAAAATCTATACCCATCTGTCTCTTTACTATTTTAGATTTCATTTCCAGACAATTTGATAAGCTTCAGTAGCTGTGATTTAATTTTTGTTCGGTCCCTAACCAGGCGGGGCTCAATACACTTTTCAAAATGTTTTTTAAACTTTGATTAAACTGATTTAAATGCATATGTATTCTGGTTTTAAAGGTCTTACTCTGTCGATTGAAATTAAATTTTTGTTGTCGATCGACGTCATGCATGATTAAATAATAAAATTTTTCATGAAGAACTTATTCAAAAGAAAAAATCAAAAAGTGTAAATTGATTTGATATTGAACTACTCAGAGTAGTTCAGTGATTACATAAAGATATATTTTAGAAGGGATAACTTTAATTGTTCAGTTATGGTCTGTGCATAAATTATCATTTTCCTTTGTTGTTTATTCGGTTTTTTTATGATAAATTGTTATGTTTGGACATTTCTTCGTAATACTTTCCTTAGTCACACAAGAAATGTCAACGATAAATACTCAACTGACATGAAAACTCAAAGTAATGGAAACCGTTTGTTATCATTAGTATCAGTCATAATTGACATAAGGATAACAGGTGGTAAGATCAGAGGAAGACTTTCAAATATTAGAATAATAAAAGAGTTGATGAAAATTCAGAGGGAATATGGAAAATTAACAGGAACTCTCAAATTTTTAGTTCCTTTTATCCCGGTTTGTCGGAAGCAGCAAAATTCTTGTTTCGAGGGTTGCTATAATAATGATTTATTTACACACTTACCAATTAAAATCTTGCAATAATGTCGTTTGATCATTCAGGATTTAAGTTTATTTATCAGAAACATTTTAAAAATACATATTTATGGAGTCAGAAATAACATTTTACTAAGGATGAATGAGAAACACACATTAATGATTCGATTACTCAAAGGACTTCAGATGGTGAGTCCTTTTGATGAATCATATATTGAACACAGCATTATCGTTCAGAGATGATACACAAAGATAACTAGCTTTTTAGGTTATGCATATCTATTTACCTTTGGAGCAAATTGTATTTGTAACAATGTTTTGAGTGAAACAAAAATGTAAGTTTTTTAATTGGTGTGCCATTTGAAGTGTAATTATGAACAATTTGAAAATCAGTTACTAATAAAATCGTCAATAAGTGATGATATTTTTTTAGGATATTCAAGGTGAACAAAATGAGCAGCATTTTGAACCAATTCAACTCGAACATTATCAACATATTTATTGGCCTGAGTTGCAAACTCTTCCGATAAAGCACGATCAGAGTTACCCCAAATTATCATAGTAGGTTGTCTAATTGGTAGCTTCAAGTCGTCCAGAAAACGGCTTCTCTTAACAAAATCGCGATAATAACCAAAGGCAGATTTAATTGCAAATGGTTGGCTGAAAATAAATTTCCATGGTTCCATCTCTTTGTTGCTAAAGATGTAAGATCGATCACCTTTTCTGAAACCAGCTTTTAACATGAAAAAATCAAACGTTTGAAACATCAAGTCAGGAAAAAATGGAGAATTAAAAAACAGCATGTACCATGATTTAAGGAATTGTTTTAAACTACGTTTGATAAACTTTCTAAAATGAACTGGATGAGGTCCATTCAAAATGATCAACTTGGAAACCAATTTTGAGTATTTACTAGAGACGAAATATGAAACACAAGCACCCCAATCATGGCCAACCAGGATAACGCTTCGGTCAGATGATTTAGTTATACTCTCGATTACTTTGGCTACCAAATCGGCAACAACATCAACTCTTAAAGATCCATTATCCAAGATTTTACTAGATTCACCTAATCCTGGCATATCGATAGCAACAGCATAATAACCTTTGGAACCAAATTCAATCAACTGTTCACGCCAAGTAAACCAAAAATCAGGGAATCCATGGAGGAAAACTATTATGGGATCTTCTGGGTTTCCTTTGGCCACATAGTGAATAACTCTTTTCTAGAAATTTGACACATAAGACAAAAAAATTGGATTAATAAATCGTTAAATATCTTGTTATTAATAAGTAAATGGAAAATGATTGAAAAATAAAAATCAATGTTTACTTACATCAACTATGACCGTATGATGTTTACCCCAGCTTGGATCATCCAGAATGGCCGGTCTTTTTGAATAATCGGGCGCATAAAGGTTTTTAAAGCCATTTTTGAGAAGAGACAGAAACACAATAAAATTAATTAGAGATCCATAAAAGATTGAGAAACTAAAAATAATAATTTTCTCTACAATTAATGATAACATTTTAAGTAACTTTATTGCTTTTTATGCAATCGTAACCCAATAAGTTTGATGGCAAACAATGAACTGATCATTGCTGCAAATAAGTAACAATTTTAACTACATTTCCACAGTGATTCACAAGTATTAAACAGAATGAAAGATAAAAGTTCAGTCTCAGTTTGAGATATATTAGGTGAGCACATATGCACTAGGCATTCAAGCACTGTTGATAAATAAGTTAGTCAATTTTAAGTGAATAGTTTTCATCATATTAACAGCAAATCCTTGAGTTTATTATAATATTTTCCGTAATGCTGCCATCTAGACAATCAAGATGGGTAATATTTAATACAATCAAAGGTAATTTAATGATTTCCCTCTTCAGTTTATCTAGATGTTAGTATGACAAAACTATCAAAAAGTCAAGGATTCGACCATTGTGTTGATTTAATCATTACTGAACAATTGTCCAATTCCCTTGCCAAGGCTAAAACAGTTTAGTCTTTTCATAAAACAATTTATGGTTCCATCCATTTAGTGATTACGAGATAAAGTTGCTTGAAAACTTATTCATTTTTTTATGATAAATTTTTGTGATTTATCCTAAGAATTAGCTGATCAGAATCTGATAGAATGATCAATTTCGGTGTGGAAATTAGTTTGATTTGAAAGTTGCATATTCGTGGAATCTCCATGAAAGCAAGATATTAAAAGACATTTTCATCTTACAATGTTAGATTATTGATAATGAGTTATCTTAGTTTTACGGGTGAGAAATCACATTTTATGAGTATGAACAAACAGAAAACAAGAAAAATTGATTGGTTTTGATTCAATTTTACTAGTTATTTTGTCTATTTAAAAACATTTCGATCGTCAGACAATAATTTCGGTAATATATCAAACGGTTATTCAATTGATGGGTGATAAACATGAATTTGAAATAATTTCCAGGAACGGTTACATGCGAGATTTAAATATTAAATTAAGTTGCCTCTGAGATATGTCATTAAAACATACATAGAATGAAAATGGACCAAAATCTTACAAAATGATTAATTTGCAAATTTTCATTTGAAATATTTGTTGTACCTTGTGAAGATCCATGAGTAAATGGTAGTGATGATTATTAAGATAGTAGTATTAGAAATTAGCCTCCTCTTTAACCGTTACATCTCTGTCTCTCTTTTCTTTGTCTGTGTTATCATGGAATTCGTTTGAAGCTTCAGGTTCACAAATTAATCGTTTCTCGGAATCTTCTTTGGGGTCCATCCAATCATCTGGAGTAAATTGCATTTGGACAGAAGGAGAATGTTCAACGTTCCTCAATATCTCATGAGCATATTTTACAATTGTTTCTAAGTAAATTTTGCTGTTTGCGTTATGAGTTGTATCACCACAAGGTTTATCCAGGAGTAATGAAAAGTCAGGAGCAAAGTATTCGAAATATTCAGAAAAAGGTATCTCATTGGAGATGGCCTCATCCACTAATATACTGGTCTCATATGTCCAAGCTCGTGCAACATTTCGTGGGGTATAACCCCCACCACCAAGAACCAAAAGAGGTAAATTAAAAGTCTTAACATATTTGACACATTCTCCGTGACCTTTGATGGAAAGGTTGAAGCAACCTAGACGATCGGCTGCCAGAGAATCGGCTCCACATTGAAGGACAATAGCTGTTGGTTGATAACATTGAATCACTTTGTCTATCACAGGTTTAAAAACAGTAGCATAATTATTGTCATCAATGCCCTCTTTCAGTGGAATATTGATTGAATAATTACGACCAGATTCAGCTCCTATTTCAAACATATCACCAGTTCCCGGGAAAAAATAGTTACCATATTTATGAAAAGATACTGTCATCACACGATCAGTTAGATAAAATGCTTCTTGAACCCCATCACCATGATGAATGTCAATGTCAATATACAACACTCTGAGGTGACGTTTGAGCAATTCTAAAATAGCAATCACAATGTCATTAACATAACAAAATCCTGAGGCCTCAAATTTTTTAGCATGGTGCAGTCCACCAGACCAATTGATGGCTATGTCACAACAGCTATTGTTCAATTGAACAGCTCCTATACAAAAGAAAGACAAGGTATAAGTAAAAAAATCATCTGTGACCGATATATTGATCAATTTACCTTGTAAAGAAGCGCCGGTATACCTTGAACAGAACTCATATAGCCCTTCAAATACAGGACAATCATCTCCCACGTTGAATTGAGGTAGATATTTGGTGAAACCACTGACATTGGAGGGAGTCACTCTGGATAGAAATTGAATATATTCTTCAGAATGGAAGCGACACAGGTCATGGTATGTGGCTTTGTAAGGTTTATATACTTTCATCTTCTTGTGTAATTTATAGTTGAACACCAATGAATGGGTCATAGAAAGTCGCTGGGGTTTCATGGGATGACCAACACCATAGTGGAAATTACCCACCTGTGGGTCCCAAAAATAGATAGCTTTACGTTCAGATCCAGACATATCTAAACCATTGTATATCTATCACCATATAAACAATTGAGACTATAAGAAGAAGAAAATAAGAAATTAATTAATTAACCAATTAATAGACAATAAAACTGGTAGAGATGAACTTACCAAAGCTGTTTATTTAGAGGTTTTGTTTGTATCATTATCCGTCCTTTTTACACAACACATTTTTGACTACTCAAATCTACACTACTCTTTGGATGAGACACTATCACCTTTCTTTCTCTCTTTCTTTTACATCCAGATGATGAGTGGAGAGTAAAGAAAGAAAAAAAGAGAGATGAAAGCTTCACATCAGCGGGCAAAACAACACATTGGTATGAATGAAAACAAAAGAAGGTAGTTCCGATTAGTGTTTCGCGATATTAAAAATATATCGTTAAAAAGAATCGGTACCAATCTTACGGCATCAAGTGTTTAAAGAGTAAAATTAAAGCATGGGTTTGGCGTGAGTAACTCTCAGGGTCTCTAGAAACAACTGAAGGCTCAATTTTTTCTCAATCCTGTAATTCTTTGCCTGTTAATTTCATCAGATTGTGCGTTTTTTGGTATCGAGTACTTAATTTATTTAAAGTATCAAGTATTATCGACAGGCATAATTTTATTCAAAAAAATATCAGGCAAACACTACTTGATACAAAAGAGTAATAGGTTACTTAATACTCTATGCTTGATACATTATCTTTAGGATACCAGGATATTTTTCAAATTGTATTGCTGAACGTTTCAGTGGAAGCCTGGTAATTGGATCGAAATAAATTTCATTGATTTTCATCTTCCAAAAGTAAACTGAATTAGATTTAAATATGGATTTACAGAAAAGCAAACAATTTAATGATTAAGACGGAATTGAGTTCAACATGAAATTACAATTTCTAGTGGTCGTTACTTTGTACTCAATGAAAGCAACCAGAGATACAAGTCTTACCAATCATTCTTGTTAATCAATCTGAAACATTGATGTTACAATCAATACGCACATGAATTTATTCAATGAAATTTCACATTGCGAATCCAGTTCATTACGATTTTCTTGCAATACATCAAAGAAAAAATTCAAGGGTCAAACATATAAAATAATGAAATCTCGCCGGTGTTATTATGGCATAAATGAATAAATACGATATAAATCGACTATTCAGGGTTTTCCGATTTGAAAAATTCATGATTTATTTTTCAATGCTTTACTCGAAGGATTTTGTTAGCAATAATCATAATGTTCAATGGCCAGTCATACATTCCTTTTCCTAACTCATCCATTAATCATTGGCCAGTTTAAAAACTAGATCTTTACTCATAACACTTCACTCATTTAGTTTTAGTTAGCCTTTATTTACTAACATTTGTAAGTCAGTTTAACCCTCAGTTCCCAATTGTAATCAAATTTTTTTAAATCTTTATTCTTGATTTTGATTAACATCGCTTCTTTATTAAATTTGATAATTACTGTAGTATCTCAAAGCGAGATTTTAAACGTTATTTATTGCTGAGATTTATATTATTCCCAGCACTTTATAACAAAACTTATACAAAATTAATCATCAAAAATCAATATAAGTTGGAACCAAAAATTTGCGACAGAATGCGACTTAAAGGCACCATTTTTCAGGTATCGAGCAACCTAACTTAAGCCTGAAAAATTTGACAGATAATTCAGACTATTTTACATGGAGGTAGAATAAGAATAGCAAAAGTAGCTAATATCATTAGTATTCAATTATTGAAAATTAAAAAAATCAATTCTTTAACTAATCTGGTTGCTGAATAATCAGCAAAAAAATTGTCTAAATTTTTGGTTCCACTGGCTTATAAACAAAAACAAAATCACAAGACAAGATTTGCTTCTTTGGCTAGTGAATAGAAAATTGAATCTTTTTTATCCAACAAAGCTTCAGGTGTATCAAATTCAGCAACTTTTCCTTTATCCAGAACCAAAACTCTATCAGAATCCATTATTGTATTTAGACGATGAGCAATTGTTAAAATTGTACAATCTTTGAATTCACTACGAATTGTCTTTTGAATCAGTGAATCAGTCTCGTAATCAATTGCAGCAGTAGCTTCATCGAGAACTATCAAGCAAAAAAAGACAAACAATTATTAAAATATCGAATCAAGCGTTTTGAATAATAAAACTTACATAAAATTTTTGGTTTTTTGAGTAAAGCTCTTGCTAAACATAAAAGTTGCCTTTGACCAACACTTAAATTTTTACCTTCTTCAGCAATTGAATAATTAAGACCTTCACCGGTATTTGATACAAAATCTTTCAGATGTGCATGGGATAGAGCATCCCATATCTCATCATCAGAATATCTATTGAATGGATCAACATTGAATCTCAATGTACCACCAAAAAGGACTGGATCTTGTGGTATAATTGCGAGACGAGATCTCAACGGGTGCAGAGGTAAATCACTGATATTGTATTGATCAATAAAAATATTTCCTCCAGCAGGTTCAATCAATCTAAATAATGATAATGTTACTGTTGATTTACCGGCACCAGTTCTACCAACGATTCCAATCTTTTCCTTTGATTTAATATCTGCTGTTATACCTTTTAAAACCAATTCAGTTCCTTCTCTATAACGAGTCTCGTAATTATTAAATTTAATGGATCCTTTTTCAGGCCAATTATCATCTGGTTTAACTTTAGCTTCATACCAATCAGCTTCACTTTTTATTTTACAGTATTCCAATATTCGTTCAACGGCTACAATATTAGTTTCTAAACTGGAAGACGATCGAACCAGCCAATTCAAAGTAGCTGTAATGCTCGAAGCATACAAAATGGAAAGACCGACTGTTCCACTATCGAGTGTTTCTCGGGAAATGACAGCGAATATTCCAGCGAATAGTAGAAGAATGGTTCCACAGAACTCTAGTCTTATTCCTAGCCATTTATTTGCGATAATGCTTGGATAATAACAGCATAGATTGTGATCAATTTTATCTGCTAATTCTTGAATGAATCTATCGGAAACATCAAATGCTCGTATAGTACTGACTCCATTCAAAGTTTCTCCAAAATGTGAATAAATCGGAGATCGAGTGACGGATTCAAGTCGCTTGAGTTGACGAGATGAGGTGACATAGATGCGTTGTATGAATGCATAAACACAACAGACTGGGACGAAGGCAACGATGAACAGAGGTGTGCTGTAGGAAATTATCACGAAAGTGGCTAACATTTGAAAGAAGCATAATAACCAAGACCTGGAAGTAATTGAGGATACATTTAGGTTATATTTAATATCAATCATATAATCTTAATCTGGTTATTACTTTAGGTTTTGCGGGATAACTGAATCGACGGTATCGATATCTTTTGAAAACCTGTTGACAATCCGTCCAGTTGGAGTTGTATCGAAGAATGACATTGGTGAACGAAAAATTTGATACAATAAGTCTCGATGAAAACCAACTGAAGCACGAATAGCACCAACAACGAGTACCAAAGAGCTAATAAAGGTAACAATACCTAAAATTAACAAAAAGATTTGAAATTGATCGTGATAAAAGTTTTTAATGCAATCACAACTCGTGTGATCTTCAAACATTTTGACGAATTGAATTCAACAAGTTTCGTTAATTTAGTTCTTATCCTAGATAATTGTTAATTGTGTCAAACTAAAATAAAATAAAACATGTTACCTTGTCCGAAACTAAGAGCTGCATAAACTTGAAGTCTCATTTTGGTTTGATCTAAAGTATAGTTAGCATTGTCCGAAGCACTTGTCCAAGCAGAAAGCCACACATTGGAGCCGAGTGATAAACCATTTGCAATGACTGAGGAAATGAGTATCATAATGAACCAAAAGAAGGAAACCATTTTGAAATATTCAAAATAAACTGACCACCGGACTTTACCGGTTTCAGAGGATTCAACTTCAATCAACTTTTTACTCTTGTTATCAACTGGAACTGATGATTCTTTTAGAGTTTCCTTTTTGTCTAAGGATTCATTAAGCGATTGTTCACCTTCCTCTGGTTCAGCAGCAAGATTTGTGAACTCTTCAACTAATTCTGAGAAATCACCTTTCGAATCCATCAGCTCTTGGAATGTACCAGTTTCACTTATTTCACCATTGGCAAGAACATAAATACTATCGACTTTGGATAAAATGTCCAACTTGTTTGTGACTAGAATTCGTGTTTTATTCCGAAGAAGGCCACTTTTTGAACTAAGTACGTTATTGAATATATGTTTAGCAACATGAGCATCAACTGCACTCAATGAATCATCTAATATGTAGAGATCAGAATCACTGTAACATGCTCTTGCTAAGCTAACTCTTTGCTTTTGGCCACCTGAAAGGTTGATTCCTTTCTCACCAATTTCAGTTTCATCACCTCCAGGTAAATAAGCTAAATCTGGTTCAAGAGCACAAGCGGCTATTACTTCATCATATTTAGTTTTATCGAAAGGTTTACCGAATAAAATATTATCTCGTAATGTTGCGTTTTGTATCCAAGCTTGTTGAGCGACATATGCTATCTTTAGTTTACCATTAATATTGATTCGACCTTTTACTTTTTCCATCTCACCCAAAATGGCGCTTAATAATGAACTTTTTCCTGAACCAACAGATCCAATGATTGCCACGAATGAGCCAGTTTTAACACTCATATTGATATTTTTCAATGCTGGTTCATCATTGAGCAAATTAGTGCAAACATCCTTTGGTTCATCCTCGCCAATTTCAGGTTTGCGAGTTGTCTTTGATTTCGTTTCTTCATTTTCTTCTGTCTTTTTATTCCACTTGAAATAAGCACTATCGATCGAGATGGCATCAATCTCGTCATTTCTTGTTACATATTGATCCAAATCATCACGATTAAGAAATTTGTTGATTCGTCTAACGGATACTGATGCCTGTTAAGGTAATTGAAACAACAAAAATTAGGTTGTAAGACACTAAAAGACACAATCAACTCATTTGTTACATTTATGCACAAATTGATGACCAACCATAGAATAGTCTTATTTTAAGAAATAAAATTTTCTTTTTTCCGTAAAACAGATCAGTTCGATTTTCAGATAAACCGACCGCATTCTGTGAGCGTAAGAGTTAGAGAGCTAAAACTTATTATTTGTCGATAAAAGTTGCTGGAGCACATCATGAATTGAATAACTTTTTTCATTCATTGACATTTCTTCCAATATTGGCCATTTACCTAAAAACTTTAAGCTTCGATATTGTGAGAATGGCATCACCTACGACCATTATTCTTTGACCAGACATTAGATTGAATTATGGGTTATAATATGATATGAATGAATCCCGAATAAGAACCAATCTAAAGCATATAATAATCAATATCCTTTTCACACATAAGATTTGTGTTTGAATTACCATTCAACTTTATAAACCAAGTCTAAATTCTGACAACATCAGTAATACTATGCAATAACTTTTTTTCTATGATCTTGAATAATTTAATATTTCAATCAATTATAGCCCATAATAGAATCTAATGCTGGTCAAAGAATGATCATTGTACTTGCTATCATTCTCGAGATATTGAGACTCAAAGTTTTAAGGTCAATGGCCAAAATCAATCGAACCGTTGCTAAATCGAAAAAATTGTCCAGTGATTGATAAATACCAATAATTTTTATCAACAGATAATAAGTTTCAGATCCCTGGTTCTTACGGTCACTGAATGAGATCGGTTTTTGTGAGAATCGATCTGACCTGTTTTACGGAAAATAGAAAATTTTATTTCTTAAAATAAAACTATTCTATCGTTGGTCATTAAAGGTTACATCAGTTGATTGATTTTCATTGAAAAATCTGCTTAAATAGTTGCACAAAAGGCTATCGAAGTTTCAACTTTAGCCTCGATTTTATCAAAAACTGTTCATCGGGCGAATTATTTAATGGTACCAATGGACACACTTTTTATGTCCCTACGAACCCATAAAGTCTTAATTCTCAACTCAAATGATCGAGCCTTTTGCAGGACTCTTTGCATTTCATTTGTTGGTTTAACCAGAAAATTGGTTTATTTAGCAAGAAATGGGTTGAGATGAGTTTGTTATGTAGAATAAGTTGTTTCTTGCACATTTACAGCCCAAATATCATGATCCAAATGCGCTTTTGAAAATTTATTAAAGTGAATAAAACTATCAATTAGCAAAGAATTAAATTGGTGAAGGAATGATGACCATAAGTGCTACCATTCTCGAAATATTGAGGTTAAAAGTTTTAGCGCAAATGGCCAAAATCAAGAGAACTGTTGATGAATCGGAAAAAGTATTCAATCCATGATTTGTACCAACAATTTTTATGGATGAATAATAAGTTTCAGATCTCTAACTTTCACGCTCACCGAATGCGGTCGGTTTATCTGAAAATCGAACTGATCTGTTTTGCAAAAACGAGAAAATATTATTTCATAAAATAAAGTTATTTTCTGGTTGATAATCAAAATTCACATCAGTAAACTAAGTTTCATGAAAAAATCTAGTTCCATAATTAAATAAAAAGCGATCGAAGTTTCAACTTTGGACACGATTTTCTCGAAAAATATTGACCAAAGAAACTATTAAATAGCACTAATGGCTTCAGGTTTTATTTCCCTACAAACCAACAGAGTCTTGACTTGAAAGAAAGTAACTTTTACCCGTTTTTGCCCATTTTTCTCGCAGTATTTGTATCATAAATGTAACAACCGTTTTAACTATGTTTTTTCAACAACAATAAAAAAGCAGTAATATTAGCGCATTAAATGAATGAAAAGCAAATCATTGTATCATAATTACCCTAATATACATAGATAGCAAGTCTGGAAGCATTGTTACTGGAGCTTGAAGGATCTGTAATAAAAATAATGAAACAAAAGCCTTTGAAGCTGTGAGTGTTTCACCTTGAATCAAGACATAGGCAGCAAATGTGGCGACAGAAACCAATGCAGGAGAGCAAATCCATAGAAATGATGTAGCGCACTCGAGATATGATAATCTTTTCAAGTGAGTCAGTTCTTTGTGCCGTAAATCATTGACATGGTCCAAAAATGATTCCTCCCAAGCATAAAACTTCAAAATCTTGATTCCACTAAGAACTTCATTCATAAATTTAACTCTTTCGTCTTTGTGTTTCATAAACTTAACCTGAAATTTTTGACACCATTTTACCATAAAACTGTTGAATGGCATCACTATAACCATTGCAGCTAAACCAAAAAAAGATGAATAACCCAATTCCTGGTAAAGGAAATAAATGGATATCCCAATTTGCAAAGGACAAGACCAGATCAAGTTGATTTGTGGCATCAGATTCAAGAACGTTTTGGCATCGACAGACATTAAGTTGACAATTTCACCTGTGGTCACATCTTTTCGTGCTTTATCTCCGAGGTTGATAGACTTTTTGTAGATGACTGCAGTTAGAGCTGAACTAACTTTCATTCCAACAATAGACATGCGATTGTAATAGTGATTGACGAAAATGGTTTTCGCAAAAGTTACGATTGCAATGGCGAAAGCAATCAAAAACCCATGCCAAACTGGTTCCTCTGAGTGATTTTTGATGAATTCAATGAGATATCTAGAGATTGAAATAAAATGAAACAACTTGAAATAGAAAAGATTTATAAACAATTTCATTGAATTACCCCAACAACTTTGGTTGAACAAATTGAAGGATATCTTGACAGAGCTTGAAAAAAGCTCCGACTATGAAATAACTTCCAAAGGTTTTCACCAAAACTGGTAAAATATTTATTCCTTTAAATTCTTTTGCGCCTTCCGATGTCTTTTGAGACTTTTTCACTTTCATCTCGAAAGTTGTTGTGATATTTTCAGTTTTAAAGTCATCTTGAAGTCTCCAAAGATCTTGAGTTGTTAAAGCCTTTCTCAATCCCAGTAAAGCCATTTTGTCAAACCATGAAAAGACGAGGTAGCTGAGGAAAGATGACTCGTTTTCTGGATTGGTCGGACGGTTGTCATCTTGTTTTGGATAAATTGTCAATTCAAAATCTTCTAGTTGATGAACTGGACCATCAGCAAATGAAACGATAATCAACAGAAGAGCGACTAATGCAAAGTAAACATTGAAAAGGCCACATTCAAGGTGGGAATACTCTGAAGAGTCGACCCAAGTTTGGTAACTGATGAGGAATGTGCAAATTGTTTGGAGAAATATGTAAATCCATAGCACAGCACTTGTATGAATCCCACGAATGCGATGGTAATAAAAGAAGAGGCTAATTAAAGTCTGAAAAAACAAAATAAACTTTACTGTTGGTGAACAACTTTAGTAAAGACTCTTTACTTAAGAGCAATTGATCCTTAAACCACCATTAGAGTCAATGGATTCGGATAAGTTAATGGTTAATGGTTTCAATCGAGCGTGGACTTGAGGCATCTTCGCCATAATAACATAAAAAGTCTCAGCAATCAATCTCGCTTTGAGGTACCACAGTAATTATCAAATTTAGATTTTATTAACGAAGGGAAAATTTAGAACCGATGTTAATGAAATCAAAAATGAAGATTTAAATTTTGATCTTATTGGAAACTTAGGAGTAAACTGACTTAGCAAATGAAGGCTAACTAAACTAAATGAGTGAAGTGTTAATGATTTCCGTATTTTACAATCTAATAAAAACTCTTTGGGGCTACTCAAATCAACTAAATTTATGGAGAAGCCATGTCGAAAAATGATGGTTTGGTCAAGATTAACACAAAGGACCACTGAATATTATATAATATTCAGCAAAATACCGCTTTTCAAAATATGTATGAATAATGTGGACCTTGTAATAAGATTAAACCCGTTTCTCGTTTTGCACGAACCAGTGTGAAGTGAAGTTATTTGAAATGCCTAAAAACACACTTGTAAGTCTTACTCATGAATATCCTTTTTTAATATAAAAGTTGAAAAGTGAATAAACACTCTTGTTGGCCCTTTTTCAGTGTGTTTTAACGAGTGATTATCCGTTTTCATATTTGACTCATTAGCTTTTCGAATGACAAGCAGAAGAGAAAGATTATGTTTGATTTAATCAGTTATGCACACGGAAAACATGATAAATGAACGGGATCTTGACTAAACGGCAATTATCACTCAATTCAAAATATTGTTGGCTGATTGCCAACAGAGAGAAGAGAACTGAAATTTTTACGAATCTCTGATGAAAACTCATAAATAACGTTATGATTAAAAGTAAGAGACCTTTGTACATAAAATAATCTCGATTAAACATACTTAAACAGTTGTAACTATTTGTTAATCAACAGCAAATCTATGTTATGGCGTTTTCTCGGAATTATTATTGAATTGCAATATGATTCAATACGGATAACAGCTCATCATCTGCATTAGCACATTGTAACAAATTATCTCAACTTACGAATGAAGCAATATTAAGTAATGGTGCGTAAAAATCAGATGGAGTCGGTTGGTCGGATGAGTTGAAGTATCGATAGATGATGTCGACCAACTGGAAAGCATTGATAAGTAAACATGAAATGGATAAAATTAAACGAAACCGATTCTTTAGATTCCAAGGAATTGGTTTATTTTTTATTCGACCAGTTCTTGTGAGTTCGTAAACGGAGAATAGCCATAAAAATATTGTCGGCAACCAATTCAGTATTGTTTGATGGAAACAACGGGTCAATTTGGGTACTGTCGAGTTCCATGATAAATTATAATCCTTTAAAGTTAACCATTCATGACAGTTTTGATGCCATAAAGAAAAAAGAGAAAAATGTAATTTAAATACTTGAATATAAAATTACAGATGAACAGCAATATGAAAATATTTTTGCCATTGTTTTGCAAAGAATAAAGAAGTAAATGCAGAAAACGGCCTTTCGATTCAAGGGCTGGGACTTTGTGGGTTTGTAGGGACATTAAAATTGAGTCTGTTTACGACATCAAAACTCTTTTATGATTAATAATTTCGATAAAGTCGAGTTCAAAGTTGAAACTTTAAAAGTTCGTTGTACAGTTGTGAAGCCAGATTTTTTCATCAAACTCAAACTGGTGTAACTTTCAATGGCCAATGCTTGAAGCGCTCATTTTGGGGAAAAAACTTTCTGTCTCTGTACAAGAGGTCACTTCGATTTAAGGACAAGTTATTCGCTTTTAGCGAGAATAATAGAGAATGAGCTGAAACTCTTTTGCCGATAAAACTCATTGGTTGATCGGACATTTTTTTCGATTCATCGAAAGCTTTCGTGATTTTGATGAATGGTCTTAAAACTTTGTAGTCTAAAATTTCAAGAATGGTAACACTTACAATCACCATTCTTTCAACAATTATTTTACTGTGGGCTATGCCATGTACAGTAAACCTTCGAGTTTTTCGCAAAACTAACAGCAACTTAACTTGACTGCACTTAAACTGAGGCTTTTTTATTATTAATTTGATCCTTTATTGCCATTATTACATCAATTAACGATCATTTGAAAATTTTTACTGATTATGTTGAAATAATCACAAGTATTGTAACTCTTTTTAGCAACAAAAGTTTACTGGGGGTTTGAGGGTTTACTGAATGTGAAAGAAAAAAAACACCTCCTGAATCAACAATTATCTTTATATGTATTTATGGTGAAAATGAATAACCATTAACCATGGTACCTTCACCAATAAACATTCACCTGTCAACAAACCAAATACATCGCCATAGCTCTTTTTGTATAATTTTAATTCACTTCATATTTTAGATTATTGTAGTCAGTGTAAAAAGTTTGCAAAGGACTTTTGGAGTTTCAACTTTGAACTCGATTTATCGAAAACTATTGAATTTTAATTTAACAAACCTGAGAGTACTTACAAACCCACTCTCAACTCGGAAGAAAAATTTTATGAATTACTCTTTTAAAGTTGAGAGTAAAGTCAGTTGCAGTAAAAATTACAAGGCTATGAATATTTGATACACTAACAAAAAAATGTCACTTTCAAGTTAACATTAATTTTACTCATAATCGTCATCTAACAAGAAATGGAAGCACATTTACGATCGCATTTAATTTTGTCCAGTTTCCTATTGTTTAGTGTCTCTGAAAACAAAACTCGAGATGGAAACACTCAAAAGTAACTTAACTTTGGATCTTTTTTGTTAAATTAAGTGTCAATATCAAGACTAAATCAAATCAAAATTGAATTTTCCCGAATGCATATCGCTTGATTAGCAAATTTCAAGATCATCATTAAGAAATTGATCAAACAAGTTAATTATGAAATGATTTTTAATCGATTAAAATGTAAAAATCAATCTGGACTTACCCATAAAGGCGAGTCACCACAGAGTACTTCAAGGTTTATTCGATCCATGATAGAACTGACAAAATAATTTGAAATTTATTATTGAATTTAGATTCAGAATAAAGAATCACGTAGACTTCATCTACAGAGTGGAGAAAAAGTTTAAGCACATTTAAGTCCACATTTCAAATGCGCAGATAATCAATTCTTGGTTTTTTATTAATCTCAAAAGAATGAATGTTAACCATCAATCACTCATTCAGTTACTGAACTTCAGTAACTTTATTTTTTAGCAAAAAGTAAAGGAAGAAAAAAGAGTCTCTTTCTTGCGCCATCTTCTGACACAAAAAAAGGATAAAAGTCAGATCTGTCTCCTTTCTGATTAATTTGAAACTTCATGAGTACAGTGAGAGCATTTCAATGATTTAATCAATTTTTCGGTCTGATATTGGCAAACAATCGTAAAAACTTCCAAGCAATTTTGAGGTTAAACCACTTATCCGATTTTAACCAAATGAACGAAGTCTTTAAACATCTCGAACTAGGAAAAGGAAAAATTGAAATCCAATTTTTGTGTTCGAACTATAAAAATTTACTTTGAAAAAGACTGGAAATCTTGGTTAGATTGGTGAATTTTACCACTACTTATTTGTTTTTGTTTCAATATTCATTCAAATAGATTCCATGCCATACGAAAACAGTAACCAAGACAGTTGTCACGGCTCCACGTTAAATGAGTGGAATTAAATGAAAAAATTAAATTAATTATATGCATAATCAAGTTTGCGAGCGTTGATTAATCAGAATTTCCAAAAATTACACTGCGAGATTTTTGAAATTCATCATGATTAGAACCATCTATGGAAAGGATATCTATTAGGGTCTTCAATATACTGTATTTTTAGGTGTCGTTTGTTCAGAAACAGTTAGGAACTTCTCTTTTCTCTTTGTTCAGTTTCTAGTCAAAATGGTTTATTGCTAGTTGTTGTTGGCTGATAATTTGCATTTGGATCACAATACATTAATATTAATTGAAAAGATCCTAGTCCACTGTGTACTCTCGTATCATCAGTTGATTCAACATCTAAAACAAATTGAATCTAATAACCTGGGTCAAGTGAGCTAACCTCTAATAACTTGTCTCTCCACTCACCTGTATGATCTAAATCAAACACCTTTTTTGAACTTGATTCCAGATCATTTCTTAATCTAATTGTCATTGTAGCTCTATCAGCAAGGAAATATGGGAAATTAAAGTGACAGTGGGATGAGGTTTTACCAAGTCTTTGTGATTTAAAGATAGCTCGAAGATTATTTGAAAGTTTCTCTGGAACTATAAAGTTTATTGGTTTATTTTTTTCTGGTATCTTGGCATCAAACTCATTTCCCTTATATTTGTCAAAAGTAATCCAATCGTCCTCACCTTCATTGGTCCAACCACAAAGAGGTTGATTATTAAACTCACAAGGACCACAATAAAGTTCATTAATGCCATCCAAACAATCAATATTGTAATCACATAATCTATCATTTTGAAGGAGAACTGATTCAACATTTTTTTTGCAACGAAATTCATTTTTAGGACAGTCAGATGTTATGTATTAAATGGATCTTCAGATCTATCAAAACATGAGCCACTGATAACAATTTTATCGATAACAGCATACTAATTGCTCTGGTCATCCGCTTGATCAGACCTTGAAGATTTAGCCATGAATGGAACTGAAATGTCACCCTCACCCGGGTTGAAAAAATAGTGATCTCCAAATTCTTGGTCAGTTCATTGAGATCAGATTATTTTTAGTAAAAACTCAAAATGAAGATTCTATTTAATGATATAAAAGTAAACTCTCAAATATTTAACTAATTTTGTCAAGATTATTTTTGGACAGTGATTTTAGTACTTTCATGGAAATATTGATAAAATCAATTTATAAATATTTGTAAGATTTTCTACACAAGAAAGAGTTTGAATTAATACTTTCATCGATTTTGGGTGAAAGGACTATGGTCGCAAATTTTCTTCTTGGCAAGGAAACATCTATAGTAATTTTATCCTCTTGTTGGGGATTTTCTTTCGAAGTTGATGGTATTTGTGCTGGTTCGAAATAAGAAGTTATTTGTTGCATCCTTGGTTTAGTTTTATCACATATTTGAATATTTTTTGTTTGATGTCTCGTCCACACTGATTTATTGCGAATCTCACAAGATTGTTGAACACCTTTCTTGATGTGAAGCGTTCACTATCAATTTTTTTCAAAATTTCAACCAACTCATGCTCTGCTCTTACCGAGAATACAACTTGTCTATCAACATCTTTAAAACCTTTCAACTTTCGTCCATCGATTCTGGACTGGGAAAACTTATTTATAAACGGAAATGAATTTTTCTTTATTTTAATTTCATCTATTTTTGACTTTGATATTGTTTAAAATAATTGAAAATGGATTGATTAGAGTCCTCTTGCCCGCTCTTGGCGCATTTCCTGGGGAACTTCGGAAATTCTTTCCAACTCTTTTAGTGCATATACGGCCGAGGTTAAATGTTTTCTGTCCATTATCCCGAGCATTTCTTTGAGCGAGATTTTCCTTGTAAAATTTCATTTTTCTTGAAATCTTGCTCGTGTTTATGTTAAGGTTATGCTTTATTATGTGTGCCTACTGTAGAAAAAATTTATGTTTCAATCATTTTGTACTGACCAACATTCACATGCATTATAATAGTCATGAGTAAGAATGATAATAAACAAAATAATGTTTATATATCAAATATTAATATAAGAAAATAATCTAAACCTCTGTGTTAGATTTTACAGATGAAAAAGCAATAGAAATGAGGGTAGAAAAAAACGCAGATAATTGATATGAATCAATAGAAGCTCTTGTGGTCCTTCGAGAGAGTCTACTATCACAAAAATAAAGCGCAACATTATGGGCTTCATAAAAACCACGAGTAGCATTGATGGAGAGATAGGTATGGGCACCCTCCTGGACAACAACCTCCTCAAAAACATGATACAAGTCTCAATATTTATGAAAATTACCATTCAAGAGTGGCTTTTTCCAACAAAGGAAACAGTTAGTACTGGCGAAATGAGAATAAGAATCAACACTCTCACCAAAACGCAGTCACCAAATCAGGAACATGAAAGAAGGCATGATTCAGATCACGAGGTGTTCAAAACAAAGAATAACATTAAGCATTAAGATAATAGGAATAATAAGAGAATAAGAATAGCATTAAGAACTCTTCCACTAACACTGATTGAATTTATGTTATAGTCATGTTTTATCATATATGCCTACTGTAGAAAAAATTTATGTTTCAATCATTTTATACTGACCAATATTCCCATGCATTATAATAGTGAAAAATAAAAAAATTCGATTTTGATTTTTGAAAAATCTGAGTTGTTTTGAGTTGCTAATCGTATGCTCGTGGGCGCTCATTATTTCAGTGATAAGCTATGATTTTACCAAGTTGAAAAAAATCTGAATTTGCGATGTGAGAACCTTCCATTGTGAATCCATTTTACAAGTCCCTAATTTCAATTCAATATTTCCAGTGGTTAAGTACCAAAATTTAAGACAATATTCAACATTTGGCTTCGAATTGGAAATGCAAAAGTAAGAAAAGGAGCTACAGGGTTGTCAATATTTATTTAAACAGTTTCTATATGTACAATCTGAACAAAATCTTAACGAATATTACTTTAAATCGATGAGAATTGAGCTACTTAAAATGCGGAGATCATAATGAGCTTAATTTTGTGACAAAAAGACCATTTTTCGCTGATTTATCATTGATCAAGTTAGTTTAGATGTTTGAATATGTTGCTAACAATTGAAGCAAGTAAATTCATCATTTAAATTTTTCCAAAAATGGGGAGAAATATAGAAATGTGTACAAATTATGTGAAAGCAAATATCGTCAAGCAAGAGATAAAATTTATAAAACCATGATAAAGTGGGAATCTGATCATAAGCCAAGGAAGAAAAAAGTTCGAACGAGCTTGACTGAGAGCGTATTGAAAGAAATTGAGAAAAGTGTTGAGCTGCATCCAACATTATCAGATAAGTATCGTGCTTCAGAACTCAATCGAGCAAGAGCATCACTTCTCAATGCTTATAAGATCTTGAAAATTTGATCTTAAAAATTCAAAAAAGTGCAAAAATTGGAAAATGCAGATCCTGCTGCACGTATTGCATTCTGTCAATGGATATTGAATTTTTCCGATGAAGCTTACATCAATTATCAGGTTCGAGAAATTCACAAAATCAAAGAATTCGTGCAAAAAACAGCCCAAAAAATGTGCATCTCAATCAACTTACTCGAATAAATTAGGGTTTTGGTCTAGATTGAGTCAAGATCGTTTGTATGGGCCAATTTTTTCAGAAGAAAGATTTGATTTAGATTTTTACATTGAAATAAGCAAACAGTTTAGAGAAAATATGACACCAAGAATGATAAAAAAGGTCTGGTTTCAACAAGATAGAGCTAAAGCTCATGCATCGAAAAAGTCTATGGCCTTTTTGAAATCAAAATTTGGAACAAAAATCATTTCTCAAAATTCAGCAATTAATTGGCACCGATCTCACCGGATCTTAATCCACTAGATTTTTATCTATGGGGATATTTAAAGTGCTGCCTACTCAAACTAAAATTTAATTCAGTATCTGAGCTCAAAATTCGCATTGAATTGTTTTTCAAAAATATCAGTCATCTGAGTTGCAAAGAGTTCTTGACAACACGGAGAAACGCGCCAAATCTTGTTTAGCGCAAGGTGGTTCTCATTTTGAGCATACATTCAAATAATCTCCTGACTACTGACTTCCTTTTGATATAAATCTTATGTCTGTATGATTATTAATTATTGGTTTAGAGTTAAGTCAAACTGTTCAAATAAACATTGATATATCACGAAAATCATCGAAAAATAAAACAAAGTCGTAATCAAGGTCCAAAGATCTGAAATCAAGTCTTATTTAGATTCTGATAAATTTAATTTCAATCTATCGCATTTCAATAAACTTAATTTAACTTGCGCTCGTGAAATTTAAATCAAAAAACTCCAGGAAACAATTCTAATTGAAAATCGAGTGAAACAATTACAAAATCAACAATTTTTCAATTGTAAGATTGAAAATCATAAAACTGACTACTCGACAAATAATACAACTGTGTAGTAAACTATTATATTTTCACATTGGTGAAGTTTTTGAGTGATCAGTGATCACTGTAAATCCTTTTTCTAGTGTAACTGGTAGGCATTAATCACTTTCTAATTCAGTCAGGTCATACAAAAGATTCTAAGCTTCAAATTATTCGAAAACAGTTATCTTGAAAATCTCGGTGTAATTAATATCATAAAATCATTACACATTTGTAATTCCCGCTTATTCAAATACCAAATAGAATAGATGCTTATATGATGGCGTACTTTTATCAAGAGCGGTGTCTATGCTCGTCAATATAGTAAGCATTGTACCATGAGCAACTAGCTCGAGCTATTAAAAAATTGTTTAGTTAGAACAGTTGACGAAAAAAACGAAACGAAGCCAGTTTTATCCATAAGTATAGAGATGCGAGATTGGCATTTGCGTCGGAGATATACTTTACATTATATTGTTATTCATTACATCGTGTTATTTATTTTTCATGCATTGACCAGTTTTTTTCAGGAATTGCCTTGATATCCTGCAATACTGACTGCGATAGTAATCTATTGTAGTGCAACAATGTCCGTAAAAGTACTCAGTTGATCTTTGTAATCGTTTTGAAAGGAGACAATCTTGAATCTTGATCGTTGATAATCAAACTGAAATGAAATACAGTTGTTGAAAAAATATTCAAATTTTTATCTTATTCTGAATCACTGATTACTAGAAGTGTTGATCAGTGGCAGTCATTGCTTTCTGTTGATGAGTAAATACATCATGTATATCAACTTGTCATCAATTGTTCATCAACATTGAAACCTTCAGGTAATTTTGGGATTGTGCCATTTCCAATTGATACACTTTATAAACATAGAAAAGATGTGAAAATTAAATTTATTGTAAGCTAATGAAGTGATAGGTTGTAAATGAGGAAATGTAAAAATGTCTTTCTAAATTTCAGTCTCGGCTTCAATTCAAGGCAATGGATGATGCATGATTTACATGGTAAGTTGATATGAGATACAATTTTGCGTTTCTTTGCTAACAAATTTTTTATACTTTCAGTATATAATGTCGATAATAATAATTGATTAAGAGGGTTTAAATAGCATTGCATAAGATTTGATAAAAAGTTGGGATGATAAATGAATCTTTTTTTCAAACAAAAATTATATAGTTTCCCTTTTATAAAGGACAGGATGAGGTTGGGATGTTTGGTGAATAACTTGAGTTGATGCGTGTGGTTGATGAGGTTGATGAGGAGTTTGGTGTGAAGGTTGATGGGGTGGATGCTGTTGATGTGATTGGTGAGGTTGATGGTGAGCATGAGAATGAGGTTGAGCTGTTGATGGAGGAGGAGGAGGTAAATATATATCTTCTCCTGGAGAAGATAATGAATCGTCTGAATGACCATTTGAACCGGGCTGCCCATCATTGGCAAGTCGATGATCAAGATCCATTAATTGGGGTGGTTGAGCAGGGCAAGATCCAGGATCATAATGAGAAGGTCCTTCATCTATAACCATACCGCTACCATTAGATGGTCCACTTGCATAATTGGGCATTAAAGATGGCATTGGCACTGAAAGTGATTCATAGAATGAGAAATGTATTTATAAATTACATTATACATATAAATTTGTGATAATCTTCAACGTAAACAATTGTAACTATGAGAGTTCAAAGTCCAATCTACTCACTTGGATATGTTGGTTGCCAAGCTGAGTGTGTTGGTTTTATAGCAACTCCTGCATGCGGTGGACTTACGATTGTCCTATTACCAAGAAGCATTTCTTGTAACAATACATCTACTTTGGTTGCACCAACACATTTCGTGAATTGATCTATCAGTTCAATCATTTGGTTACTAATGCTCTGAAGAGGAGATAATAACAATAATATTTCACCAAATCGTCCACGAGAATTGTATTGGTGATCCATAATGTAGTCTTGTAGATTAATTTGTACTTGAGTCCGTAAATTTTTTATTCTAGAGGGTTGTGTTAAACCTTTGGCACCTAAACAGTTAAATAGATTATGAAAATAATGAGAAAAAAAGAGAGAAAGGCAGAGATTGATAGATGAAAAGGGATAAAAAATACGCACACCAATGAATGGATGGATGTAAGTGTAAAAAACATGCTTACTCGGGTCGAAGAAAACAATTGCCTTGAGGCATGCAAATTCCGTATCATCAATGTTAACATCATGAAGAACAGTGACCAATTCGTCCATCACTCTATTACCAATCATGGTAATGTCCTTTTCAGGTGAATTTCGAGGTATAATAAAATTATTTCCTAGAAGCAGACAGTCTTTAAGGTGCATAGATCTATGAGCCACTCCAAGAAGCAAGTGTTCACCTGCATGAGCTTTTAATAGAGCCACTTGATCATCAACCCCTAACTCAAGAAAAGCTGGAATCCCTTTAGCCCAGGTAACCAAATTCAACAGTTGGTTTCTCATTGATTCACAAACATCTGATATATTGGCCAGCTTTTTATCTCCAATTGATGTTTCTTGACTGCATACACGAGACTATAAGAAGAAGATGAAAAAAACAAGAAAAAATTAATTAGCTTCAAGATTCAAAATAGTTTTAGTTTGTTATTCCCATTAAATTAATGATTGATGTTGATTAAAGATCAATATACCAATAAGCTATGTAATTGTTTTCCACGAGCGTTCAAAAATAGATATAAAAAACGTTACACGTGCAATAAAATGGCATGGAAAAATGCGGTTCATGTAATGTAAGCTTTTCGTCTTGCTTTTGGTTACAATTGGCACCAAATTAACAGTTTTGAGTAAAGTGTTGATTTAATTGTAAGTTAAAGTAGACAATTTATTGCATGTTTTCTATTGAAATTAACTTAGACCCAGCAATTACAACCACTTTAACTGCTCAAAAGTTAATTAGTTTAACCATGTTTTTCAATAGTTCAAGGACGAGAAACAAGCCTAGCGTAAAAATAACATTAAAATAGCCTTTCACACTCTTAGCCTATCTTTATGCTTTCCCTTGAAAATAACTGGCCAATAGGGAAAATGTTTTAGCAAAACATTTGAAAGTAAAGACACTTGTTTCTCAGTTCACTGAGATTTACAGTAATTAAGGGGCAAAGAGAAGAAGCAAAATGTTTATAAACTTACCTGTCTTGAATGCATTTCAGCTTTGTAAAGAGTTTGTATTGAAGCTCCACCATTATTAAGAGCGTCATCAATGCTGGATCTCCTTAAACTGATCCGATCCCGTTCATTTTGTACAGCTTAATTTTCAAACAAAACCAAGGGTTGAAATAAAGTCAAAAATGAAATGGAAGCCAACCAAAGAAATGAGCGGAAAAGTTGAAGCAAAAAAAGAAACAAGACAAAATGTTAGCGCTTTTATTTATACCGCAAAACAAGATAACAAATCAACAACTCATGACTCACCATCTTTTTTCATACCAGCTCGAAAACATTTCCTTAGACGACAAAATCGACACTGATTACGTTTATCTTTATCAATGGTACAATTACGCTGAAAACGACAGGCATATTGGTTACTTTTGCGGACACTTCGTCGAAAGAAACCCTTTTAGATAAGAGAGAAAAAGTAAATCAAAATGGAAGCAAACAATAGGCAAGAGAAAGAGAATAAGCAAAAGTAAGAAACAAAACAAAATGTATACACATTAGCCATAGAGAAATAATGAGATAGAAAGAGATGGGAGTTATAATTACCTTACAACCGTCGCAACTAAAGGCACCATAATGTTTACCAGTGGCTCTATCCCCGCAAATGGCACAAGATTGTGGAGTGTTGGTTACATTGGCATTATTAGACGTGGCCATCATCATGGAATGAGTACGAAAGTCGAGTAAAAACAAACTAGATAACAAGCTTAACGGTGAAACACAAAAGTAAAAACAAGTGATTTTCACTTTTTTTCAATTATTCAACCCAACCAAAACATATAAAAAATATTACATGGAAAATACAAAATACAAAACACTGAACCAAACTCAAAAAAAAGTAAAGAGCAAAGATGAAATGAACATTCCAATGGGGCAATAATGGCAAATCTCTCACTCTTTCTCTCTCTCTGTCTCTCTCAGCCCCTCAACCCCTCATCACTCTATCTTCCACCTTTCTCTCTCACTCTCTCTCCCTTTGTATCTCTTATCATCTTACTAATCATCATTGCTTATCTTAATTTCATTTCTTTTTCTCTTTCTGTTTATCTTCTCCTTCTTTGTTTACTCTTTGGTCCAAACAAATCTCTCTCTCTCTTTCTCTCTCCTCCTCCAACTCTAATCACACATTATCTGATCTTTCTCTCTCTCTTCATCTCTGTCTTCCTTATCTTCTCTCTCTCTCTCCATCTCTCACCATTTCTTTCCCTTTATTTCCACTTTTTTTATAATCGTTATTCATTTGTATATTTTTAATGCAGTCTTTTTTGTTATTTTGTATCCAATATGTTAAACTTTTACCTGTAACTTTAACTGCCCGAGTCTTAGACCCACGATGCTGACCTAACTGTACAATAACATCGTTGTTGACACTTAAGTTGTCTCGAGTTGGTGCCAATTGTTTACTTAGTTAACAGAACGACATAAAAGTGTATAACTAGCAAAACATAACCAAACTGTGTGACAATTGGAATTGCCATTTCTCTCATTTTTGCCAGAGTTGTTGACAATTAAAATTGATTTTCATTTTACTTGGTAATCAACCATAATCAAGTTACAAAATTGTTCTAATTGTTTAAAATTGTCTGTAAATTGAATTGACCAAAAAAGTCAACTGTTAGTCGGAATAAGCTGGACCCATGTTAGTCAAAATTGGAGTTTTATTGGAGGTCATTTTTGTGGTGTGATATATTTTTATTATTAGGTTATCTTGTTTGAGTCTAGCGCTGTTTATTTTCAACTGTCTTTCAAATGAAGCCATTTGTTCAGATATTTATGCATTTATTAGGTTGATTCAACGAAAGTGCACCAGTCAGAAATGCTTATTTGAAGAAGAAAAAAAGAATTAGAATTTAAGGTAAAAAAGTTCAAGAATCTGAATCGGAAGACTCAAAAATGATAGCCTTTATGATAAGGCTTTCATTGGAGGCAAAAATAAACTCAACAAACATTTGAAGATATTTTGAGTTATTAAAGTTTTCAAATTCTGAGTCAATGTTTCATTTTTTCTTGATCTTGTATTTTACTTCTTTATCTGAAAAAAGTATTTTTCATTTCTATGACTTTTCATTTGCTCATATAGCTCATGATTAAAATTGATTCAGTATTTAAAATGGAAGAATCAAGAATTGATTTGACTTTATCAAAGTAACTGTCAGAATTGTTTGTTTGAAACTTTGTTGCAAGTAAAGCTTTCAAGTTTTTAGCGCAAAAGTATCGAGAATTGAACATTCAGTAGCTTCGAAATAAAAAGATTACTCGAAGATAATTATAAAATTACAATTCCACAGTTCATTTATTGAAGCATAATTAGAGCCGATTTCAATGCTGTATCTTGTTCTCGCTATGAGATATTCACGATTCATGAAAACTTTAACTTCTCTTATGACTTCATTTTTTCAATGTTAATCGTTTCAAATCTGCTAACTAAAATCTGTTAGCTAAAATCAATTAACTGATTAATGAAGAAATATTAACTGAGAAATTTATATTCAACTCATAACTTATCAAAGTGGGTTAGCGATTTGTGTTTGTATTCGCAACCCTGATGAATATAGTGAGATCGTCGTAATTCAGTATTAAAATGAGTTTCTCAATACTTTGCACTAATCTTTATTACAATGATGCTGCTTGATTCCAACAATAGGAATTGTGAAATTGTCAATTTTATGACAGAAATGGGGAAAAACTCATGACTCAATCACTCGACCTGATAAGAATTGCGACTCTTACCAAATGGTTCAAGGAAAAGGTTGATCTAGTAAAGTGAAGATCAAACAGAAACGGTAATCGCATGAGGATCGGTCTGAGTCCCTTTTTGATCTCTTTCACTAATCATTTTCAAAAGTTTATCAACAATGTTTCCTTTTTTTCAATTTTTATATCACAAATCTGTATTTTTTCTTGATAATTCAATGGATAAATATGTAAGATTTTGCTATAAATCCTTTTTTCTTATCAAAATAAAAGAGTATGAATTGACATAATATAACTTTATTATTAATATGAACGTGGTAAAGATTATTTGGAATTGAGCTGAAAATTGGATAAGCCAATGAAACTCATATCATTGATCAATATATCAATGATTACAGACAAGAAACGTTAAAGATCTTTGGCGAAGTCGATTTGATTGCTGTATCATTGTAAAAGAACTGGCTTTTCATTGAATAATTTAATATTGTAATTTTTCCCACTAATTTTGATTCTTAATTTTTCGAATTAGTGAGAAAAATTAAATGTTTTAGCCTTAAGTTGGATTTATCATTGAATCCTTTACTCGATCATTGCTTCTAACATTTGAATTTTGTTGCACTTTGAAATAGGAGGGGCTAAGAATGTTTGAGATAACTTGAAGGTATCACATGTTTTGTCTGCTTCAAACAAGAATATGTTTTGATTTTTCGTTTTAATTAGTTACTAGCTCCACTTCAAGCAATCATGTCTTTATGTTTTAGATTGATAAATTTAAGACAGCACAGTTTAAAACAATGGATGACAATCCAGAATCATCATTACTCCGATAAAGCAAATTTGAGGAAAGTTTTGGTTGCTAATAGAGGTAATGTTCATTTTTTTGTTATCTTCTTTTTTTTCTTGAAGGTCAATTTTCTGTTATTATTTCATAATTATTGTTGTTTTTGATTTTTTTCGACTCTCACGTACTATTTTCTAACTATTTGTCATCAGGTGAGATCGCCATCAGAGTGTTTAGAGCTTTAAATGAATTGGGTATTAGATCAGTTGCCGTTTATTCGGAACAAGATAAGATGCATATGCATCGACAGAAAGCCGATGAAGCTTATCTGATTGGGCAAGGTCTTCCACCGGTTCAAGCATATCTAAATATTCCTGAAATTATAAAAATTTCTAGGGACAATCATGTTGATGCCATTCACCCTGGTTATGGTTTCCTATCAGAAAGGTCTGATTTTGCTCAAGCCTGCCAAGATGCTGGAATCAAATTTATTGGACCATCGCCCACTGTTATGGCACAAATGGGTGATAAAGTTGAAGCAAGAAAAGCAGCGATAGCTGCTGGTGTTCGAGTTGTTCCAGGATCTGATAATCCAGTGACTCAAGTTGACGAAGTTGTAAAATTTGTTAAAGAAAATGGTTTACCAGTTATTTTTAAAGCTGCTTATGGTGGTGGTGGACGTGGTATGAGGGTTGTTAAAACAATGGAAGAAGTCGAAGAAAATTTTATTCGTGCCAGCTCCGAAGCTTTGGCTGCTTTTGGTAATGGGGCCATGTTCATAGAGAGATTCATTGAGAAACCCCGACATATTGAAGTACAAATTTTGGGTGACAATTATGGTAATATTGTGCATTTATATGAAAGAGATTGTTCCGTCCAAAGAAGGCATCAAAAAATTGTTGAGATTGCTCCATCACCAAATCTCGATCCAGTAATTAGACAATCAATGCTTTCTGATGCTTTAAAGATTGCCCGTCATGTTGGTTATCAAAATGCTGGTACAGTCGAATTTCTGTTGGATCAACAAGGAAATTATTTTTTCATTGAAGTTAATGCTCGTTTGCAAGTTGAACACACTGTTACTGAAGAGATCACTGGGGTTGATCTGGTTCAATCTCAAATTAGGATTACAGAAGGTTTCAAGCTTGATGAATTGAACTTAAGACAAGATGAGATCAAAGTAAATGGATGTGCCATACAATGCAGAATCACAACGGAGGATCCTGCTAAAAACTTTCAACCAGATTCAGGAAGACTTGAAGTGTTCAGATGCGGTGAAGGTTTTGGTATTCGTTTGGATAGTGCTTCAGCCTATGCAGGTGCTCTTATTTCACCCTATTATGACTCTCTATTGGTCAAAGTTATTGCTCATGCAAACAATCTTAAATCATCTTCCAAGAAAATGTTGAGAGCACTACGAGAATTTCGTGTGCGTGGTGTGAAAACCAATATACCTTTTCTAGTTAACCTTTTGGAGCATCCAAAATTTGCTGCTGGAACTTGTGACACTTACTTTATTGATGATAACCCACAACTGTTTGATTTCAAACCCAGCCAGAATCGAGCACAGAGACTACTCCATTACCTGTCCAATGTTATGGTAAATGGACCGATGACTCCATTTTCAACTAATTTGAAACCTGCCAACATCATTCCTCACGTTCCTGAAACAAGTGTTGACAATGAAGATGTTAAAGGTTGGAGAAACATTCTTAAAGAAAAGGGCCCAGAAGGATTCGCCAAAGCTATTAGAGAAAATCGAAATCTACTTTTAATGGATACAACTTTTAGAGATGCTCATCAATCTTTGTTAGCAACCCGAGTTAGAACACATGATCTTCTCCGAATATCTCCTTTTGTTTCACAAAAATTGAATACACTTGCCATTCTTGAGAACTGGGGTGGTGCGACTTTTGATGTGAGTATGAGATTTCTTCATGAAGATCCATGGGAAAGATTGGTGAAAATGAGAAATCTTATTCCAAACATTCCTTTTCAAATGTTATTAAGAGGTGCCAATGCTGTCGGGTATACATCTTACCCTGACAATTTAGTCTTTCGTTTCTGTGAAACTGCCAAACAGTGTGGAATGGATATTTTCAGAGTTTTTGACTCTCTCAACTATTTACCTAACATTTTCATTGGTATGGAAGCTGCTGGTTCAGCTGGAGGAGTTGTTGAAGGGGCTATATCATACACTGGTGATGTGTCAAATCCTGCTAAGACTAAATACAATCTTGATTATTATTTAAAATTGTCTGATGAAATTGTCAAAGCTGGTACACATATACTTTGTATCAAGGATATGGCTGGACTTCTTAAACCACAGGCTGCTCGCTTGTTGGTCACTGCTCTGCGAGATCGTCACCCTGACATACCTATTCACATTCACACTCATGATACTGCTGGTGCTGCAATCGCTTCTATGTTGGCTTGTGCTGAAGCAGGAGCCGATATTGTTGATGTTGCTGTTGATTCAATGTCAGGAATGACTTCTCAACCAAGTATGGGTGCTTTAGTGGCATCACTTCAAGGAACTCCTCTAGATACCGGTTTGACTTTGAACAATGTCAGCGAGTATTCAGCTTACTGGGAACAAACGAGAACACTTTATGCTCCTTTTGAATGTGCCGTCACTATGAAAAGTGGTAATGCCGATGTATACGAGAATGAGATTCCTGGTGGTCAATATACGAATTTACAATTTCAAGCTTATTCTCTTGGTTTAGAGGACCAATTTGAAAAGGTCAAAAAAGCTTATAAAGAAGCTAATATGCTTCTTGGTGATATCATCAAAGTAACTCCTTCCTCAAAGGTTGTTGGAGACTTAGCACAATTCATGGTACAAAATAAACTAAATGCCAAAGAGGTTGAAGAAAAGGCTGGCGAATTAAGTTTCCCTAGTTCAGTTGTTGAATTTATGCAGGGCTTCATTGGTGAACCTTATGGAGGTTTTCCTGAGCCTCTCCGATCCAAGGTAAATCTAACTTTCACCATTTTTCGTCTTTTTATTTACTTACCAAATCGTTTTCTTTTTATTTAAGATTCTGAAAGGTTTAAATCCAATCACTGGTAGACCTGGAGAACACTTGGCTCCATTAAATTTTGTTCAGCTTAAAGATCAATTGGCTGAAAAACACGGAACACCAATCACTGATACTGATGTGATCAGTTCAGCTTTATATCCCAAAGTTACTGATGATTTCATTTCATTTAGAAATGAATTCGGTCCAGTTAGTCTTCTAGATACTAGAATATTTTTGGAAGGACCTCGAGTTGGAGAGGAGTTTGAGGTGAATATGCTTTTTGTATATTATTTCGTAATATTTCAAATCATACATCATTTCAAGATAATTTCACTATCACTCCATTCATTGCATGATCTAAATATTTCAAATTTTAATCTATTCATTTTTTCTTATCACAGGTTGTAATTGAAAAAGGAAAAACTTTGCATATTAAAACTTTAGCTGTTTCCGAGACTCTTAATAAACAAGGTATGCGTGAAGTGTTTTTCGAGCTCAACGGTCAATTGCGAACAGTTCTAGTCAAGGATAAATCTGTTTCTGAGGTAAACAAGCTGTGATTACTTCACAATTAATTTTTATATTATCTCAATCTTATCGTTCATTGATAATTATCATTTATCATTTTTTATCATCTTTTCTCATCAGGAGATTGTTACTAACCCTAAAGCTATAAAAGGAGCCAAAGATCAAATTGGTGCTCCTATGCCTGGAACTGTGATCTCACTGAAAGTGGCTGAAGGTGATAAAGTTGGCAAAGGGGAACCTTTACTTGTTTTAAGTGCCATGAAAATGGAAATGGTCGTTCAATCCCCGATTGCTGGAACCGTGCGAAAAGTACTTGCTCAAAAAGATATGAAATTGGAAGCAGGAGATTTATTAATGGAGATTGATCCAGTTGATGAATAAAAAAATAGACAAACAACAGCCAATAATCTCAGCAAACATCAATGTTCACACAAATCACACCATATAGTCATATGACTGATTCAAGATTTTTTTGGCATTTTACAAGATTCAGTTATCCTATTATTGGTATGTCAAGACGTGACAATTTTATAATGATTGTATAGCTTGTTAAAAAGTTGAAATGTTATGTTACCAATAGCATTTATAGAGCTTAAAATGATCATCACTTGTTTAATTACTATTACAAAGTTTCAAACAGCTATTTAGTAATTATAATCTATGCCATATTTGAATACTAAATGCTCAGCTTATCCGTTCAACCATTAGTTTAATATTAGTATTTTTGCTAGTTTTGATAAATGAGAAACTTTACTCAAACTGTGACTTTTTTGTCTAACAAGCTTCCAATGAAAAGTCTGAACAATCTTTAATAATTTTCACTTTTACATTAATTTTAATAAGGAATTGAGAAAAAAGTCAAGATTGTTTCATGATCATTATATTGAATAGTTACCTTTGAATAAGGTTGTTAGTTGAATATATTTCCAATTGTTTTGTTACAGCCTGGTCACTGTTTTAATTACAATTGGCTTTTACCATTTTATAAACTGTTTAATCTTGTTTTTTGTTTCATAATATCTTTTTTGCTTTTGACTCCTGGACAATTTATCTTTGTTTTTATTTTAAGCATTTATTACGATTAAATGTATTTTTCCCATCACATTGTTATCCGATTCAAGGCTACCAATTCAATTCAATTGTATCAACATTGTGATTTAAAAAGTCTTTCATAATTTCTTTCATAGTAAAAGTAAGCTTTTTTACCCTCAAATTTGCTCTTATTAAACCTTAACCACGACATAATCAATACATTAAACATTTGTGATATAAGACTGTTTCATCCCTTTACTTTCAATATAAATTGTGATGAAAATTAGTGAAAACAATATAAAAATTTCAATATTTATATTTGATAACATTCAATTTTGTTCACTTGAAAAATGTTTCATCTTTAAACTCGGATAAATCCTATTATACTGGTAAATGTGACTTTAATCACCGGAATAACCTTAAATAATGTATCTAAATCCAAGTCTGTAACATTGTACATTAGCACAAATAAACTGAACACTAACTATCATCCAAGGTAACAATGATTAAATTAATTGACTCTATGTTGGGTCAATAATGTGTTTACTTGAAGAAAGTGAGAGAAGGAGAGAAAGAGAAAGAAATCAACAAATCAAATGAGAAACTAGTTGTTCTCAATCTGATTGAATCATCATGTGGTTGAACCTGAAACTCTTAAGGAATAAATAATCTGTTGATTGTGCTCCTTTTACCTAACGTAACCTCGATCGATATCAATTCTGTTGATAACATGAAAGAAACAAGGAAAAAATAGGAAAGACAATCTCTTTCTCTCTCTCTCTTTGTTTTCATCTCACCCAGAATCATGAATGTAACAGAATCAAATGGAATACTCATTCTCTCTGTAGGTAACAATTCTTATACTCTATTTTCCTTCTTTTCTTCTTCTTCCTCTCTTCTAAAAAAGAATGAAAATCTATGTGATTTTCTATTGAAGTCTCATGCTAAGTCCTCATCATTTAATATCATCAACGTGAACACACGCATGCAAAAAGAAGAGAGAGAGAGAAAGATGAAAGAGGAAGAAAAAAAGGAGCACAAAGAGTCCAAGTTAAATCAACATTGGATATGTAAAGAAATAATAAGGTAAAGTGTTATTAGAAAAAAATCGTTGCATCGGACGACATTCATAAAGTTAATGCTAACACTCAATTATACTGGTTCCAATTGATTCAATTCATGTGGGATGTTAACAGCATGTTTTACTCACTTCTTTTTTTTATATCATATCTTCATCTTCTTTCTCTCCTCTTTTCTCTCTTCTTTGGCTGTTCTCATTTTCCTCTTCCAACATAAGGTGTAGTTACAAGTTGTTTTTACTGGTAATTCATAAGCATATGTTTTTCAATTGCAATCTCATTTAACCAGACTCCTCTTTCCATCTCAAATTTATGAACATAATTCAGTTGATCAGGCTGCTTTTGATCATCTTGTTTATCATCATCCTCATCATGCGGGGGCCCAGATTGAATCAATAAGTTGACTATTCACGAGGAACCGGAACCAGTCTAAAAAAGAAACCAGAAAATGTGTTAAATATTGTTTTAAGGTAAAAAGAAATATTGACCAATAATCGGGATCCCATCAACACTGTCAGCTCATGATGTTGAGAGTTGGGTTACTAATGATGAAAATTAAATAATGAAGTTAAATAATGACAAATAGTCGATGATTGTTTATGATGTTGATGTTGATGATGAGGGTTGTTATATAAAGGTGCATGCGCTCGATAATAGCCGATATATAACGTTTCTATCAATGCATTTAAAAGGCCAAATAATGTCAAGGCTCTTCCCTGTGAATTCCCATAAAGCAGCAAGCAAAAAAGCCCCTCTCTGTGCACAGGCAGGGTTAATCTTGATCAGTTTAAATGGATGCAACTGATGGACCTTCATTCACCATCAGCGCAGAGTTATAAACATTATCCTACATAGGCAAGGTGAGATATTGACTCACACGCATGCTAAAAGTTTCATTTTATACTCTTCTTCTCCCTTTTTCTTCATTTATCATCATCTCGAGACTCTCTCCTTCTTTTCATCTAATGCACCACGAGAATGTTAGGATAGCCCGAATCAAGTCATCTCCATAGTACCTTGTAACTTGAAAGGCAAACTTTCTTGTTCTTCATTTCTTTACACGTTCCATTCCATATCATCGCCATTATCGTCACTATCTCTTTTCTAGTCCTTCTTTTTTGTACCTGTTACATTTATTAACACTGATCATAAATCTCGTTTGTTGCCTCTTGAACATTTTCACTGTTTCCATCTTGAAACTTTTCTGTTGCTCCTTTGCCTCTTTTTCCCTTGTTTCACTCCTGTTTTTGCTGTTAAATTAATCTTATTAACTCATCAAATATTGAACTTTACCATCAACATTGATTAAAATCAACCGATTCACTGATTTCTTTGATAAGGCACGATCAATTTTGGATCCAATTTTGATTTGTTTGCCATCATGGAGACACCAGCTCGTCGATCATCACGCTATGGAACTCGGGTTGCAGCAGCTTTAGCTCAACAAGTTATTTGTGATTTAGTTTCATACGATGAGGTAGCCGCCATTGTTGATGAAGAAGAGGATGATGAAATACGTTCTTCCCGGTATCATCAAGAAAAATCGTCAAATCATTTCACGACAACAATTAAACCGATAAAGCCAAATCTAGCAAAACATACTTCGGTGTCTTCTTCGTCATCTTCCTCGTCTTCCTCGTCTTCACCAGCTTCATCAAATGGAGAGAACCAATGTAATCGTAAAATTATACCTCAGTCTAGACAAGACAGCCACACTAGTCAACGGAACAATCTTCGTTGCTCGGTCAATGTTAAATCAGAACATCCATCGTCACCAGTAGCCAATTTATCCTCCACCACAATTACACCTATAACACTTTCCTCCACTTTGACTGGACGCTCTTCCACTTCACCAGAAATTGGTTGTATTCCTCCTCCATCAGCTGAATCGGTTGAGAGTAAGCTAATATCGGCATCATCAGGACTTGTAGATGAAAATGGTATCACATTTTCAAATTCATTGTACTCGGCATATCAAACTTGGGCCCTAAAAACATATGGAGATTCGGCAAAAACCAAGACAGTAACGCGTAAAAAATATCAAAGGATTGTAAGAATCTTGAAAGGTGAAGAATCGACCAATGTTGAAAATTCCAAGTTCCGTTTTTGGGTTAAAGCCAAAGGATTCAAATTACGGTCCAATGATTTGTCACTTGAACCGCCAATATTGGCTAATGAAGACAAAGAGGAAAAGCAAAGTGAAGACGATGAAAATATCCTTTTGGTTCCATGTACAAAGGTTTCACCGGTAAGTTTGAATATTGTTTCTTTCACATTTTTTTAATAACCATTTAACAAATAAATTGATTAATAGCCAAAAATAATAATTAATGTTGATTAAATAGCAAATTAACAAAGTATAAAATTAAATTTTGATGCAAGCAAAAGTAAAAAGTCAAAGCAAATTTATATTTGATTGAAACCAGGTTTAACGGTTTTGTCTTAAGCTTATGGTAAAATCATCTGGTGACATCTATACCATTGTTATTGGTTACACTTGTCTAATAATATTGATAAACACCATGAAAGTTATCGATAATAAACCAAATTTCTGTTGATTTTTACTTGTTCTGTATCATTACAATCAACATAAACTGTAACTGTATACAAAATAGGCCCATCTTTGCTAGACTTGCCTTCAGTTCAAGAAGAAACAGTGAAGACTTTACCGTCTGAACATTTTCCCCCCTTTTTCATTTCGCTTACATGATATGCCAATGTTAATAATGACACTTTAGTGATTAGTTTGATTGATTTACAAACTTAGCTGATAAATTAAACAATTGAAGCTGAATAACCTGACAATTTAACACAAATCAATGAGTATGGTTGAATAAAAAACAAACTCTTATGATCTTAATAAAAGGTAACCATTCTATGTTGAATTAACTCCGATTCTTCGTTACCAATCAACCTTACACTCACTAACAATCGACAATTAATGATTTGAGTCGACAGTCTCCAATAGAATGATGAAGTTTACAAAAAATAACTATCTTGAGTTTCCATTAAATGCCAATATTGCGATTAAAAGTGTACATCGACTTATCATGAGTTATCTTGAGTTATTGAAGTTGAAACAATTTTTGAGTCGCTCAAATTAATTACAATTGCAAGTTCAATACGGACAAATTGATTGTTGATTTGATTCACTGGCATCAAACAAATACATAGAAAATGATTTCAGGCTTAAAATAACCAATTCTCGGTGTAATTATATTTTTTGCTGTTGATCAAATTTTGATGAAATTCCTGATGGATCAAAATCTATGAGATGATCAACATTTTTGTTCATTGTTCTCCTACCATCATCTTATCATGAAGGTATAAAATTCTTGAAGCAAAATGTAAACATTAAAACAGCAAGTAAAAAAAGGTGCAACATAATCATGAAAAAAATGAACAAAAAAATGAAGAAACTGAAAGATTTTCTTGTCAAAGCTGTTACGCTCAGTAACAATTTTAAATCTGAATTGATTTAGACGCACAATCAGACTGACAATTAGTTTGAATATTCAACTGATTGAGTGTCCAATTTGTGCAGTTGATTGATTAGGCGAAAATGATTAACTTAAGTAACGAGTAAAAAAAGAGATTTAAATATTGTATTGCAATGAATTTGAGTTATCCCGATACAGTTGATCAGTTGATCAGTCAAATAAGACATTGCTTTGGTAATCTTGCTGTTGCCATTGGTTTTAACAATTTTTGCTGTCCTCTTCATCCTTCATCCTCATCTTTTTTATGCAATGTGATTGACCTGGGATGTCATTAAAATACTTTTTCCTCCTCATCATTTCTCTAAATTACAATCTGATCACAGTCATGGTGATGCAAGTGATTAGGTCACGTGTTGTGAGGTACTATGATGATGAGGATGAGGAGGATGAAAAGGATGAAGAGAGTGAGTAAAAAGAGGCAGCAAAAGAGGATCAAATAATTGAAGGAAAGGAGAGGAAAGATGAAACTCATTAATGATGACGATGTTACTAGTGAAATTGTGATTATAATAAGTGAGTACATCATGCATTAACAGGTCTAAGTTGACCATTTTTTATCCTAGAGCAAGCACACATCAGGTTGAGTCCAACTCAACCAGTTGGGTCTTTACGAGCAAAATGTAAAAAAAGATTAAAGATGAAAGTGGAGATGAATATGATGAACATGTTGAACACTTTGATTAAATAACGGTGATGATGAGTTGAGGATGATTTGGACGATTATGGTTAAAGCTATTCAGATTAATCTTGCATACTTGACTATGAATTGGTATTCATGATTGGGATGAGTTGAGTGAAAATATTTGATGGATAAAAAGGTGAACAGAAAAAGTGTGTCTTCCATTTTTGTCATCATTCTTTATCTTGTTTCTAATCTTTCTCTTCTTCTTCTTTTTTTTGTCATTTTTGTATCTCCTTTTTATACACATTAGAAAGGGATGGAGGGAAAAAGATGAGGATGAAGATGGTGAGAGAAGGCCTTAAGGGAAATATTCCGTCAGTTTGATAAGGAGTGGAAACAGAGTCTAACCCATAATATGAGTTACTTTTAGCCTCATAGGAAATGGTTGATAGATTGAAAGGGAGTAAAATCAGATTTGGTGAGAGTAATATTAAGAGAGATTAAACAGAAAGAAGATGAACAAAATGATGAAGAAATAAATGGAATGATGTTTGGGAATTATTTGACTGGGATGGGATCTCATGTTATATATCTGTGCTTTTAGAGAGAGAGAGAGAGAGGATAAAAAGAGGAAGATGAAGATGAGGATGTTGCCAACAGATTTAGTGGTTTACATTTTCATGTACAAAACCATTTTTATGCCTTCATCTAATGGTATTTTTAAAGGCCCATTTTATCCCAATAAAATGTTATCCAAGTATAAATATTGTTGGCTACTAATAAGTGTCCAGATATTATGAGAATGCATAAAGTTGTTTTGGTCAATTTCAATGTGATTTGGAGAAGGTGTCAATATTGTGATTCATTTTTTTTGTTTTGTTTCACTTTAAGTTTGGACATTCGTTTAAGTTGTAATGCAGGTTAGATAACATGGTGAATAGCTTTAAAGATATTGTAAACTCTGAATTTTCAGAGCAATAGATGAAGTGAGGTATGAACAGAAGAAGAAAGGTGATGAAGATAAACTGTGATATAACAAAAGCAACAAGTATTGAAAAGCTATGTAACCATTTTTGCAGGTTGTGTGTTTATCAAAGTGGAAATTTATACTTTTTGTTCATCCTTCTTCTACTTAACAGTTATCACCTTTTATCATCATTGTTCATCCTTCACTCCCTGAGTTTGTTCCCATCTGATGATGCTCAAATCTGAAAGGATAAAAATTGAACTTTTCCTTATCATTGCATGTTTACCCAGAAAAGAAGGAAAATAAGTGATGATAAGAATGATGATGATGATGGATAAAAATAATGGCATAAAAGTATCAAAAATGAGTTGCTTTTTGTAATCAAGTGAAGAATCATCTTCAAGATGAAATTAGGTGAATGTTTTGGTTGCGTTTTTAAATGTTTGGGTTTTGTTGAGATTAAATTCATTTTTTTTCTCTCGTGTTCATATGATTGGATGAAAGAGTCCCATTGAGAGATGATGAAGATGAGGATATGGAAGATGAGTTTGGGCTAAAAGCTGGTAAAAGGATGATCAGTTGAAGGCAAGGAAAACAGGTTCTCATGTGTTGCAGTAAAGTTACCTTTAAGGAAGAAAAGCTTTATTTTTGCTGTTTTTGCAGAATTCATTATTGTAATGAAGATTGGTTAACATGAGAATGATGAAGATGATGAAAGATGACGAAAAAGGATGATATCATAGAGACATATGATAATCTTAATCTGATTGAATAAAATTCTGGTTCTGGTCACGTGTAAATATCTCTTGTATTAGTCAATGTAATCTCAGATTAATTAGTTAATTGAGTTGAACTTTAGTCATCTGTTGAAACATTGTAAGATATAATCATTTTGGAAAGGTTAACTTGCGAAAAATCAATTATTTTGATGATAAATTGTACAAGATATTGGCAGCAATAGCAACAAATCAATATTAAATTCATCAATTTTAACTCTTATTGGAAACATCACTCATTGTCTTTCATTGCACTGTGTCGTTATTGACAGTCATCGGTCTGACCCAGAGCAAGCAACCCATTAGGTTGAGTAAAGCTTCATCAATTGGGTCTTTACAGTGAATCATCAAAGTGTGATGGAATGATGGAAATAATTATTTTCTTGTTCTGTTATTCATGACTTTTTCCTCAGAACTTTTGCTGAGTTTCTGTTTAGCTTTAAGGTTTTCAATTGTAATCAATTTACAATTAACTTTAATTGTGGAGTTTTAATAACTTTATTCAATGGATTCATCATCTTGTTTTTTGTTTGTTTTGTCAAACCTTTTATATTCAATTTAAAAGTTTCCTGAATCTTGAGTAACTCTTACATGGTTTTACCCTTTTAATTAATTGAATCCTAATTATTAATTTGACAATTTAATTGATCTAATAGTTATTATATCTAATAATTGCTGTTGTTGGGCAAAGACTAATCAAGTTAAATTTAATTGACTTGGATGTTTGCCTTTAAATGAAATGAATTTAAGCAACATTTTTCAGCGTCTTTTATTGTCACAAGCTGTTCATTTTAGAGTTGTTTGGTTTGTTGGTCTTTGATCAATTGAAGAGACAGCAACTTGAAAGATGAAGACTGTAAAGATAAAGAAAGATGATGATGATGATGATGGAAGATAATGATAAAAAGAAAAAGGAAACTTCAGGTAAAGAGAAATGAGCTTCCAGGTAAAGAAATTGTTGCTCCAATCCATTAAGAGGAAGATATAAGGGAAAATTTGATGATGTAAGTTGAAGGAGGAAAAGTAAAGGAAAAGATGACGAGCAAGGACAGTAAAGGCCTTTGGAGATAGAGGGAAGACAATGGATGAAGATTGAGGATGAAAGTGTGTTGGTGATGAGATGAAAGATGAACTGAAGGAAAGATGAGTCGGGATGAACAAAAGGTAAGGTTATTATTTTAGATCTAAACAGTGAATTTTGTTCTTCTTTTTTTTACATCAGCTTCTTTTCCAATGAATTACAAGAGCAAGTGAATAAGAGAAAGATCACTTGATCATCTTCTTGTCCTCTTATATTCAACCTTTTATTATTATTATTTTTTCCTCAGTTCAATTGATACAAACCAGCTGATATTTACCTTTTCAATAACACAATACATGTTT